AGGTATCACACCTGTATCATAGCAACTAATAGCATTACATAGGTATCACGCGTGTATCATAGCAACTAATAGTATTTATCAGGTATCACACCTGTATCATAGCAACTAATAGCATTTATCAGGTATCACACCTGTATCATAGAAACTAATAGTATTACAGAGGTATCGCACCTGTATCATAGCAACTAATAGCATTACATAGGTATCACACCTGTATCATAGAAACTAATAGTATTACAGAGGTATCGCACCTGTATCATAGCAACTAATAGTATTTATCAGGTATCACACCTGTGTCACAGCAATTCATACATATTTGTTTTGTAATTGCCAAGATGCTCTATGATTGTCTGTAATTATATCCTGCTGGTAGTTCGTTGCCTGCCAGATCATCTTTGGCAGAATTTAATTACTTTATACTAGGTTATTTTTGTATCAGTATTGTATTTGCACTGTTTGCTGAAGGATTCAACAGCCAATTCGAAAATGCAGTGAAAATATCAAGTTTTGGGCCCGACTGATTGACTTTGATCAGACTAAAGATAAACAGTAAAATTAAGTTCATCATACTGTTCACTTCAGTTTATAGACTAAGTTCATAATACTGTTCACTTCAGTTTATTGACTAAGTTCATCATACTGTTCACTTCAGTTTATTGACTAAGTTCATCATACTGCTCACTTCAGTTTATTGACTAAGTTTATCACACTGTTCACTTCAGTTTATTGACTTACTTCATCATACTGTTCACTTTAGTTTATTGAGTGAGTTCATCATAATGTTCACTTCTGTTTATTGAGTGAGGTCATCATACTGTTCACTTCAGTTTATTGAGTGAGTTCATCATACTGTTCACTTCAGTTTATTGACTTACTTCATCATACTGTTCACTTCAGTTTATTGAGTGAGTTCATCATACTGTTCACTTCTGTTTATTGAGTGAGTTCATCATACTGTTCACTTCAGTTTATTGACTAAGTTCAACATACTGTTCACTTCAGTTTATTGACTAACTTCATCATACTGTTCACTTCAGTTTATTGACTAAGTTCATCACACTGTTCACTTGAGTTTATTGACTAAGTTCATCTTACTGTTCACTTCAGTTTATTGACTAAGTTCAACATAGTGTTCACTACAGTTTATTGACTAACTTCATCATACTGTTCACTTCAGTTTATTGACTAAGTTTATCACACTGTTCACTTCAGTTTATTGACTAAGGGTATCACACTGTTCACTTCAGTTTATTGACTAGGTTCATCACACTGTTCACTTGAGTTTATTGACTAAGTTCATCATACTGTTCACTTCAGTTTATAGAATAAGTTCATCACACTGTTCACTTCCGTTTATTGACTAAGTTCATCACACTGTTCACTTCAGTTTATTGACTAAGTTCATCACACTGTTCACTTCAGTTTATTGACTAAGTTCATCACACTGTTCACTTCAGTTTATAGAATAAGTTCATCATACTGTTCACTTCCGTTTATTGACTAAGTTCATCACACTGTTCACTTCAGTTTATTGAATAAGTTCATCACCCTGTTCACTTCAGTTTATGGACTAAGTTCATCACACGGTTCACTTCAGTTTATGGACTAAGTTCATCACGCTGTTCACTTCAGTTTAATGACTAAGTTCATCACACCGTTCACTTCAGTTTATGGACTAAGTTCATCACTCTGTTCACTTCAGTTTCTTGACTAAGTTCATCACACTGTTCACTTCAGTTTATAGACTAAGTTTATCATACTGTTCACTTGAGTTTATTGAATAAGTTCATCACACTGTTCACTTCAGTTTATTGACTAAGTTCATCACACTGTTAACTTCAGTTTATTGACTTAGTTTATCAGACTGTTCACTTCACTTTATTGAATAAGTTAATCACACTGTTCACTTCAATTTATTGACTAAGTTCATCACACTGTTCACTTCAGTTTATTGACTTAGTTTATCAGACTGTTCACTTCAGTTTATTGAATAAGTTCATCACACTGTTCACTTCAGTTTATTGACTAATTTCATCATACTGTTCACTTCAGTTTATTGACTAAGTTCATCACACTGTTCACTTCAGTTTATTGACTAATTTCATCATACTGTTCACTTCAGTTTATTGACTAAGTTCATCACACTGTTCACTTCAGTTTATTGAATAAGTTCATCAGACTGTTCACTTCAGTTTATTGAATAAGTTCATCATACTGTTCACTTCAGTTTATTGACTAAGTTCATCATACTGTTCACTTCAGTTTATTGACTAAGTTCATCATTTTAAGAATGTTACAGACCATTAAAATTGCATTCAATTCACGTTACAATCATGATTTACTGTTCAAATGTTGATATGGATACAATAATATCTGATTTATTTTAAAATATACCACAGTGGCATTTCAACTCATAAACAAAAACCATAAGATTACCATTGAACAGTAAAATGTTCAATTTTTCATGCGTTAAAACGGACCTTTTCCTCTCCATATTTGTCTGCAAATATTAATTTACAGATGAAAAAGCAATTGCTTGCACAAGTTAAATGCTGCTAACAATACATGTTGTGATTTCTATGTTGAAGGTTACAACAGCAATCCTGGATCAATATCATGTACACAGTGTCCAGCGGGATATGCCTGTCCAGACTTGGCGGACCTAACCAAGAACTTCCTTTGTGGTGCAGGCCAGTATTCAGCAGCAGGAGAAATGACCTGTACGGACTGTGCAGCCGGCTCTTACTGTCCCAGTACAGAGTAAGTTTGGTCAAAGGTTTTCCTAGTCCCCAAAACACTAGTCATTTTTATGTCGCCTGCGAAAAGCTTGTAACACTTAGGTATTGGTTTAACGCAATATCTTGAGTTTCCTTGGGCCGTTCAAACCCAAACTTCATGCAGTGCTTCCTTACCAAAAGCGCTTGCTTGGGGTAGCTTTTCAGGTCCAAAGGTTAAGGTCACTGTTACTATAAATAGTAAATAACTTTAAACATTATTTCTTGAAATGAAAAGTATATCTATTTCTTCGTAATCTCCCAGCTTCATGCGCAGGCGACACATCCACTTTCGTGGAATTCTTGTTAGTTTGCTTGGGGTTTTAGAAAGCCAGATTTTTTAATCAAATATTGTGTAACTCAAATATTTTTTACTCCAATTCAACAGGTCAGCAATCGTTATAGAATGTCCTTCTGGGTACTATTCCTTGGCCAATGCCACAAGCTGTATTGGTTGTCCAGCTGGGTCAAAATGTCCCAATAAGAACGGCGTCGGCATCGAGGTGTGTAACGCCGGAACCTACGCCACAGGTAACTCCGTAGCCTGTACAGACTGTCCACCTGGCTTCTACTGCCCCCTGACAACCTCAGACCAGTCCATCGAATGTTCTCCTGGAACTTACTCCGTTGGAATACAGACTTCATGTACAGAATGTCCGACAGGAACGTGAGTATTGGATGTTCGATGCTATCACAGTTTTGTAGATTAAATTTTAAGGAGTAATTTCTGTTGATGCCCAACTCCGGTAAACCAATAGCATATATTTCTGAGCTATCTCCCTTGATACTTTATATAGTGATATTTATTTTAAAGACAAAAATTCAGGTATATAATAACAAAAGTTTGCGAGTGATCTCCCCTGATGATACCACCGTTATTTCCCTTGAAATATATTCTTTAGAGATAAAAAGTGGCACATTATAATAACAAAATAATTGGAGTTGTCTCCCTTGATAAATATCGCCATTCGTTTTGGAGCTATATGCCTTCAGAACCTTTACATAATCTGCTTGAATTTTTCTTTTACCAGTGAATGCCCTTTCACCGACCAGAGCACCCAGATTCTGTGTGCACTAGGGACCTTTTCTGTAGGCAACCAAACATCGTGTACCCAGTGTGCTATAGGATACGAGTGTCCAGACCCCTTCACTAACAGTAGGTCAGTATCTCTTTTTCTAAAGACAATGCCAAGTATCTCTTGTTTTCTATAGACAGCTTTTATATAGTTGGCACCTTTTTGAGATATGATTTTACAATGAATTTCAATGTGAGACAAAATCTTGAAATTTATTAAATTTCATGAAAACACAAGTCTATTTTTCAATTGGAGATCCTGCCATTTTTTCTGCATTGAAATTATTTGGTTCATTGTATGTAAAAATCAATGTCAACATGGAGCACCTGGGCCTGTATTCATGAAACTGTTATCATGCTCAAACCTCGATTTTCTGCTAAAGCTCATTTTCTTATTCTGGTGATAAACAATTTAGATGAATATTGAGACGAATTTTTGAGTGACTAAATGCTGAATTCCATTTACTTGACTTTTGTAATTTGTCACATAATTTAAGGGAATTACATTGTACAAGAATGTTGGTTTGAGCACAGAATCCATACAACTGATACTCCTTAAATATGTCACATGACTAACTTGGGTTATTTACCTATTTTGGTCTTGCCTGGGTCATCCTATTTATATCTTATAATCTGATCTAGTAAGAGGTTACAGTCAAGCCCCTTCCTCGTAATCTGTGTGCTTACGTGAAAAATTAAATGCTTCATAATTGGTTGGTGTTACAGTACTCCATGTGCAGCCGGCTATTACTCTAATGGAGGACAGGAACAGTGTACGATGTGTCAGGAAGGCCAATACTGTGAATTTACGACACAAGGCGGTTTAGACTGTGCTGAAGGATTAGTTAGCACGGACGCTTCTACCAACTGTACAGCGTGTACTGCCGGGTACTACTGCCCCACTACCAGATGTAAGTAATACTACAAAATACCCCCAAAATACTTTACACAGGGAAAGTTTCGCTCAGTCAAGATTACGCCCTTCGTCTGTGAAATCTAAATTAGCCCAGTATTAGTTTTGCCTCCTTAATTACTAAGTGAAGTGTGTTCTTTACTACTGTTTCCCTTTCATTTAGGTGATAAGCCTACTGTATGTTGAACTTGTAGCGGTATATCGTGATTATACTGTCACCAATATCCATTTTACTGGCTCCGCAGTATTTAACTATAAATACAGAAAGACTCTTTTCAATTTTCAGACTCCCAAATGACTGAATGTCCGGAGGGATATTATTCTATCGCTGGACAGATAAAATGTTCGAAATGTGATCCTGGGTATCAGTGTCCGATGGCTTCTACTACTCCAGCGCCACCTGATGGCCTGTGTAACAAGGGAGGCTACTGCCCTGATGGTAAACTCTTTGTAGCCTGTAATCCGGGGAAATACAACGCCTTCAACGGATCAACAGTGGAGACCCAGTGTTCTCCCTGTCCGGCAGGTATCTAGCTGAATCAATTAACTCTGTGTACTTGTAAAGCTTTGAATGATCTCAGCTCAAACTAAAAACCCTTACAGTTCGGACAGTTCTGATCCAAATAATATATCCTTTGTTAGAATTTCCCCTATCCCTCATACCAAAAAATTATACTCTTTTTTTTCTTTTTCTTTTCTCTAGCACATTTACCTGTGAATTGTGTGAGGAAAGCTGATTTGTTTCAGGCTGTGATTACCACCAATGAAAGGTAGAATACTTTTCTGTTATTGCTGCCGCAATTTTTTTCCAGGGTACTACTGTGACCAGCAGGGACTGGAGGACTACTCATTGTACCTGTGTCCTGTGGGGGCCTATTGTCCATCCGGAACTGTCGATCCCACCAATTGTCCAGGTACAGACTCATATATAGTGCCAGCTGTTTACAAGGCAACGTTTGTCATTTTGTCTTAAGTAGGGTCTGTGTAGAGATCATACTAATTGTAAGTATTGTAAATAGGGAACTCACTTGTGTACGTATTTTGTCTTTTGCCTTGGAATGACTTATTTTACAGTCTCATGGTGACTAAGTATTATGGAAGTATTGTGTTATGCTTTTTGTTTTGCTTACTGACCTTAAGTTGACAAGTGGTTTACTGAATGTAATTTGAACTCATGATGACCTTAACTTGACCTTTCATTAACCTAAGATTGACAATATATTAATTTTTCAGTGACCTTGAATTGACCTTATATTAACTTTATTTTGACCTCACCATGCTTTTATGTTTATCTTACCTTAAATTGGCCTTGTCTTGACTTTAAATTGACTTTACATTGGCCTTAAATTGACCTTTCATTGACCTTAAATTTACCTTACATTGACCGTAAATTGACATAATGCTTTAGCATTATAGCCATTTTGTGACCCTATGACATCATAACATGCTAATTATCTCCCATTATGGCCATTTTGTGATCCTATGACATCATAACATCCTAATTATCTCCCTTTATGGACATTTTGTGACCCTATGACATCATAACATGCTAATTATCTCCCTTTGAAGGTGGTACCTACAATGACCAGGGAAATGCGACACGGTTGAGTGACTGCAAGGTGTGTCCTGCTGGATACTACTGTCCCGATGGCACTGGCGACCAGGGAACCATTTGCCCCAAAGGGTTCTACTGTCTGGCCGGTCAGACTGACCCTACCGTGAAACCGTGTCCTGTGGGGACCTATGGTCCAGCCGAGGGATTCAGCAGTGAGTAGCTATGGTTATCTGAGTCCAGACAACAACTGCATATTGGGAAATTTTTGCCGCTGTCTAATTTTCGCCTTTTTTTCGCCTTAATTCACGTGCGTTACTTTATCCTGACAGTGAATGAAAATATACTAATACTCTACATACTTTATATTGTTAATACAAGTGAAGGGTGAAAGTAATGCTGGGTGAAGACAGATTTTACTAGTGAATGGCAAAAGTTTCCTCACATACAGCATCCTTATCAGTAAAATTACAGTTAAACTCGCCTGAGTGACCCCTTATCTATAAGAATGTACATTTTGTACCAGTAATGTTGACAGACAGTTTTGATGTAAAACAACAACCTGGTTACTTAAATTTGTTATTTCCATGTCTTTATAGATGAAACACAGTGTACAGAGTGTCCCGCGGGACACTTCTGTCCTGCTGGCTCCGGAGTCGCTCCGACAGAAGCTCCTACAAAATGTTCCGCGGGGAAGTACAACCCTGACACAGGAAGTGGACTGGAACTCAACTGCAAGCTGTGTGACTCTGGGAGGGCTTGTCCTTGGGAAGGTCAAATCAACTCGACACACGATTGCCAGGAAGGTTAGTATGATCCCATCAAATGGACCATCGGGGTAGGAATGGTTCAAACACCTACAAACAACTATAAACTATATACTGATCCCTTCCTCAAGAGTAGCACTTGTGTTTAACAGATTTTCATGGAAGCCTCTGTTACAGCAGACTGTCCAAGCAATTAATTCAGGTTTATAAGATTGCGAAAAAAACTATTTTTAAGAGCATATATAGTAGTCGCTTTGACTAGTAAAATATTTCCGTAACTCTAGAGTGTGACAGAGAAATCTCCAACCCAAAGGTTGATTTATTGAGAGCCTCGGGTTAGACAACCCAAATAATCACCCCGAGGATTGCAGATTTCTCTGTTACACATGCAAGGTAGGGGATGATCATTTTTAGGGCCCCGTATCGGAGATACGGGTGCCTTATAGTAATCACTCTGTCTGTCTGTCTGTCCGTCCACAAATTTTGTTCCTGGCTGATAACTTTGGTATTTTTTGACCGATGTACATGAAACTTGGTCAAGATTTTCAGTTCACAAAAATACACTTTGAGGTAAAAAGTCAAGGTCAAAGGTCAAGGTCATTAGGTTCAAAGGTCAAGGTCAAATTTTACATCTTTTCACTGATGAACATTTTGTTATGACATTATGAAGCAAAGTTGATCAGAATTAAACAAGGAGTCAACTGACTAAAGTTCAAGGTCATCAGGTCAGGGGTCAAGGTCAAATTTTATAGCTTTTCACTGGTGAACATTTCGCTATGACATTATGGAGCAAAGTTGTTCGGAATTAAACAAAGAGACACACTGAGGTAAAAAGTCGAGGTCAAAGGTCAAGGTCATTAGATTCAAAGGTCAAAGTCAAATTTTGCACCTTTTCACTGATGAACATTTCGCTATGACACTTTGAAGCAATGAAGCTCAGAATTAAACAAGGAGTCAATTGACCAAAGGTCAAGGTCACTGGGTCAAAGGTGAAGGTTACATTTTTCTTGATGAACATTTTGTTATGACATTATGAAGCAATGTTGTTCAGAACTTAACACAGAGTCAACTGACCTTAAGTCCAGGTTACAGGGTTCAAAGGGTCAAGATCAAGTTTTGTATTTTCACTGATGAACATTTTGTTATGATATTAAGAAGCAAAGTTGGTCAGAATGAAAGAATAAGTCAACTGACCAAAGATCAGGGTCACTGGGTTAATGGTCAAGGTCATTTGGGTCCAAAGGTCAAAGACAAAGTGGATCTCTGACTTTGACCCTGGCTCTGGAGGAGGAGGTATATAAGGTGAAATAAAACAAATCAAAGCTAACAAATGAGTATTGCACCGGTATTTACATTTCTGTTAGGCCAGCAAATATGGAGGTGGAAGGAAACAAGACTCAAATCATAGTACATGTAAAATGTATATTTAGCGTCATTGTGATTCTTTTTGAAGTCCAAATATCAAAAGTCAAGCTCACCTATATGGGCAGATTGCTTCTTGATGATTATGGGGGATATATTGCCACAAGACGGGGCCCTTACTGACCTGTCAGTGTTCTAGTTCTCCCATCATTCCAATACTATGTTTACAAACAATAGTTTTCAGCATTTGTAATATGTTTGTTATCCTGATTTGTACATCACCTTTCCTGTCAAGAGCTGATAATGATGTCACATCATAGGGTGATCTTGTTGTTGCTAGGGAAGAGTAGGATAGGGAAATTCGACTAGAGGGGTTTTCAAATTTGGTAAAACCTGAGGCTTTGCTGTGGTTTTTGCCAAATTTGAAAATCCTGAGGGTAGAATTTCCCTATCCTATACCTTTGGGCATGAAAGAGTATTTTTCTCTCATTCTTACCTCCAGAATAAGCTCAGAAACCATGAAAATGCGTTTGGACTGACCACCATTTTGAAACTATTTCAGGTTACTTCTGTCCAGTTGGGACTTCGACCCCGGATCAGTTTCCTTGCTTCCCAGGAACATTCACCAACAGGACAGATTTAACGAGTGCGGAAGACTGTGAACTTTGTCCTCAAGGATACTACTGTGAATGGGCCACAAGTAAGTAGAAGTAGATGATGTAACTCTTTTACCCCTAGGTAGCTTTAATAGACTCTACCATTCATTTATCTGGATGAGTACATTCTGGTCTACAGTGGTGAAAGGGTTAAACATATTTTCTTGCCAATAGGGGACCCAATGGAAATAGGCTTTCTATGGCTTTGATGGGCTCTCACAGGGTCAGACAAACTAAGTAAATTATAGATATCAACTTTGTAAATTACCGACTTATATGAAAATGTTTTGTTGTGTATGCCTTTTCCTGAATAAATATTATTATAATGCAACCTATTGAGTGAAATCAACATTGTTCAAATATGGATATAATCGTCGAAGAGTGAAGAATCTGGATGATGATGGCGACGACGACGACGAAATTACCATTTAAAATATAGATTTGCTCCCACTTTCTGTACAGAAATGTTCAAAGACTTACACATTTTTATGCTACTATAGCTGGCATGGGAACAGTGGACGGACCGCAGAACTGTAGACGAGGGTTCTATTGTCCGCAGGGATCCCCAAATCCGGAGCAGTTTCCCTGTCCAGCAGGAACATATTCGGACGCTGCTAACCTATACCAGGCTAGCCAATGCACACCTTGTCCAGCCGGATACTACTGCACAGGTGAACTATGTCTACAGTATTCTGTGTTTTGTGACACTCCTGCCTAACACCTGATTTATGTCTTACTATATTATTGGACAGCCAGATACTGTGTGACAGGATAATCATGTTCTCTGTGTAAGGTAGTATATTACAATTCAACGAGATCTCCAGTGTTTTCTGCATAGCTAATTCTATTCGACAAATAGATTATGTCTCAAGGATTTTGTTTGTAGTAAAACACATAAAATTGTAAAATTTGATCATATGTCGGGGTAAATTACGTGTCAGGTTAATCGTTTGTCCAGGTCTCTGTGTAAGGTAGTATAATACAATTCAACAATTTTTTCCAGTGTTTTCTGCATAGCTAATTCTATTCGACAAATAGATTATGTCTCAAGGATTTTGTTTGTAGTAAAACACATAAAATTGTAAAATTTGATCATATTCTAGGGTAAATTACGTGTCAGGTTAATCGTTTTTCCAGGTCTCTGTGTAAGGTAGTATAATACAATTCCATGATTTTTTTTTCAGTTTTTTTCTGCATAGCGAGATTCTATTGGACAAGTAGATAATGTCTTAAGGATTTTGTGTGTAGTAAGACACATATATAATTTGATAATATGTCAGCGTTCATTACGTGTCTTGTACCCCGGTGTGAACACTGTTGTAACCCTCATGTGAATTGTTCAACAGGTGGTCAAAACATGACGACAGGAATTTGTCCAATCGGCTACTACTGTCCCGAGTCCACTATCAACGGGGAACAATACGGCTGTCCGAACGGGACGTACAACAATCTAGTGGGAGCGATGGGCCTCAGCAACTGTACAAACTGTACACAGGGTGAGGCCTTCTACTCAAAACCTTGATCACTCACCTTTTTGTTTTTGAAGGAAAAACACCTTTTTGTTCCTACTTTATAAACACTCTAGCAATTACATTGATTAATATTTCACTTGAGTTAGATCAACAAGAATGTCTTGTACAGTCAATAAATGTATAATAAGCTATGTTAAATGTGATATTTAGTTTCCTTATCAACAGTTTCTGAGTCCCCTTGTGAATGTACCAATATTGTGCAGGTTTATAGATGTTATTTCTATAGAATAGTATTAATTCAATTTATCTTTTTACAGGTCACTACTGCGAGTTTCGTACCACAGTTCCGGAGAAGTGCCAGCCGGGAACATACATGCCATGGGGTACAGATGGTTCTGGGAACATGATTGGTCCAGGTAAGATTACCTGTAATTAAAGGTCACATGATTGGTCCAGGTATGTTTACCTGTAATTAAAGGTTGCATGATTGGTCCAGGTAAGATTACCTGTAATTAAAGGTCACAGGATTGGTCCAGGTATGTTTACCTGTAATTAAAGGTCACATGATTGGTCCAGGTATGTTTACCTGTAATTAAAGGTCAAATGATTGGTCCAGGTAAGAAAGATTACCTGTAATTAAAGGTCAAAGGATTGGTCCAGGTAAGATTACCTGTAGTTATAGGTCACATGATTGGTCCAGGTTAGATCACCTGTAATTAAAGGTTGCATGATTGGTCCAGGTAAGATTACCTGTAATTAAAGGTCAAATGATTGGTCCAGGTAAGATTACCTGTAATTAAAGGTCACAGGATTGGTCCAGGTATGTTTACCTGTAATTAAAGGTCACATGATTGGTCCAGGTATGTTTACCTGTAATTAAAGGTTGCATGATTGGTCCAGGTAAAAAAAATACCTGTAATTAAAGGTCACATGATTAGTCCAGGTAAGATTACCTGTAATTAAAGGTCACATGATTGGTCCAGGTAAGATTACCTGTAATCAAAGGTCACATGATTGGTCCAGGTAAGATTACCTTTAATTATAGGTCACATGATTGGTCCAGGTAAGATTACCTGTAATTAAAGGTCACATGATTGGTCCAGGTAAGATTACCTGGATTACCTGTAATCAAAGGTCACATGATTGGTCCAGGTAAGATTACCTGTACTTATAGGTCACATGATTGGTCCAGGTAAGATTACCTGTCATTAAAGGTCACATGATTGGTCCAGGTAAGATTACCTGTAATTAAAGGTCACATGATTGGTCCAGGTAAGATTACCTTTAATTATAGGTCACATGATTGGTCCGGGTAAGATTACCTGTAATTAAAGGTCACATGATTGGTCCAGGTAAGAGTACCTGTAATTAAAGGTCACATGATTGGTCCAGGTATTTTTACCTGTAATTAAAGGTTGCATGATTGGTCCAGGTAAGATTACCTGTAATTGTAGGTCAAATGATTGGTCCAGGTAAGATTACCTGTAATTGAAGGTCACATGATTGGTTCAGGTAAGATTACCTGTAATTAAAGGTCACAGGATTGGTCCAGGTAAGATTTCCTGTAGTTATAGGTCACATGATTGGTCCAGGTAAGATTACCTGTCATTATAGGTCACATGATTGGTCCAGGTAAGATAACATGTAATCAAAGGTCACATGATTGGTCCAGGTAAGATTCCCTGTACTTATAGGTCACATGATTGGTCCAGGTAAGATAACATGTAATCAAAGGTCACATGATTGGTCCAGGTAAGATTACCTATCATTAAAGGTCACATGATTGGTCCAGGTAAGAGTACCTGTAATTAAAGGTCACATGATTGGTCCAGGTAAGATAACCTGTAATCAAAGGTCATATGATTGGTCCAGGTAAGATAACCTGTAGTTATAGGTCACGTGATTGGTCCAGGTAAGATTACCTGGATTACCTGTAATCAAAGGTCACATGATTGGTCCAGCTAAGATTACCTGTACTTATAGGTCACATGATTGGGCCAGGTAAGATTACCTGTCATTAAAGGTCACATCATTGGTCCAGGTAAGATTACCTGTAATTAAAGGTCACAGGATTGGTCCAGGTAAGATTCCCTGTAGTTATAGGTCACATGATTGGTCCAGGTAAGATAACCTGTAATCAAAGGTCATATGATTGGTCCAGGTAAGATAACCTGTAGTTATAGGTCACGTGATTGGTCCAGGTAAGATTACCTGTACTTATAAGTCACATGATTGGTCCAGGTAAGATTACCTGTACATATAGGTCACATGATTGGTCCAGGTAAGATTACCTTTAATTATAGGTCACATGATTGGTTCAGGTAAGATTACCTGTAATTAAAGGTCACAGGAGTGGTCCAGGTAAGATTACCTGTAGTTATAGGTCACATGATTGGTCCAGGTAAGATAACCTGTAATCAAAGGTCACATGATTGGTCCAGGTAAGATAACCTGTAATCAAAGGTCACATGATTGGTCCAGGTAAGATTACCTGTAATCATAGGTCACATGATTGGTCCAGGTAAGATAACATGTAATCAAAGGTCACATGATTGGTCCAGGTAAGATCACAGTAATTAAAGGTCACAGGATTGGTCCAGGGAAGATTACCTGTAGTTATAGGTCACATGATTGGTCCAGGTAAGATCACTGCAATTAAAGGTCACAGGATTGGTCCAGGTAAGATTACCTGTAGTTATAGGTCACATGATTGGTCCAGGTAGGATTACCTGTAATTATAGGTCACATGATTAGTCCGTTAATTGGTACCGGTTACGCTGAAGTATTTCAGTTTGATTACAGAAAACAGATATTTATGCTATTTATCCGGTGAGCATAGTTGACATTTTGTCTTCTCCCTGTCTCATTTCCTTGTGTTGACATTAGAAGGATTCATCAGTATCCATCAGATTAATCTAGTGTAAATACATTTTTCTTTGCTTAACCTTGTCAAATGCTAGGTACTCAATTTTATAGAAACATTTCATCGCAAGTCATTCTTGACTTATTTTCATGTCAAGTTTATTTTGAAGATTTTGAGTTAAGAAATACTGAATAAAAATGAAAAACTTAAATTTGTTGTTATAGAGTCAGCCAAGCGACAGTTTGACTGTTTGGACTGTCCTGGAGGGTCCTACTGTGGAGAAGGGACCATTACCCCACATGATTGTGGAACAGGTCTTTATTCTAAAGTGGGACAATTTGAATGTAAAACCTGTATAATGGGGTGAGTACTCTACAAAATATTACACCAAGGTTAACAATACAGTAAAACAAGGGAGATAACAACAAGGTTAACCATACAGTAAACCAAGGGAGATAACAACAAGGTTAAGCATACAGTAAAACAAGGGAGATAACAACAAGGCTAACCATACAGTAAAACAAGGGAGGTAATAACAAGGTAAACCATACAGTAAAACAAGGGAGATAACATCAAGGTTTACAATACAGTAAAACATGGGAGGTAATAACAAGGTTAACCATACAGTAAAACAAGGGAGATAACAACAAGGTTTACCATACAGTAAAACAAGGGAGATAACAACAAGGTTAACCATACAGTAAAACAAGGGAGATAATAACAAGGTTAACCATACAGTAAAACAAGGGAGGTAACAACAAGGTTAACCATACAGTAAAACAAGGGAGATAACAACAAGGTTAACCATACAGTAAAACAAGGGAGATAACAACAAGGTTAACCATACAGTAAAACAAGGGAGATAACAACAAGGTTAACCATACAGTAAAACAAGGGAGATAACAACAAGGTTAACCATACAGTAAAACAAGGGAGATAACAACAAGGTTAACCATACAGTAAAACAAGGGAGATAACAACAAGGTTAACCATACAGTAAAACAAGGGAGATAACAACAAGGTTAACCATACAGTAAAACAAGGGAGATAACAACAAGGTTAACCATACAGTAAAACAAGGGAGGTAACAACAAGGTTAACCATACAGTAAAACAAGGGAGATAACAACAAGGTTAACCATACAGTAAAACAAGGGAGATAACAACAAGGTTAACCATACAGTAAAACAAGGGAGGTAAAAACAAGGTTAACCGCATAGTAAAACAAGGGAGGTAAAAACAAGGTTTACCATACAGTAAAACAAGGGAGGTAAAAACAAAGTTTACCATACAATAAAACAAGGGAGGTAACAACAAGGTTAAACATACAGTAAAATAAGGGAGATAACAACAAGGTTAACCATACAGTAAAACAAGGGAGGTAAAAACAAGGTTAACCGCATAGTAAAACAAGGGAGGTAAAAACAAGGTTTACCATACAGTTAAACAAGGGAGATAACAACAATGTTTACCATACAGTAAAACAAGGGAGATAACAAGGCTTTCTTAAGATAAAAACAAGGGAGATAATAGCAATGCTTACTGAATAGTAAAACAAGGGAGGTAACAACAAAGCTAATTTAACAGTAAACAAAGTAAATAAGCCTTAACAACAAGACTAACTATACAGTAAAACAAACAGGTTTACTTAACTTTAACAAGGGAGATAATACAAATATTCACTACACAGTAAAATAAGGGAGATAACAAGGCTTACTTTACAGAAAAAGTAAGGGAGATAATAACAGGGTTTACTACATAGCTCTGAATATATTAACAATTGTCTCATGAACATAAAACCATTTTCTTTGCTAGGTCCTCCGGAGTTAATTACAATTTTTTCTACAACAAACCTGTTTGTTTATAACCACTTTTCTGTTTCAGTCATTATTGTGACAATGTTACGACGTCTGAGAGTGACATGTTGAATGAAAAGGTCTGTCATCAAGGTCACCTGTGTGGAGAGGGACTGACTTCCATGTCTTCGGCAGCCGTCTGTATACCGGGAACTTACTGCCCAGCAGGTGTGTACAAAATTATATCAGTTAAATATCTCTGATGATTGTAACCCCTGCAAGTATGTGGTAATGGGACCTAAGTTATAAGAGTGATTTCTTTTTCTGTAAATACAAACTTTGTCTTTTTCTAAGGTATTATGTAGCTTTTAATTACACTTGATACACAATACAAGGTAGCTGTTTATACTTCTATTTTTCATTTATTACTTTTCTTGCTATGAACTGTATACGTTTTAATTTTGTGCATTTAATTGCTTTGTTAAATTCAGTTCATGGTTCAGACTATTGTGACAAACATTTACATGATGCGAGGTTCTAGGTGGATGTAGTTAGAAATGCCAATAAAACAAACCTCCATGGGATAGTGACTACAGTATTATTTTCCTTCAGTAAGATTCATCAGATTAAAAATATGTATCAAAGCTTTGTTTTATATTCAAACATTGTATGTTTTAAACATGTTGTAATATTTCAAGACTGGTAGTCCTTAATTGTCCTGGGCTTGGTATTAACCATTTCACCACTGTAGACCAATGTATGGTAGAGTCTACACAAGTTGCCTAGGGATGAAAGGGTTAACTGCAATAAAAACACCAATCCTCATCAATCAATCGATCACTGCTACCGTATTGTATTTACAGGTACTCTTGAGATGATAAATTGTCCTGTGGGTACGATTCAGAATGAGACGGCGCGATGGGATGTAACACTGCACTGTCTCCCGTGTCCTGCCGGCTCCTACTGTCTGGCCGCGTCAGCGTCTATAACTGGTTTGTGTGATATGGGCTACTACTGTCCTAGTCCTGTCGATACTGTCTACCTAACTCCTCCCGCGAAGATCGGAGCTTACGGACCACAGCAGGTTTGTTTATGTGACAGAATAACATTTTGTTAAATTTGTTTGATTTGGTGTCTATTATTCAGTACGGTAAATACAATCTAAGATGTAGACAGTAACAAACACTATGGTATACTTAACCAATCTCAACGAAATGAATTGTTATTGTTCCATGTATTATTTTAATATTGATATCACATGTTCTTCTCAACATTTCACGGCTTTACGTACAGCTGACAGGTAAAATGTTGTACCCTTAGGGAAGTTCTGGTGGATTAATAAGAAGAAGATTAGGAACATAACAAAAAGCAATATATCTTTTCACTTGATGATGAAACGTTTAACCACTACATGTCCTTATTTAATGTAGATTCCCTGCCCCCAAGGGACCTACGCCGACGTGACAGGTACTCCGGACGAAGCTAGTTGTAAACCGTGTCCCGCTGGGTACTATTGTCCCCTAGCCAGTACAGCCACCTTGAACTGTCTACAAGGTTACTACTGTCCCGCTAATTCCTCGGCTCCGACCTCCTGTCCTATTGGACGTTACGGAAATGCTTCAAGTGAGTATGATTAGAGCGTTTGATATTGTTTGATCCCCAACACATTAGAAGTTGTGTATTCAACTTTGGCATTGGGGGAAACCTTCAAATAAGTTCTACAAGTTCTGTGATTTTTGACAAAGCAATTTTTCCATAAAAAATTGAAGCAGCAAAACTAATACGTTCTTTCCTTAAGGATGTACTCTTCGGAGGTTTCAATCACGTTCAAGTCACGTTCAAGTCTCGTTTTGATCTGGTGTAAAGGGGTTTTGTAATATTTAACAAATTACGATCAAATTTATTAGCAAACACACACATGCAAAATATGTCAAAAAACTAGATGCCTGTTATTTGTAGAACTTTTTTTAGAAGGATTTAAAAAAATTACGAATTTGGCGGCCATTTTGAAAATGTGTATTAATGTGTATTTCTTGCGCTTCAAAAAAGGCCAAAATTTCACCTTTTTTGACACCAGATTGACCACTTAAGTTGTCAATGTGTCGCCATTTTTAATTGTAGCAGGTTCAATTTTGCTGTTCAACTTTATAATGTTCAATATGATGAAAATGATATGCAGGAAACTCGAAAATTATACATTATTGATTTTTTTTTTCGTATTTAGTGTTACTGAAGCACTTTTGATTTTTGACCCCGAAAAAGGTAAAAATTAACACAAATGATAATGGGACAAAAAAAGAAGCACACTGACCCCCCATTTTTGTAGATGTTTTAGAAAGAGAAACACATTTTCATTTAATTCATTAAATATTTTTAAAAGTTTAATACCAGAACTTTTTCTATCAAGCGTTTAATCTGCAAAAAAAAGGTAAAAAATGAGTATTTTTTCATTAAAAAATAGGGGGTAGGGGTAACTAAAATCGGCTTTCTGAGTTAAAAGCATAAGATTAAGAAATTTTACTTCCATAAATTAAAAGAAAATAATATTTTCATCAATTCTACAAACATTCATACATATCTGATAACACACTTGGAAGAAATTGTATGAATTTGTTCTGCAAATGGTCAAAACCCAAAAAATCACCTAAAATCACATGTTGTGTTAAATTGGTATCTGAGACCGATCATAGCACAAAAACGAATACACGGACATATATTTTTGTTTTGCATTTTCTATACTATGCCATTAGCTCCTTTTACCAAAATCCATATAAGAAAAAAAGTTTAATACAGGAAATTTTTGACTTCTCAGAGGTGTACATCCTTAATACGTTCTGTTATGGCCACCAGACCTGAAATCTACAAAAAAAATAATTCAAATCTGTGAAAATGACAGACTGCTAAAACAAGGAAGATTTTACAGTAAAACTCATCTACCCCTGAAAACACATTTTACCTCATTATGAAATTTCAGGGGTGAATGAGATAATCAATGTTTCAAAGTATTTACATTTCTTATGTACTGCCTCAGAACAAAGTTCAAACTGTCGTTATTAAACAACACTGTAAACTATTGTAAAACAGTTTCCAATTGTTTAAATTTTTCTGTAACCTGTTAGAGTAATTAGGAAGTAATGATCTTGTGATAAAAAATATAAACTTTGATGGAAATATCTTATCATTTTCCAATCAACATTTGCCACCGGAGAGAACAACTGACAGAAATAGCAACCGTAGAAAGACATCATCCTCTCTAGTAATGGCTGTTGTGCCTGTTTACTTGGTCAATGTTTTAAGCATTGAACTGCTTTCAGTTAGCATTCATAGGCAACACGCTAGCACTCCATGTTGGATTTGCCTTTGTCCAGTTTGAATTCATATTGCCTGTGAATGCCAGCTGAAAGCAGTTCAATACTTATACATATGTATTTACTATTTTTGGAATCTGTTCATCTCATAAAAAAATCAATTATACTTATTAGTATTCAGCATTTAGTTCAAATAATGTATGTATCATGTATGCTTTTTCAATGAATAGAACAGCCATCGCCCAGGGAGGGTCAGTGGTATCGAACGAAACACATTTGGTCCATAGCATTCATTGCCTAAAGGATTGCCAACTCAATTTGGTAGGGTTATATAGTGACAATGCCATACGATGGTAAATATAACTGTATGAAACTCTGTTTGTTTTCAGACCTGATGGCGATGGATGACTGTAATCTCTGTGACCCGGGTTTCTACTGTGACGCCCCAGGTTTACTCAGTCCCCGCGACCAGTGCGACCCGGGTTTTGTGTGCTTCAGTGGAGCGTCAACCTCTGGACCGACGGACGGTGTAACGGGAGACCGCTGTCCTGCCGGTGGATACTGTCTAAAAGGTAGTTATGATCCCCTCGCAGCAGAAGTTTGAGGGTATATAGGATTGCACTCGTACATATATACGTATGTTACACTCTTTGTCATCATTCTAGCGACTTCATTTCTCAACGGAAATTCATGAAACTTAATACAAGTGCTTGGTATGGCAATGCTTTGAAAAAGCTGCGTTTCAGGTTTTTACTTTGAAGGGCAAGGTCACTGTTACTATTTTTAGAGAGAAAAATTTTCATCACTCTAGCGACTTTATTACTGCACGGAATTTCATGAAACTAGATACAAGTGTTTGGTATGACAATACCTTGAACAAGTTCATGTTCAGGTTAGTGCGTTAAAGGTACAGATACTGATACATCATTGAATTTTCTATGCATTTCCTCATACACATGTCACACAAAGTGTGAATGGGAGGGGATTTGTATCCCTTGTGATGGCATGTTAGTCAAAGACTCATTCCCACCATTCACAGAATTCTCCCATTACACCTTCTCTTGCATTTTCTGTCACACCTAGAGGATATGTCATGGGAGTTACAGATATGAAGTCATAATCAGCTCTTGGTGGGAGAGATCATATGCAAAACAGGATAAAAAACCAGATTACAAGTGTAGTGAAAATTAAGTAGTGAAAACGGAAAGTATTGGAATGATTGGAAAGACGTTGTTACTCCCTACATTGAGCATGCATAAATAAGTAGATGTACAGTATTCATTCTATACATTATATTTACAGGATCCTTTGAGGCGAAACCCTGTCCTATGGGTACCTACAGTAATGTGTCCGGGTCGGTAGATAAGTATGACTGTACCGACTGCGACCCAGGGTACTACTGCTCACAACTGTCGGGAGGCGCCCCAACGGGCCCGTGTAATGCTGGGTGTTACTGCACGGGAGCTGCAACCAATGCTTGTCAATTTGCCACAGAGGCAGGTTAGTATATTGGTGATGAGTGATTAATAGGGCCACATACTTGTGTTCACTGATGCAGTCAAGTGATGAGGGTCCTTATAGGACATAGAATACAGGGTGTTATAACATATTGGCCACAATAAAAAAGAAATACACATTATGGCAAGTCAGTGCATTTTTGAGGAAAATGTGAAGCTCCTACAGGAAATGTGATGATGTGATTTATTTATATAGACCATAGTGTTATTTACAGAATTTGTACAAGAGGAAAGGTCGTTGGGACCCCTAGGGAGGAATGAGTGTATCGTATAGGGGCCTTAGGGTTTGTGCCTGAAATCCATATTCCTCTGAAATTTAAATTATACTTCGAGAAACCATGAAAAAATATTTAAAGTTGAAAATATAACCATTGTTTTGCCAGGTTATTTTTCACCAGCGGCTTCCAGCTTGGTAACAGAGTGTTTGGTGGGGACCTACAATCCATTACCACAACAGGGAGCATGCTTAACCTGCCCAGCAGGGTCATACTGTCAAGATAAAGCCATGAATTACTCCATCATCTGCCCCAGCGGTCAGTACTGTCCGGAGGGGAGTCAGATTCCATCTGATTGTCCACCAGGGACTTTCTTGAGTCAGTAAGTTATCTTTCTTAATTCTGTCCAAAGACAGTGTATTACCTCCCTTTACTCTTCCCGAGGACAAGATATATCACATTACCCTAAAACTCTAAGAATCTAAGTTGTCTCCTTTTACCATGCCCTAAGACAGCAAATTACCTCATTTTACTGTGATATTCAAGAGTAAACTATCTCCCATTATTGTGATCTAAGACTATAAGTTATCTCCCTTTATTGTGATCTCCGACTGTAAGTTATCTCCCTTTATTGTGATCTAAGACTTTTAGTTATCTCCCTTTATGGTGATTGATGCCAGTTATCTACCTTTATTGTGATAACTGTGTATAAAATTTGACCTGTGTCATTATAACTATGAATAAGATTAGACTCTGTGTCATGTGTCATTATAACTATGTGTAGGATTAGACTGTGTGTCATGTGTCATTATAACTATGTATAAGATTAGACTCTGTGTCATGTGTCATTATAACTATGTATAAGATTAGACTCTGTGTCATGTGTCATTATAACTATGTGTAAGATTAGACTCTGTGTCATGTGTCATTATAACTATGTGTAAGATTAGACTCTGTGTCATGTGTCATTATAACTATGTGTAAGATTAGACTCTGTGTCATGTGTCATTATAACTATGTGTAAGATTAGACTCTGTGTCATGTGTCATTATAACTATGTGTAAGATTAGACTCTGTGTCATGTGTCATTATAACTATGTGTAAGATTAGACTCTGTGTCATGTGTCATTATAACTATGTGTAAGATTAGACTCTGTGTCATGTGTCATTATAACTATGTGTAAGATTAGACTCTGTGTCATGTGTCATTATAACTATGTGTAAGATTAGACTCTGTGTCATGTGTCATTATAACTATGTGTAAGATTAGACTCTGTGTCATGTGTCATTATAACTATGTGTAAGATTAGACTCTGTGTCATGTGTCATTATAACTATGTGTAAGATTAGACTCTGTGTCATGTGTCATTATAACTATGTGTAAGATTAGACTCTGTGTCATGTGTCATTATAACTATGTGTAAGATTAGACTCTGTGTCATGTGTCATTATAACTATGTGTAAGATTAGACTCTGTGTCATGTGTCATTATAACTATGTGTAAGATTAGACTCTGTGTCATGTGTCATTATAACTATGTGTAAGATTAGACTCTGTGTCATGTGTCATTATAACTATGTGTAAGATTAGACTCTGTGTCATGTGTCATTATAACTATGTGTAAGATTAGACTCTGTGTCATGTGTCATTATAACTATGTGTAAGATTAGACTCTGTGTCATGTGTCATTATAACTATGTGTAAGATTAGACTCTGTGTCATGTGTCATTATAACTATGTGTAAGATTAGACTCTGTGTCATGTGTCATTATAACTATGTGTAAGATTAGACTCTGTGTCATGTGTCATTATAACTATGTGTAAGATTAGACTCTGTGTCATGTGTCATTATAACTATGTGTAAGATTAGACTCTGTGTCATGTGTCATTATAACTATGTGTAAGATTAGACTCTGTGTCATGTGTCATTATAACTATGTGTAAGATTAGACTCTGTGTCATGTGTCATTATAACTATGTGTAAGATTAGACTCTGTGTCATGTGTCATTATAACTATGTGTAAGATTAGACTCTGTGTCATGTGTCATTATAACTATGTGTAAGATTAGACTCTGTGTCATGTGTCATTATAACTATGTGTAAGATTAGACTCTGTGTCATGTGTCATTATAACTATGTGTAAGATTAGACTCTGTGTCATGTGTCATTATAACTATGTGTAAGATTAGACTCTGTGTCATGTGTCATTATAACTATGTGTAAGATTAGACTCTGTGTCATGTGTCATTATAACTATGTGTAAGATTAGACTCTGTGTCATGTGTCATTATAACTATGTGTAAGATTAGACTCTGTGTCATGTGTCATTATAACTATGTGTAAGATTAGACTCTGTGTCATGTGTCATTATAACTATGTGTAAGATTAGACTCTGTGTCATGTGTCATTATAACTATGTGTAAGATTAGACTCTGTGTCATGTGTCATTATAACTATGTGTAAGATTAGACTCTGTGTCATGTGTCATTATAACTATGTGTAAGATTAGACTCTGTGTCATGTGTCATTATAACTATGTGTAAGATTAGACTCTGTGTCATGTGTCATTATAACTATGTGTAAGATTAGACTCTGTGTCATGTGTCATTATAACTATGTGTAAGATTAGACTCTGTGTCATGTGTCATTATAACTGTGTATAAGATTAGACTCTGTGTCATGTGTCATTATAACTATGTATAAGATTAGACTCTGTGTCTTGTGTTATTATAACTATGTATAAGATTAGACTCTGTGTCATGTGTCATTATAACTATGTATAAGATTAGCCTCTGTGTCATGTGTCATTTTAACTATGTATAAGATTAGACTGTGTGTCATGTGTCATTATAACTTTGTATAAGATTAGACTCTGGGTCATGTGTCATTATAACTGTGGATAAGATTAGACTCTGTGTCTTGTGTTATTATAAATATGTATAAGATTAGACTCTGTGTCATATGTCATTATAACCGTGTATAAGATTAGACTCTGTATCATATGTCATTATAACTATGTATAGGATTAGACTCTGTGCCATGTGTCATTATAACTATATGTAAGATTAGACTCTGTGTCATGTTTCATTATAACTGTGTATAAGATTAGACTCTGTGTCATGTGTTATTATAACTATGTATAAGATTAGACTGTGTGTCATGTGTCATTATAACTGTGTATAAGATTAGACTGTGTGTCATGTGTCATTATAACTATGTATAAGATTAGACTCTGTATCATGTGTCATTATAACTGTGAGTAAGATTAGACTCTGTATCATGTGTCTTTATAACTATGTATAAGATTAGACTCCGTATCATATGTCATTATAACTATGTATAAGATTAGCCTCTGTGTCATGTGTCATTATAAATATGTGTAAGATTAGACTCTGTATCATATGTCATTAAACTATGTATAAGATTAGACTCTGTATCATAGTTATAATGACATATGACACAGAGTCTTATCTTACACATAGTTATAATGGCACATGACACAGAGTCTAATCTTACACACAGTAATAATGACACATGACACAGAGGCTAATCTTATACATAGTTATAATAACACATGACACAGAGTCTAATGTTATACATAGTTATAATGACATATGACACAGAGTCTGATCTTACACATAGTTATAATGACTCATGACACAGAGTCTAATCTTACTCATAGTTATAATGACACATGATACAGAGTCTAATCTTACACATAGTTATACTGACACATGACACAGAGTCTATCTTATACACAGTTATAATGACATATGATACAGAGTCTAATCTTACTCACAGTTATAATGACACATGACATAGAGTCTAATCTTATACATAGATATAATGACACATGACACAAAGTATAATCTTATACACAGTTATAATGACATATGACACAGAGTCTGATCTTACACATAGTTATAATGACACATCACACAGAGTCTAATCTTACACATATTTATAATGACACATGACACACAGTCTAATCTTATAACTGTGTATAAGATTACACTCTGTGTCATGTGTCATTATAACTATGTGTAAGATTAGACTGTGTCTCCTGTCATTAAACCGTTTGTAAGAGTTCTATACATTTTCTCCGTTTCTCCAGACAAGGAATGATCAGCCTCGACAACTGCACTAACTGTCCCGCAGGTTTTTACTGTCAAGATCGCGGTGCTTCCAACTACACAGCGGAGTGTAAGGCTGGACACATCTGTTACGGGTCTGCCGAGTCAAGGGATCCTGTATACAACAACGACCCAACTGGAAACAAAACCCTCATTCTCTATGGCGACTCATGTAGTCCTGGTTACTACTGTCCCCAGGGCACCGCTGTCATGATCGAGTGTCCAGTTGGCACCTACAACCCCGATCGTAGTGGTCAGTCTGTAGCCAACTGTCTACCTTGTGACCCAGGACGGTACTGTAACAACACAGCTCTTACTGAAACGACAGGTAAAATGTTAATTAGGGAAGCTACAGAAAACATCATTTAGAAACCTAACAAATATATAAAGTAAGAGTCATTATTATAAATATATAAAGTATGGGTCGTTATTATAAATATATAATATATGGGTCATTATTATAAATATATAAAGTACTGGTCATTATTGGGGAATCGGTTCTGAGGCTCTCGTATTGATTCTTTCTCAATCTAGCAAAGTTCAAATATTGAAAACGGTATTCGATTTCAAGTTTCTCTAATATTATTCCAAATCATAGATAAAATGTTTGTAGTATTTTATTGCTGAAAGGTTAATCTGAGTTTCAGCATGAGAATGGTTCAGAAATCAGATCCCATTCTATGGTTTAACATCCTTGACACACTTGCTATTGGGTCCATTTCAAAAAGTAATTTCTTAAAAAGAGTATCTGTAACTATGACTATTTCAATTTTATAATGATGATGATAACTTATTTGTGAATAGAGCCTCTGGTCTCTATCAGAAGTATTGGTCCCACTGATAAGGTTCCTGTGTATATCGGCTCAACACCAGCCATACTGTCTGTAGTCATGTGATATTAACTACTCAACGTGAAGTAAAGTTTTCCAGTGTATCTAGAGTTCTAATTAAGAACGGGCAGCAGGACAAAAGGAATGGTTCAGATCTCGCCTTTTTTTTACAATTCTCAAGTAATTTACTAAAGTTGACCTGTTAAAAATGTCATTTGGTCTGTTCAAATGGAAGCTAGCGAAAAGCCTGGTTTATTAATGTTCATGTCTTTTAATCAGTTGTAATGACCTTCTCGTATAAATTGGTTGGTTGTTCGTTGTCAGGGTTATGTTCGGCCGGGTATTATTGTAAGGGAGGTGCCTGGTTACCCTCTCCTGTCGACAACACAACCGGCGACATCTGTCCTCAGTTCAATTATTGTCCGGCGGGAGCAGACTTGCCAAAAATCTGTGACATTGGTTACTATGCCAACACCACTGGAATGTCAGCCTGTCAACTATGTCTGGCGGGGTATATCTGTTACCCAGGAGAGGCTCCTACCATTTGTCCACAGGGTGAGAAAATCATATTTTTTAATTGTTAATACTCTAATTTTTTTCACACCTACAGAAAGAAAACGTTTTTGTTCACCAATGTGATATTTCTATTACTTAAAGTAGAACGCTCCATAATAAGAATTATTATGGTTTCTTATACATTTTGTAACGCGTCCATGTTAACAGTAATATATGGAGATAAACTAATAATACATTAATTACCTTATAACAGTCACAAACTTAACGATAAATTTACCTCAAACCAAGTGTATCGCTGACCATCTTTATAGGGAAGTGGAAGATATTGTGTCCATGTCATCTGTGTTAGTTTATTGTTTATTTGATATCATATATTTATGGTATGTTCCCAGGAAAGTACTGCCCGGCTAGTACCCTGTCAGATCCTCTTGACAACCCAGATGCATGTCCTATAGGAACCTACAGTACTGACGTGGGGTTATCTCTATCCACTGAGTGCCTCGACTGTAAACCCGGATATTACTGTGATGAAATCGGTAAGCTTAACAGTCGGTGAAACATGTATCTGTTGTGATATCAGTATTGATCAGTCAGTAACCTTGAAATCCCCTTTAAAATTTATACACATTTCTATCATTTGACCCTGATATATCTATTCAGTGACCTTGACTTTTTTAGGTCACCTGAGACAAAGTCTCAAGTGTCCTATTGCGATCGCCTTTTGTCCATCGTCGCCCGTCGTGCGTCAGTAAACAATTTACATTTTCGACTTCTCCAAAACCCCTTAACCAATTTCAATGAAATTTTGCAGAAACCTTCCAGGGCCAAAGGTCAACAAAAATAGCGACTGATTTGGTCCCCAGCCCCCAGGGGCCTGAGGGGCGGGGCCAAAAAGGGTCAAATTGACTAAAATTTCAAAAATCTTCTTCTCAAGACCCAGATATGATAGAATCAAATACTCTTCAAAGATGGAAGGGTCTTAAGGTGCTTTACCAAAATTGTGAATTTCTTGACCCTGGGGTTTCACGTTTCCCCCTGGGGAGGAGGTACACGTTACTATAGTTTATATAGGGAAATAACATTTGTTTAATTTCCAATGGAAGTAATTCAATTTGGGTTAGCATTATCAGTATTGGATAGCAGTTTGATGGTATGCACAAAATTTATTATGGCAAATGATACTATGAATATTGCATGTTGATAATTTGATTGGAATTATAACCCTGAGTTGACAGTTTGATACTTTGAACATTTTGAGCCAGCTCTACCCCCAAGGGCACCCAAAGGAGTCAGTGTGCTAAAATTTCTTCATTTTCCTTGTTTAGAATCAGAGGTGCTAAATTCAAATACTTTTTAGTCTTAAATCTGTATGCTAGATATTGAATAAGGTGGTTTTATTGTTTTTGTCACTTTGAATAATACTTCTGTTCATGTTTTAAAAACAAAAATCAACTCTCTGTAAAAATATATCAGAACTCGGGTGACCATTAGGCCCATGGGCCTCTTGTTAATTTTGACCATGACATTTCTATTTATTGACCTTGACCGTGACATTTCCATACCTAACAGTATTACTGACTAACCTTGACTTTTCTATTCTTTGACCTTGATATAGCGATGCATTGATCTTGACATTTCTTCCTTGACCTTGTCATTTTTACCCCTTTGACATTTCTATCGACCCTTTGACATTTCTATCGACCCTTTGACATTTCTATCGACCCCTTGGACATTTCTATCGACTCTTTGACATTTCTATTGACCCTTTTGACATTTCTATCGAACCCTTTGACATTTCTATCGACCCCTTTGACATTTCTATCGACTCTTTGACATTTCAATCAACCCTTTTGACATTTCTATCGACCCTTTGACATTTCTATCAACCCTTTTGACATTTATATCGACTCTTTGACATTTCAATCGACCCTTTTGACATTTCTATCGACCCTTTGACATTTCTATCAACCCTTTTGACATTTCTATCAACCCTTTTGACATTTCTATCGACCCTTTGACATTTCTATCGACTCTTTGACATTTCAATCGACCCTTTTGACATTTCTATTCATTGAATATCATGTTGTATATCCTTTGACTTTGACAGCATTGGTGAATGTCACTAAGAAGATAGCTGCTGGATGGTGGTCTGTAAGTGGGGCCACAGTGGCCCAGCCTGACGACTACCTGGAGCTGCGAGGAAAGTGTCCTAAGGGTTTCTATTGTATGGAGGGTACCAGTTCTCCCCTTCCCTGTGCTCCAGGAAGTTACGGGTAAGTTTCTCATTTCATCTGATAAATTGTTTAATGACACAATAATAGAAGATAAATTGAAAGAACCCCTTAGTAATCTCATGGGTGTAAACAAAATATTTAAGTTCATCTGATAGAAGATACCAATAAAGTGATATCTTCAAGAAATAATAATGAAGTGCAATTACAGAAAACTACAAGAAATAACTATAAGAGAATTAAACTGGAATGTAACTGTTTCCTTGTAGGCCATCATTCTGGTTGAAGTCTGAGGCGGAGTGTACGGCGTGTGACGGAGGATATTATTGTACTGGTAGTAACATGACCACCACTGGCAACCCCTGTACGGCAGGTTACTACTGTAGTAGTGGCTCACCAGAGGCCGCCCCAGTCAACCAGACGTGGGGAGACATCTGTCCCACAGGTAAGTGTGACAACATATAACAATCCTACAGGTAACTGGTGTGTCATATGTTAGGGCTATACCGATACATTAACATCACGATACACTACAGGTAACTGGTGTGTCACACGTTAGGGCTGTACCGATACATTAACATCACGATACACTACAGGTAACTGGTGTGTCACATGTTAGGGCTGTACCGATACATTAACATCACGATACACTACAGGTAACTGGTGTGTCACATGTTAGGGCTGTACCGATACATTAACATCACGATACACTACAGGTAACTGGTGTGTCACATGTTAGGGCTGTACCGATACATTAACATCACGATACACTACAGGTAACTGGTGTGTCACATGTTAGGGCTGTACCGATACATTAACATCACGATACACTACAGGTAACTGGTGTGTCACATGTTAGGGCTGTACCGATACATTAACATCACGATACACTACAGGTAACTGGTGTGTCACATGTTAGGGCTGTACCGATACATTAACATCACGATACACTACAGGTAACTGGTGTGTCACATGTTAGGGCTGTACCGATACATTAACATCACGATACACTACAGGTAACTGGTGTGTCACATGTTAGGGCTGTACCGATACATTAACATCACGATACACTACAGGTAACTGGTGTGTCATATGTTAGGTCTGTACCGATACATTAACATCACGATACACTACAGGTAACTGGTGTGTCACACGTTAGGTCAGTAACGATACATTAACATGACGATACACTACAGGTAACTGGTGTGTCACATGTTAGGGCTGTACCGATACATTAACATCACGATACACTACAGGTAACTGGTGTGTCAGATGTTAGGTCTGTACCGATACATTAACATCACGATACAATACAGGTAACTGGTGTGTCACACGTTAGGTCAGTAACGATACATTAACATGCCGATACACTACAGGTAACCGGTGTGTCACACGTTAGGGCTGTACCGATACATTAACATCACGATACAATATGTATCACAATACATTAGTCACGATACATTAGTCACGATACAAATAGTAGCTGTAGAAGCAAAAAGATATGTTGCAAATGTTTAATGGCAATATTACAACTGGAAATAGACTCTTGTCAAAAATGGGCATGACTTCAGCGTTTCACACAATTCACATCTTTCGACTTGCATGCCGAGCTGGAGCTGTCACTCGCCATGTGGGAACGGATGTGAGTAGACTAGATTCAAAATCGTCAAAATCCGTAAATATCATAGGTGTATCGTGACCCCCCAAAAAATGTTGTGTATTGTACCGTATTCAAAATATCCTGATATATCATCGCACAATAACTGATCCATCCTACAAATTAGGTCATTTATAAGGTGACTGAATTAAGCATTAATAACGCTTTGATTAGAATATTTTGTGTTCTATTGTTTCTCTGGTCTCTTATAACGTGATATCTTTATATACTCATGTTTGTGTTGCTAGGTTACTATTGCCCAGCTGGGACCCAGGACCCAATACCATGTGACGCTGGAAAGTATGCTAATGCGACAGGAAGTACATCATGTCTAACCTGCCCGGCGGGTTACTACTGTACCGTCAACACTAGTGACCCTATACCATGTCCGTCTGGTCACTACTGTGAGGTGGGGTCAACGCTACCATACTCCCTACCCTGTCCTATCGGGAAATTCAACAACTTGACCGGCATGAATGCTCTGGCTGATTGTCAGACATGCAGTCCAGGGTAAGTACAAGGTAACAGCCGAGGTTCACTATAAATAGCACTCCGAGTGACTGTTGTGCTGACGGATGAGACACAGGGACTGAACACCCTTACCTGCTGCTGTAATGGTATCTTGTTTATTGTAAGACTGGGACTTGATGCCCTGACTAACTGCTGTAATGGTATCTTGTTTATTGTAAGACAGGGACTTGATGCCCTGACTAACTGCTGTAATGGTATCTTGTTTATTGTAAGACAGGGACTTGATTCCCTGACTAACTGCTGTAATGGTGTCTTGTTTATTGTAAGTCGTAGGGACTTGACACTCTTCTTAACTGCTATATTTGTATCTTGTTAATTGTAAGACAGGGACTTGATTCCCTGACTAACTGCTGTAATGGTCTCTTGTTTATTGTAAGACAGGGACTTGATTCCCTGACTAACTGCTATAATATGGTATCTTGTGAGACTGGGACTTGATGCCCTGACTAACTGCTATAATATGGTATCTTGTGTTTACAGAATGTACTGTGAGACACAGGGACTTGCTTGGCCGACTAATTACTGTGATGGTGGATGGTTTTGTACAGGAGGGGCCACCTCTAAACAACCTCCTGATCCCCTCACCGGGGGACAATGTACCGTTGGAAACTTCTGTCCTAATGGAAGCTCTGCAGAAATCTCCTGTACCCCAGGAATGTACTGTGACAATGTCGGTAAGTGACTAAGGCTGAAAAAACATAGTAACATTATTCAGATCTTGTATTGATTGTAAGAAATGAGAAAATTCTGTTTTGTTGCTCAATTTAATTGAGATCTTACACAGGTTAAATAGATCTTACACAGGTTAAACAGATCTTACACAGGTTAAACAGATCTTACACAGGTCATTATTTTATATTAGATTTATAAAACACCATCATTGTAGCTCGCCAGGGATTTGCTTAAATGATGAGTTTTTGATTTATTGCATCAATTTCATTTGAAAAGAAACTAATTTGAGATACTCTTTTCTTCGTTATTTCTTGGAATTGTCTTTCTTTAATGTGAGTAAGTGTCTTGTTTTCTTGTATTCAGTGTTCCCTTCCCTTACTGAGAGACAATTATGTAATATGTTTACTTCTTTTCATACAGAGTTATCTGCTCCTGCGGGAAACTGTTCTGCGGGACATTACTGCCCCCTAGGCTCCTCCTCTCTGTCAGCACTCCCCTGCCCCATGGGTAAGTTCTGTATCGCCGGAAGTAGCGTTGGTGATGACTGCCCACCAGGTACATTCCTAAACGTCACCGGGGGTTCCGACGTCTCAGATTGTCTCCCCTGTTACCAAGGCTACTACTGTGCAGGTTATGGAAATATCATGGCAACTGCACAGTGTGACGCTGGAGTCTACTGTCCTTCTGGAATGAACCTGTCCAGTCCTGCTGAGTATACTTGTCCCGAGGGACATCATTGTCCAATCGGAAGTCATGAAGCCATTCGCTGCCTGTCCGGTACGTACCAGGATGAGACAGGAAAAGGGTCATGTAAGGATTGCCCTGCTGGCTACTACTGTGACAATACCATGGCCCCAGTTGTCCTCTACAACAACACCATTTGTCCAGAAGGTAAGGTCAAGGTTAAGGTCATCTTTATTGAGATCAAAATAATTTGATTTTCATATAATAACTATACCCCTGCAATGAAGTAGGAGGGGGTAGGGGGAGGTATATTGGAATCACCCTGTCTGACTGTCTCACCATCAGTAAAATATTTAGTGTTTCAGTTTGTGTAAATCATGATTACTTTTATAAGAGTTTTTTTCCAAGTAAAATGTGATTTATTGCATACTTGCAATATTGGATAAATTATTGTCATACCAGGTATATTACAATTTTGAAAGTATTGCCAACCCCCAAAAAACATCTTTTAGAAATTTAAGGATTTGTTGGTTTTCTATTGTACAGGTTACTACTGTCCACTAAACACTAAGTACAGTTCAGAATTTCCGTGTCCCAGCGGCACTTTCGGCAACATTACCGGCTTCCAGCAAGTCGGCGACTGTATTAACTGTCCAGGAGGATATTATTGTGCCATGCCGGCCCAGACAGACTACAGCCAAATCTGTAACGCAGGGTAAGTAATCGTGACATGTTGGCCCAGACACTACAGCCAAATCTGTAACGCAAGGTAAGTAATCGTGACATGCCTGCCCAGACAGACTACAGCCAAATCTGTAACGCAGGGTAAGTAATCGTGACTTGTTGGCCCAGACACTACAGCCAAATCTGTAACGCAAGGTAAGTAATCGTGACATGTTGGCCCAGACAGAACAGCCAAATCTGTAATGCAGGGAAAGTAATCGTGACATGTTGGCCCAGACACTACAGCCAAATCTGTAACACAGGGTAAGTAATCATGACATGTTGGCCCAGACAGAACAGCCAAATCTGTAATGCAGGGAAAGTAATCGTGACATGTTGGCCCACACAGAACAGCCAAATCTGTAACGCAAGGTAAGTAATCGTTACATGTTGGCCCAGACAGAGCAGCCAAATCTGTAATGCAGGGAAAGTAATCGTGACATGTTGGCCCAAACAGTACAGCCAAATCTGTAACACAGGGGAAGTAATTGTGACATGTTGGCCCAGACAGACTACAGTAAACTCTGTAGTACAGAGTAAGTAATCGTGGCATGTTGGCCCAGACAGACTACAGTAAACTCTGTAACACAGAGTAAGTAATCGTGACATGTTGGCCCAGACAGAACAGCCAAATCTGTGATGCAGGGAAAGTAATCGTGACATGTTGGCCCAACCAGTACAGCCAAATCTGTAACACAGGGGAAGTAATTGTGACATGTTGGCCCAGACAGACTACAGTAAACTCTGTAACACAGAGTAAGTAATCGTGGCATGTTGGCCCAGACAGACTATAGTAAACTCTGTAACACAGGGTAAGTAATCGTGACATGTTGGCCCAGACAGACTCCAGTAAACTCTGTAACACAGGGTAAGAAATCGGGACATGTTGGCCCAGACAGACTACAGCAAACTCTGCAACACAGGGTAAGTAATCTTGGCATGTTGGCCCAGACAGACTACAGTAAACTATGTAACACAGGGTAAGTAATAATATTGACATGTTGGCGCAGACAGACTACAGTAAACTCTGTACCACAGGGTAAGTAATTGTGACATTTTGGCCCAGACAGACTACAGTAAGCTCTGTAACACAGGGTAAGTAATTGTGACATTTTGGCCCAGACAGACTACAGTAAACTATGTAACACAGGGTAAGTAATAATATTGACATGTTGGCGCAGACCGACTACAACAAACTCTGTAACACAGGGTAAGTATCGTGACATGTTGGCCCAGACACTACAGCCAAATCTGTAACGCAAGGTAAGTAATCGTGACATGTTGGCCAAGACAGACTACAGTAAACTCTGTCACACAGGGTAAGTAATCGTGACATTTTGGCCAAGACAGACTACAGTAAACTCTGTCACACAGGGTAAGTAATCGTGACATTTTGGCCAAGACAGACTACAGTAACCTCTGTAACACAGGGTAAGTAATTGTGACATGTTGGCTCAGACAGACTACAGTAAACTCTGTCACACAGGGTAAGTAATCGTGACATTTTGGCCAAGACAGACTACAGTAACCTCTGTAACACAGGGTAAGTAATAATATTGACATGTTGGCGCAGACAGCCTACAGTAAACTCTGTAACACAGAGTAAGTAATCGTGTCATGTTGGCCCAGACAGACTACATTAAACTCTGCAACACAGGGTAAGTAATCGTGGCATGTTGGCCCAGACAGACTGTTGTTTGAGCAAGCAAATTTGTATGTTGAATTGAAGAGATTATGTGAATTTAATGTACAATGAAAGCTTGGGGTGGTCATCCACATCAATCCTTAGTAATGTGCTAATGGTACCAATAGGCGAAATCAGTAGATTAGGGAACATTAAAAGTGGTCAAAAATACAGGTACAGTTCCTGAAAAAAACACTTTCTCTAATAATTCAATGCCAACTGGCGAAACATTAAATTTGGTGTCCAAACACAGCAGCCTTTTAATGGTTTTGGTCACATGAGCAGGTTTGTACCTGGGTTATGATTCACCTTTTATGGAAAAGCATTGTTTTGGTAATAATTTGACAGAAGTTGTAAAATGATCATAAAATGGTTTTTATCTTATCAACAGGTACTTTTGTAAGCAGGGCGCAACATCCGGGACTCCGTCACAGGGAGCTGATGCTGACGAGTGTCCGGCCGGTCACTTCTGTCCACAGCAGACGGCTGAACCACAGAAATGTCCACAGGGAACGTTCTCTAATAACACAAAGCTAACAGCACAGTCCCAATGTACCAACTGTACAGCGGGTAGGTACAGGACCTGTGTCAATGTTAAACCTCAATCACTTTCTTATTTGTATGATCCATAGACATTTAAAAGAATCAACACCAGTATATTCTACTTGTTTAAATTAGATTATCACAGAAAGACTGAAATATTGTTAAAACATCATTTAACAAATCTGTTTGTTTTTCTGAAATAGAACCTAAACCATTCTGTCTTTGAAATTGTGTTTGTGATTGTTGGGTGGGGATTTCAACTGTTTTTGTGAAATGAACCTGAGAGTTAGTACACTGGGGCAAGGCCAGACCCCAGGATCAATGCTCAAAGCATGAGTGTATTCATCTCTCCATGCCTAGCAATTATATTCATGACTGTCGGGTAGGGATTTTGATTGTTTTTATGATATGAACCTAGGAGTAAGTAAAAAGGGGAAAAGCTAGACCTAAGAATCCTTTCTAGTAGCATGATTGTATTCTTTATAATTATAGCTGGGAATTTCGACTGTTTCCATGATATGACCCAGGGAGTAAGTCCCCAGGGGTAAGACTTGACCCCTGTATACATGGCATTTTGTTATTTTATATCAGATTAATATAGGTTTATATACTTTGTTTACAGGAAGCTACTGTGCTGATCAGAACATGATGGAACCGTCGGGTCTGTGTTGGGGCGGATACTACTGTACAGAGGGTGCCGATAGTCCCACCTACATCACATGTCCTGAGGGGGCATTCTGTCCCAACGGTAGCGACACCTACAGTCTCTGTCCCCAGGGTAGGTTATATGAGAACCAATCAAAATACTCACATGTAGATAATGATGGCAATAATCCAGCACTATGTAGAGTGACCACCAGTGACCATTGGTCAGTTTTAAAGGCAGGGATGAGATAACTGCGTAAATAATGTAAATACCAAAAAAACGGAAGCAAGGAATCTTTCTTTGGTAACTCATGTTCTATATTTATTAATTACAAGTTGATCAATATATTACTTAATTTTCTGAAAAGTAGTTTAAACATTTAAGGTGATTTTATCACTATACCTATAAAGTTTGCATAATAAAGTTGATATCACTTGTTTCATAATTGTTGTAAAATAAATGAAATATATAAATCAGTACATGATGAAGATTGCCCTTCCATTACAGGAACTTACTCAAACGTGACCCACTTGACCAACAGCACCGAATGTCTACCGTGCCCCGGAGGTTCTTACTGTGAAACCACGGGTCTCACAGCACCAACTGGCTTGTGTGGGGAAGGTAAAGTCAAGGTCAAATCTTCGTTGATATTGTCCTGTCTCTGGTGTCAAGCCCAAATGTGCAGCAATGTTTTAACAAGTTTGGGTTGAGTTTTATTGATTGCTTGGTTAATCAATAGGTCAAACTGCATGTATCCATTCAGAGGACAATGCTGATAGTATTTATTATTTCTAGCTTAACACTTGTCCAACATTGTACAGTATTCTACCAACGTGAGAGAAAACTAATTTTGGAAATAATTTACGTATTTAACATCTTTTCAATGGGAGGAAAGTGATGGTAGAAATTGTTGTTGCCTAGGTTACTACTGCCCAGAGGGGACAGTTGACAAGGAGCCGCCCACCACCTTCTGTCTCGTAGGGCACTACTGTCCTGAAGGAGTGTCCCAGCCGATTCCATGTCGCAACTACACACAGGTGAGAGACACTTGCGTTTGGTCACAGGGATCAGAAGTGTGATAAAAATCTAAACAACTTCTTAAGGCCTAAAGTAACAGCATTTGATCTGCACCTTGCTGGAATAGCATGCTAGCGAATTTGATCAAATGAATTACATTGATTAACTACGAAGGTAAATCGAAATAAAATATTTCAACAGATAACCCAATAGTCGAAAAACGAATGTTGTGACTTATAATATAAATAATTTAGTCAAACAAAGATCCACAATGCTGTTTAGTGTTAAATTTCATGCTGTTATGTTGGTTCCTATATTTGACCTTGACCCACTTTGGAGGTCGGAAATGTATGATGTGTTTGCCACAGCATTAAACAACATAACAACAGGTGAGTGAAACAGGCCCAAGGGACCTTTGACTTACTCAGACATTACAACACACCCCAGGGTCTGTTTTAATCACGTGTTTGGTGTTTGGTGTTTGGCAGGTGAACCATACCCATGCTGTCCAGTGTAACGCCTGTCCGGCCGGGTTCTATTGCGACCTGACAGGACTCAGCACCATCTGCCCTGCTGGCTACTACTGCCCGGCAGGAACGGGGATCGACTGGAAGTCATGTCCAAGGGGCACATACAATGACATAGAGGGTATTAGCGACGAGTCTCAGTGTAAACCCTGTCCCGCTGGAAAATACTGCGACGGAGAACACCTCACGACTTCCACAGGTAGGTCATTATAGTAGTGACCCCCCCCTCCTTCTAATGATATATGGTACCTTACATACACTGCAAACACCTGATGGTTCTTTTTATACTATCCAAAGACTAATATTACTTTAACTCTCTGTCAGCGATGAGTGATGCTATTCCACTCAATACCCAAACTTTTATTTATGGTTTTCAATCACGAGACGTAAATATGAATATAAATATTGTGTAGACGGTTCAGAATTACATTAGAGACACTAGACGTTTTTATTAGATTCTCAAATAGATTTGTAAAATAATCTCTCTTACAACAATTGCGATATTTGAAATATTTATTGTCAAATCAAATTCAAAGTACAAATAATCTCTTATATTAATACTTCAAGAATTTTTGTTGTTGCCAAGGTGACTTTATCTGGTGTTAGTGCAACACTGTTAAAATAAAATCGCAAAAATACAAGATTACCATATCTCACATTAATTACTCACATGTTGTTCTGTTGCCAAGGTGACTGTGCCCCAGGCCATTGGTGTGTATATGGCATCGACCGACAGTTCCCCGACGGAAACAACCAGTCGTCATCAGTGTGGAACATCTCCTGCTACGATGACCGTCAGCTTGGGTACGGAGGAATCTGTCCCGTGGGGAACTACTGTCCCGGAGGTACATCCAGCGTGTACCCCATACCATGTGAGAACGGCACTTATGCTGATACCACGGGAATGGCTGCCTGTACCACATGTCCAGCAGGTATACAATTAATTACCATTCTCAGGCTGCTAAGTTCACAAAAGTTTTCACTTGTTAACTTGATTATCTCTCCTTAATTTCTGGCCGAGATTTCCATTCTGAAACTGCCCTCCATCATGAATGTTGCCAACCTCAGGTACAAATGTAGCTTAAAGAGCTTGTCTTTTCTAACTGAACCCTGTCTCACATTCATCTGGTATTGAACTGGAATTAGAGATTATCTATGTGTGCAGTACTGTTGAGGTCAGGAGTCACTAAAACACTGGCCATTGATACGATAGCTGCTACTCACCCTACTCATGTTTTTGATAGGTACCAGATAAGATATTTCAAGGCTAAAGGTCACGGTCAGTGTGTTGCACAGGATTCAGGAAGAAACGAATGTTGAAGACTAAAACACCAGATTTAAAACAGATAATTCAGCTAAACTGTTATTTATTGCAGGTTATTTCTGTGGAGAAGGAACGTCCAACTATACTGACACGCCTTGTCCTGCTGGTCACTACTGCCCGGCTGGTACTGGCTACTGGAACCAGTATCCCTGTAGTGCTGGCACTTACAATAACCTGACCATAAGGACCTCGGTTGTCGACTGTCTCAGCTGTCCTGGTATGACTTTTACCGTAAAAAAAATAAGCCCAAGTGTTTTTGCTTTGTGGAAAATGTTATAATACCATAGGGGTCATCTTCATAATATAAACCTGATGCAAGTGAGTGTTTCTAACAAAGAAAATTAATTCATCAACAGATTAATCTGTATTAAATGAGGCAAGTAATATTCAGTAATAAGGTTTGAATTGAAAGGAGACACATGATTGCTTAAAGAACTAAATTATTTGATTTGTAGAAAGAGAGCTGAAACTTCAACAATAGTGAATATATTACACATCTATATAGAGATTTTAGAACATTGACCCTGGTTTGGTGACCATGGCATTTGACCTTAGTTGAGGATCTTAGGTGATGACCTTGGGTGACGACCTTGGTTGATGATATCGAGTAATGACCTTGGGTCATGACCTTGGTTGATGACCTTGGTTGTTGATCTTGAGTGCTGACCTTGGGTGTTGATCTTGAGTGATGACCTTGGGTAATAACCTTGGTTGTTGATATTGGTTGTTGATCTTGGTTGTTGATCTTGAGTGATGACCTTGGGTAATAACCTTGGTTGTTGATCTTGTGTGATAACCTTGGTTGTTGATCTTGGTTGATGACCTTGATCATTTTGGCTGATGACATTGGTTGTTGAACTCAAGTCCTGCCCTTTATAAGTGACATATTTTTTATAATATCTCACGTTGTTGTGTTGATCGACTGTAAAGATTTTAGATAAATTGATAAATTGGTTGTTGACATTGAGTCTGAACCTTGATAAGTACCCTTCTGTTGAACTTGAAGTTTGTTATTTACTTGCGTGTTACATAGGTGGAGAATACTGTGAACAGACCGGTTTGAGGTACCCGTCTGGTCTGTGTATGGCTGGCTACTTCTGTGACTCGGGATCTGCCACAGCCACTCCCTCGGGTATCGGTGGAAACAACTGCTCTGCAGGCTACTTCTGTCCTGAAGGGTCAACAAACCCCACCCCATGTACCCCAGGGTCGTACTGTGGCAATGACCTCTTGAACATGACCTCTGGCCTCTGTGACCCCGGATACTACTGTACTCAGATGGCGACAGTTTCCAACCCAACTGATGGAAACGTGACAGGTAAGTGATATGGAGGTTTATTTTAATATCAAATTGTATCAATAAAAGATCGGGGATTGATATATATATATATAAATATCTCTTAAATAACCTGAATTGAATTTATCACAAAATGGAAGTACAGACCCAACAGGTGTATTTTGGTTTGAAAGAAAAGAGTTATCAGAAGTTTGGTTGAAGCCTTTACTTTACATAGAACTGTAAAATCATTGCAGGTAAATTGGTAAATAAAAATTTGTCAAACCATTCGAACTGAGTTTGAATGTATTTCACCAAACAGTTGTGAAACCATTGCAGGTAAAATTTAATTTTCACAAAAATGTTCAATTATTTAAGATGAAATATTATTTTATCAAAACATTAAAAGCATTGAAGATGAAATATTATTTTATCAAAACATTAAAAGCATTGAAGATGAAATATTATTTTATCAAAACATTAAAAGCATTGAAGATGAAATATTATTTTATCAAAACATTAAAAGCATTGAAGATGAAATATTATTTTATCAAAACATTAAAAGCATTGAAGATGAAATATTATTTTATCAAAACATTAAAAGCATTGAAGATGAAATATTATTTTATCAAAACATTAAAAGCATTGAAGATGAAATATTATTTTATCAAAACATTAAAAGCATTGAAGATGAAATATTATTTTATCAAAACATTAAAAGCATTGAAGATGAAATATTATTTTATCAAAACATTAAAAGCATTGAAGATGAAATATTATTTTATCAAAACATTAAAAGCATTGAAGATGAAATATTATTTTATCAAAACATTAAAAGCATTGTTAATGAGATGTTTAAAATATTTGTAACCATTTGAATTGAATCACATGAAGATTTACTGACACTTTCTCAGGTGACATCTGTCCCACCGGGACCTACTGTCCAGCAGGAAGCACCGCACCGCTCCTCTGTCAGGCCGGAACGTACCTCAACAGCACCGGTAATGATGCTGACACAGACTGTGTATCGTGTGTTGCCGGGAGTTACTGTAGCGGCAGTGGAAACAGCGTTCCTGACGGACTGTGCAGTGCTGGGTATTACTGCCCCGGGGGTCAGGACAACCCAACACCATCCAGTTACAACTGTACCCAGGGGCACTACTGTCCCGAGGGGAGCGTCACACCCCTCAGATGTTCGTCAGGGTCGTACCAGGATGACATTGGACAGGCGTGGTGCAAGGCCTGCCCCGCTGGATATTTCTGTGACAGTACGATGGACCCTGTTGTACTTTATAATAATTCATACTGTCCTACTGGGTTTTACTGTGCAGAAAATACAACCATGTCGTCGGAGTTCCCCTGTCCAACAGGAACCTTCAACAACATCACACATAGGACAATGGTGTCAGACTGTACGCCCTGTAGTGGGGGAATGTACTGTGACCAGGTCGGTCTCGCAGTTCCTGTAGGAAGTTGTGCGGCTGGATATTTCTGTTTATCAGGTGCCAACAGCTCTGCACCAACACAAGGCTCTGACGCGGACATCTGTCCTCAAGGTTTCTACTGCCCTGTCGGGACTGTTAGCCCACAGTCCTGTCCCCCAGGAACCTATAACCCCACCACAGGCAGGCAGTCTGTAGACGAGTGTACCAACTGTACTGGTGGAGCTTACTGTCCCGACTATAACATGACCGCACAAGGACCTGACTGTCAAGCTGGTAAGTATTGGGGATTACTTCCCTTTACTGGAACTCTTTAATTGTTATCTTGTACAGATTTATTTATTTTCTTCTCTAGAATATGGACCAATATTTAATTACTATCATGTGGCTCTTGTATCTTAATTTATTATGATTATGTCTAAACTAGTTTTCACAGTGTACAAGCCCGAAATTCCACCAAGCTTTACAAACACATATTTGAGGGTTTAGGTGCAGAGTAGATATCCTGATATCAGAGAAGATGTTATTTTTTTTCTAAAATCTCTTTTCCAGGTTACTACTGTCCCACCAAAGCTGATGTGGCTCAGTTTATCCAGTGTCCCGAGGGTTCCTACTGCCCGACAGGAAGTGACCAGCCTACACCGTGTGCTGCTGGCTCATTCTCCAACATGACTGGACTGACCGCTCAGTCCGGCTGTACAAACTGCACGGCTGGATTCTACTGCCCAACATCAGGTAAAACATGCTGTTATGGGAAGATAAGCTAGTTCATTTGTTTAATTGATAAATAAAAAATATTTCTGCTGTCCTAATGTTTGGAAACAGTTGTACTATGTCTAAGAAAGGAATTTCTTATCATGTAATTGACTGAAATAATTTGTTGATTTTAATTATAGCAGGATTTTTCTGGGGGATCCCGCTATTTGGCAGTTCAATAACGTGATCACCAAAAATATGATCCTCAGAATATTACCTGGTATGACAAGTGTAAAAATGACCTGCAGTAATAATCTACATTACCGTAATGTCTGCAGTAATAATCTACATTACCGTTATGTCACCTGAAAATAGTGAGAATTATGGTTGTAATGATTTGTATACGTCAAGAGTAATATATGTGATGTTTGAAAATTATTTTTGTATCACACATCTTATAGTTTTGTTGAGGATTTGTTTAACTTAATACACTTACTTGTTGTTGCTCAATATGCTGTTATAAAACACATCAACTTGACTATTTAACGTTTTATATACAGTGTCCTGTCCCTCTGCTTAAACACCATGGACATTCACAAGTTCATTCACATGTCTAGATCGGGAAATTATCAACTGTGTAAATTCAATTTTCTAATTTTGGGTCAAAATCGCGAAAATTTAAGCCTGCGTAAATAACCAATTATACAGTATATATATATGGGTATATAAAAATTACCACATTAACCATTACACTGTACAATTGAAGATTTTTTCTTCTATTTTCTAGTGAATTGGCTTTCAAGATTGTTAGGTGATTGTTCTACCATGTTTTGTACATTGAAGTATTTATCACAAACCTGTTTTGGATCACTTTTCTAGGGTGAATATTTAATAATTTAGAGTAACTACTTAGTAATACTAATTGGACAACGGTGATGATTTTTATGTCGTTTCCAGGTATGACAGAGACATCGTTACAATGCTGGGGGGGATACTACTGTCCCGAAGGAATGTCCGTCCCCAACCCTGGGGCATACATCTGTCCTAGAGGCATGCACTGTCCAAACGGCAGTGAAATATACAAGGTAGGAAATCTAAAAGTGTTGAATGTATGTGTGTGTACACATGTACATTCAAACCCAACTACAATTAAAGGCCTAAAATATTTCAAATCAACCACTTTCCAATATATGTAAAGGACTTAGATCAATTTTATTGGCCCATGTGTATCATTCATTACGCTGACAACATAGTTTTTTGTGGCGATGTTGGGAAACCTGTATATATACACATGTGTTTTATGTGTCGTAGGAGTGTCCTGACGGGTCTTACACTAATTACACTGGTGCCGCGTCGTGCGACGTATGTCCTGCTGGTTTCTACTGTCTCCCTGTCCAGCCTGCCAACGATACACTCAATGCCCAGACCTGTCCGAATGGCTACTTCTGTCCCGCTGGTAGGTAACTCTGTAACTAACTTGAAATTATTTTCAGTCTATAAATGAGGAAAGTAGTCATGATGTTTTAGAATCTCTAATTTTATTTTTTTTATAATTATCCAATGGTTTTATCTCCATGTGTATAACTATAGCAAATCTCTACTTTACATTATACAATATGTCATAGTTATTCAAAGGTTTTCTTCGTGTGTATATCTATTGTCAGAACAGCCCTGACCACAGATTATTCACACAGAACTTCTCAGCATTTCTTTATATTGATGAACAAACTGAATTTCAATGTAAAGATAAAAAAGAGTGTTTTTTGTTAGACACACAAAGTGACACAACAGTGAAAAACACAACTCAAACAATGCTTACAAAATTACACATGTTGTTTGAAATTGAATTTTGCAAATTGAAATTATTTTAAAATTATAACAATGGTTGTTTAAACATGAATTACTAGGGACTGGAATCAATTGGATGTCGTGTCCCAGTGGTTCCTATAGCGACCAGTCCGGACTGTACCAAGTGGACCAGTGTAAGGCCTGTACTGCTGGGATGTACTGCCAGGGCGAACATCTGACCGCACCCACTGCAAACTGTTCCGCAGGTAAAGTAGCATTCTCTTTGAAAACATCACCCACTGTTTACTGTTCAGCAGCTGGTAAAGTAACATTCTCTTTGTAAACATCACCCACTGTAAACTGTTCAGCAGGTAAAATAGCATTCTCTTTGAATTGAGAGCAACACCCACTGTAAACTGTTCTGCAGGTAAAGTAGCATGCTCTTTGAAAACAACACTCACTGCAAACTGTTCCTCAGGTAAAGTAGTATTGTCTTTGAAAACATTACCCACTGAAAACTGTTCTGTTAGTCAATGGCTGCCTTCAACCCCCCAACCCCCAATCACTGCAAAATTTGTCTCTCAGTAAAATCTGCTGTTTGGAAGTGTCACCCAATACATCCTATAGGTAAAAAGCTGGCCTCCATCCCAGTTCAAAACTCACACCTATTGCAAACTTTAAGGTAAAACTTCACCCTTCACAATTTTAAATCCACTAGAAGCATATTACTGTATTAATCCTTCAAAACTCCCCACCCACTGCAAACTGTTCCACAGGTAAACAGTCCTCTTCCTATCCACTGCAAAGCGTTAAAGAAAATAACAGAATCCCTACAAATATACTTCACTGTAATAGACTTTAAGCATGTTACCAGATTAGGTCTTCTTAGGTCTCAACCTGCACCTTTCCAATACCCTTTGTAGATTCAATGGGTTATAAGAATATTTGGCCAAAACAATTATAATCTACTTATCTTCTATTCCTATTTAACTTATTTGTTAGTATCTGCCCTTGTCTTTTTCATTAATGTTAAATACTGTATAATCTAGCAATAAGCCTATCCATGTCCAGTAATTTCCTACAGAAAGGCCAACACATACTATTTCATTGTCCCGTAATAAGCCCACCCCTATCTTGTATCAGAATTTGTGTATTGGATGCATGTGCTTATTGCAAGATAATGTTTCTGGGAAATTTTCAATGCAGTTTAATTTTTGCCTAATTTGCCCTACTTAATGAGGGCAAATTTATCATTACAGCGAACATTTGTATACGCAATAATCAAAAGTGAAGGGTGAATTTAATATTGTGTGAAATGGATTTTACTGTCAAAGGGCAGAAATTTGACTGGGACAAAAATTACCCATATACAGTAAACACAGACACGGTTAAAGTCTGAAATATTCTCTATATATATAACCTTGGTATACAGTAATCACAGACACTGTTAAAGTCTGAAATATTCTGTGTATCTAACCTACATATCTAACCTTTATTAAAATATTATGACAGCAAAATGCAGGAAAACAACACTTATTTTGTTTTTCCAGATCAGAATTTAATAAATAAATAACTTCTTACTTGACAGGATACTACTGTACATCCGGAGTAGATCGGCCACGACCAGGAGCGACCAATGACAGCGTAGCAGCCAACTGCACATGCCCAGACCAGGCATTCTACACCGGAGTTGGAGGAATGTGCCCTCTGGGTCACTACTGTCCGGACGGTTCTGCCACACCCACACCCTGTGCAGCCGGGACCTACGGAGAGAGTACAGGACTGTGGGAGTGTGCCCAGTGTCTCCAGGGATACTACTGTCTGGTCAATGCCACCGAATACTTGTCCACTCCCTGTCCTGCTGGTCAGTCTGTGTTTCTCTTGGCTAATACCACTAGTGTTTTTGTTGCCATGTATTATTAACTAAAAACACTGTGAAAATAACTCTACTTAAAATCTACTTTTATATGTGTTAGTATGGCTTGGTTAGTGTTACAATATAGGTCATTGTCATTATTTATAATGCCTCCGCTAGTGATTAAACTTGGGACCTCTTGTTTACTAGTATTTCACTCTACCGATTGAGCCTAAATGAAATTCTACATAACTAAGTCTGTAGGAAGCAGCTAGTTATTTACCCGGGTGACAGTAGATTGCTCAGATTATACAGGTTTTGATTTACTTCTATCTTCCAGGTCACTATTGCTCCAATGGAACGACGTATAGGACCCAGTACAGGTGTCCTCCAGGGACGTACAACCCCAACACACTTGGCACGTCATTGACCGACTGTCGCGACTGTGACGCAGGACAATACTGTCAAGGTTACGCCAATATTGCACCCACCGGTAACTGTTCTGCTGGCTGGTACTGCACCGCAGGATCTGACAGCCCTAACACCACCACCAGTGGCGGGATCTGTCAGCCAGGTTACTACTGTCCAGAAGGTAGGTAGGGTCCAGAACCAGGGCTAGACAGTAATCAGTAAAACCTCAATATAATGCTCCTCGTTCCACATGCCACCAGACTTTCCACCAACATATTAAAATGTCCTTTTGTCTCTATTCTTTAGAATTCCTTTGTACTTTCCTGCAAGTTACTGTGAAATCACTTATTTTCGTGTGGTTTTTAGCCCTTTTACCACTGTAGACCATAATGGACTCATCCAGATCAATGCATGGTAGAGTCTACTAAAGTTAAATAGGGGTGATAGGGTTTCAAAGTAATTGCAAGTTGGATATAAAGCAATTCTATGTTTGAGTGGGTACTCGTATTCCATGAATTTATATACCCAAGAAATAGTATTTTGTCGGAAAACCATGAAATTTGGTCTCCACAAAAAAAATGATTTTACAGTACATCTCCAAACCTTTTATAGGACAAATGTTTTGTCCTAATGTATTTGTGTACTGGTGCAATGTTCTGAAATGTATTTGTTTACCATTTCAGAAGACTGATTATAATTAAGTCAATCTTTTTCTTAGATATGAAAAAGAATTCAGACCTATAACTTGTTTGTTCAGAAACTGATATAGCATTCAGACGTAGTCGAGATCACTAGGAGAACATTTACAATTGTCATAGATTTTGTAAAGACTTAACACTGAGAGAACTGATGTCCAATGTTCAGGTTCAAGCAGTCCCACCCCATGTCCAGGAGGGAAATACTGTCAGTTTGAAGGTCTGGACACGCCCACAGGGAACTGCTCCGCCGGGTACTACTGCTCGGCTAAGGCATCTTCTCTGACTCCCCCTGGGGATAGTACCGGTGATGTCTGCCCCCCGGGGTACTACTGTGAGGAGGGATCTCTGGCTCCCACCCCCTGTAACCCAGGCACCTATAGTCCTAGTACTGGGAACAGAGCCGTCAATGATTGCCTGGCGTGCTCCTTCGGAGAGTATTGTGGCGACTACAATCTCACAGCGACAACAGGTTAGTTACAGTTGATTTGAGTAATTGTACAATATTCTCTATATAAATGTGAGGTAAACACTACTTTAATTTGAGATGAAGATATCAATTTTTTTTTTTTAAATGGTGATTTTATTTTATTAGACATCAGTGCATAAGGTCGCTTCCTCTGAATTAAGGGTATATAATAATGAATAAAGAAAACATTGAGAAGTCCTTGTGTTGGAATTAAATATAAAAAATAGAACAAAAGACAGAGATAGCGTCTCTAAGCCTTTCTCCGGTTGATTCCCCGTTCATCAGGAGACTGTTTATAATGAATATATATAATAAATCGCACATACATTATGTATTTGCTTTTAATAATGAACCTGATTTGTTCTCTTACAGGTAACTGTAGCCAAGGTCACTACTGTCCGGAGGGACAGACAACAGACACGCTCTACCAGTGTACTGTCGGTCACTACTGTCCGGAAGCTACCTCCAGCCCTATCCTGTGTCCAAGCGGGTTCTACCAGGATCAAGTTGGTCAATGGACATGCAAGTTGTGTCCGCAGGGATACTACTGTGATAACAGTCTGGGAGTAGTGGTCATCAACGAAACCATCAAGTGTCCGACTGGCTACTACTGTCCTACAGGTGAGAGCCTTGTTATACCTGTTGTAATTCAGGGGGGAGGGGGAGTGGGGGGGGGGGCATATTGACAAGAAGTACAGATACTGTGAAATCACTAATTTTCGTGGGGTATTAATTTTGTTGATTTGGTGGGTAATCTTAACCCACAAATTCATAGGCCACAAAGTAACTATAAGTTTGAAATAAAGCAATTCTCCTTTAGGGTGGGTATTTGTAATCCACAAAATTCATGTGTTTTGTCAGAAAACCGAGAATTTTGAAACCCATGGAAATATGTAAGTTCACATTAGTGTTTATTTAAGAAATAATCAACATTTGTTAATGTATGAAGATGTAATATATAACAAGGATGAGAAAATGTCAAGTTTTATCAAATGAATTTATGAAATGTATTATATCTTACTATAAAGATGACATGATGTGGGTGTGAAACATTTTTTCTTGTGCAAAGTTTGTGGGGCATGTCTGTTGTATGATAATCTGTGAATGCTGACCAATGAAAAACATTGTCACATAACCAATTTGGTAGAATTACAAATTTATTACTCAAGGGTGTGGACGTTTTCAAGTTCATTTCTCAGACAGAGATTAATTGAAAGTGAGGGAATCTGGTATAAAACTAATTAGTGTATTTCGAAAAGAAGGCAAAGCAGATGTTTCTTTTTAAAAGTTGCAATATTATAATAAAAGATTTTGTGTATTCCAGGCACTGTAAGGAGTGACCAGTACCCCTGTCCTCTGGGTACTTACAACAACATGACCGGGCTAAACCAGAGCTCTGACTGCACACCGTGTTCCGCAGGGTACCACTGCAGTATTGTCGGCCAATCAGAACCTGTCGGACTGTGTGCTGCGGGATACTTCTGTCAACAGTACGCAGAACTGTCAACACCTAATAACACTGGCTTTGCTGGCATCTGTCCTCAAGGTAAGTAAGCTCTGCAGGAACTAAATTAGTCAGGTTATCTTTTAAGAACATTAGTAAGTGCATTATTTGATATTCTAACTTCAATGGTGGGAGCAAAATATATTGATCGCTGTGTGTTCTTGTTAAATAATACATCATGGTAATTACTGTGCCTACAAAAAATGAGTGACATTCTTTTGGGCAGGAAGTGAGTCTACTTTTTTAGGCTAAAAGTCTTATGTCACTTTTAGATCACACAAAAAAATCTGAAAATAAGTGGGTTAAGTTTTAATGCCTCAACCCCATATTTAGTGGTATTTTCAAAATGATATTTGAATGGATAATGGTATTTTGAAGAGAATTCAGGTTTTTAAAAGAATTTTGTAAACCTTTATGATATGTGCAGGTTCCTACTGTCCTGAGGGAACCTTCAACCCTATCGACTGTCCAGTTGGGACATACGGCGGTCTGGAGGGTCTGACCAATGTGACCGAATGTACAGATTGTACCGGTGGTCAGTACTGCGAGATTCCTGGACTGACCACGCCACAAGGAGATTGTACTGCTGGCTACTTCTGTACAGGAGGGTCAGACTCGAGGGTCAAGGAATTGTGTACGGCTGGTAATTTTTGTCCCACTGGAACTCAGACGCCCCAAAGATGTCCCGAGGTAAGTGGTTTATTGAAAGTTTTTGACATAAACTGTGATTTGTTTAAGGTTTTCACAGACATGGAGATTGTTGGATTTATCCTTCTTCATGTTTGATAAAATCAATGTTTTCTTGAATTTAAGAAAAAGTTCTTAAAATTAGGAAATTGTCCTTGAAATCAAATTAAGTGTGAACTGGTATTTTAAATAGAAGTAAAAAATATGATCTATGAAGAATTTTGAAAAAAAGAATGCAAAATATCAAAAAATCACAAGATATTCAATTGAAAATCATTACATATGAATGACCACTTTTAAGAGGAGATTTTCGATTTCCTTGGACGGACAGATGTTTTGAAAAACCACCTTTTCCTAATTCAAACCTTCTGACCACAAAAATTAATTTCCAATTTAGAAACAGCTCCAGTTGGTCATTTGTTTGGAATATGAACCACATTAATGCTGTACGGCACATCCTGTTGTCCAGTTTGTACCTGTTCACACTGAATCATTAACACATGTAATCATTGTTTTTTCAGGGAACTTTCAATCCCTACCTTGGTCTGAACAGTACAGAATACTGTACACCATGTACAGCGGGCCAGTACTGCGAGACTGAGGGCCTGAATGCCACAACGGGACCATGTGAGGCAGGATACTACTGCCCAGGGGGACAGAACTTCTCCCGCCCCGCGGACTACCCTTGTACAGTGGGCAATTTCTGCCCTATCAACTCCTCAGAGCCGATGCCCTGCGCCAATGGTACATACATGAACCATACCATGGCGTCTGAATGCTATACTTGTCCTGCTGGCTGGTGAGTTGTCTCCCTTGCTCATGTTCACAAGTGTTAAGATGATGTAAAGATATATTTGTTGTTTCTTTATCTTAAATTTCCTTGAAATATTTCGAGAAACATGTAGAATAACGCAAATCTTTAAGTAAATGGTGTTAAGTGGGAAATTTTGGAGATTTCCTCCCGAATTGAGTAAAACATTTGGCAATTTAAAATTTCAAGAATTGGTATGAATATCTCACTTCAGTTCAGTACCCTCAGGTGGCTATTCCTAAATAAATATATATAAGTTCATGTTAATTATAAGCAGAAAACCGTAGTCAAACAACGATGAATTATTTCACTAATGTTACATTTGTAGAAGAAATTTTTTGACAATCTACATAATGGTCTTTCAGTTTGTTGTGAATATAGTAATATTTCTCTGTTCCGCAGACCAATCTAGCAGCAAATTGTAAAATGAATTTTGATAAGACTTTTTCATACAATACTTACTACAATTCACAAATAGTACAGTTGTCTTGATTGTAAATCTTACATGTGAGCAGTTCCAGATTCACTTGTCACCATCGTCCAATTCCAGGTATTGTCGCTCTGGTAACCTGGTCGACCTGTGTCCGATCGGTCACTTCTGTCCAGCTGGCACTGGGTTCGACTGGCAGCAATGTCCAGTGGGAACCTATAACAATGAGACTGGTTTGACCATGTCCAGCGAGTGTAAGCCGTGTCCAGGGGGGAGTTACTGTGACTTCATGGGTATGTCGACGACAACAGGCTTATGTGACGCGGGACACTACTGCGAGTACGGTGTAGACAGACGTGATCCGACGGGAGGAAACGCCACCACCATTAACGGCACTTGCCAAGTAGCAGGTAGGAAACTTTTATCACTTTGCATGAAAATACCATCCTCGATACTCCAGGGGTTACGATCACTTTCGCTCTCGGCACCCCTGGAATATGTCATAGCAAAATCAACGCTCAGTCTGCAACACCTTGTGAATAGGACAAGAAGACTAGTTTGATCCTTTGATGTACATCAAAAGAATCTTGAGGTCGCCTAAGGTAAAGTTAGCTGGCTTTGAAGTCAAGTGTTACTCCTCTGAAATCTCCAAAGAGCAGGTATCAGCCTAGCAATAAGTCAGTTTGTTTTTACCGGATACCAATCAAATAACTAGCCGTGTGCCTTCAATTTTACTTTGACATATTCAAGGGATGCAGAGAATGTGAGCGTAACTTCTGGAGTGTCGAGGATGTGTAAATATATGCTTGAACTTCCAACTTGGACTTAATTCTAGAATTACAAATATGTGTTTGTAAAAGTGTAGGTTTTGTAAAAGTTAGTTGCCAGTAACATTTGATAATTTACCGTACCAGGTGGAGAGACTGGAGTGGGTGGGATCTGTCCGGAGGGACACTACTGTCCCCAGGGAACAACAACACCTCTCCCATGCGGACAGGGAACATTCAGCAACGTCTCTGGATTAGCTTCCTGTCATCAGTGCCCAGCCGGCTACTACTGTGTACAGGGTAAAAAAACATTAATGATTACTCATTTCAAGTTTTCTTATATTCAAAGGTTGTAAAAAAACCAAAAGCAGCAAAAAAATTTGATTGTTAATTTTTTTTAAATCCTTTGACTAGAAAACTGCATTCAAGCAATTAATTGTAACTATTAATATTTAAGATTTTAGGTGATGACATTTTGAATAAAAGAATACAATTTTCTTTGACTGATTCTTTGCATTTATACTTGTATATATGGATCAGAGATGATAAATAAGTTAAAAGGAAAATCTTACGTTTGTGACTTTTTTTCATTGTGACTCTTTTTACTAACTGATCATGATGTTGAATTTTTGGCTTAGGCAGTGGTTCTGTTATATCTATATGTCCTTCATATCTATAATCTATACAATCTTTTAACAAATTTTTGTATATGGATATTTTTTACACTTGTGGGAAAAACATGGGCATTTTCACACCTTGAAAATGTCCACCATTTTTGTTTTCCCAACATTTTATCCCAGATCTCAGATAATCTTATAGTAGATTCACACACTGAGACAAAGTTGTACATCACATTTATACACATTTCTGAAATAAACAGAGATTAGTTTAGAAATGCTTTTATAAAGGTATCTATTTTGATATTTGTAAACATTTTCTTCAGGTCTGTAAGTATGGATTGTGAAAAGATTCATACAGCACAACCAATAAGTGTTTATATGTAACATTCCGATGACTAGTATGGTATGTACACTGTCACCTTCATCAGACAAATGACCAGTGAAGCGTATGTACACAATCTATCTCATTTGACTTACAGTGTTTGTATCTCTAATCATTGTGTTTACCCAGGGTCCGTGACCTACGTGGACAGCCCTTGTCCCTCCGGCCACTACTGCCCTGCTGGTACTTACGTGTCTTCTCAGTTCCCATGTCCCGCCCAGACCTACTACAACCTCACTATGGCTCGGGAACTCAGCGATTGTCTCTCCTGTCCAGGGGGAGAATACTGCAACACTGATGGACTCTCAGCACCGACTGGCCTTTGTTCTTCAGGTAAGTCTGTCTGTTTCAAGATATTTAGTTTTTCATCAAGCTGTTGCCATTGTTCATATTGCAGCTAAATTATTTTACGATATCAGATGTATGTTACGATATCAGATGTGCGATCAAAAAGTCATGATGAAGCCAGGTTTCTTAGCCCACTGGCCTACGTTCACCAGATATATCTCTATTGGAGTTTTGTGAGAGAAACCTTCATACACTAGGATAACATACTGTCACCATTGCCATTTGTTCCGACCTTGTTCAGAGGTTTCAGGTTTGAATATTTGTCCATCGCATTTTCCCCTTCTTGCTACAAAAACAGTCAGCACAGCTATCTGTCAGTCAAAATAGTTTGTCAAAAATAATTTCCGTGATGTATTTTCAACAACAACACATGTTATTATTACAGGGTGGTACTGTACTAGTAACTCCAGCCTCGCCATGCCGTCTGCTCCCGAGGGTGGTCAGTGCCAGGCCGGATTTTATTGCCCCACTGGGTCGTATGAACCTCAGCAGTGTAGCCCTGGCAAGTACTGCCTGACTGTAGGACTGGACACGCCCACTGGAAACTGCTCTCAAGGTAACTAGTAAAATAGACATTTCTAAAATGATAATAATGACAGAAAATACATGATTAGAAAACTTGTATAAGTATTTGGAAATGTTTAAAGTTTATAGAGAATGTGTTACATGGAACAGCGCCATCCTGATACCACAAACGGTGAACATTGACTAAACTATAAAAAAGTATTTCAAAGTCTATTTTATCCTCAAACGGGAATTGAAATAGTAAAATGTTTTTGAATAAATGTTTAGATATCACTTCTTAATTTGAAACTGGATGAATTGCAAAAGCTCAACATGCAAAATTGTAAATCATTTGAGAGGAAATGTGTTGAAATTGAAGAAGTTTGGTGAGTCAAGGGCGTTGTTCTATATTTTTTCACATGTTCCTTCTTGAAATATAGATAATTGCCAAATTTTCAATAATTACCCGACAGATATAAAAAGTAACTGTAAGTACCCAGGAGATTTAAAAGTTAGTGAAGTAATAAACACATTAAGGAAATTTTCAATCCCATATTAAATTTGATTTTTTTTTTTTCAGTAAAGAAAAGATTGGAAAAATATTGTGGATAAAAAGATCTCATTTTGTAGTTATATCTGTAATAATCCATTTGCAGCAGTTTTTATTTTAAAAATAATCGGGGAATTACAAAGATGTACTTTATGACTAAAATATTGCTGTCATAAATTGAAAGTCTGTATATAATCTTAACACAAGTAGATATACACTTATGCATGTAACTTTCCGCAGGATACTACTGCACGCTGGAGGCCTCCGTAGCCACCCCCACAGACAATGTAACCGGTGCCATCTGTCCAGTCGGACACTATTGTGAGGAAATGAGTTCTGCTCCCTCCCCCTGTCCCGTGGGATATTACCAGGACGTCCTGATGCAGGATGAAATCGCTGACTGTAAGATATGCATTGGAGGGAATTACTGTCCAAGCCCTGGGGCTGAACTGCCCGCTGGAAACTGTACTGCAGGGTTCTACTGTCCAGTAGGTCAAAACTCTTCCACGCCTGATGACTACAGGTAATTGTTATTTAGATAACTGTATATATATATATAAGGAGATTAATGTAGACATGTATAAAGGTTCCTGTCCACAGATCATAAAAATAGTGCCACATTACACATTTATAATGATACCTCCACTTTCTGATGACTCAGTTTGACATGATAAACAAAGCAAATAAAAGCTTTTTAGCAACACTGTTTAGTTTCTTATAATTTCATGACATTTTTAATAAATGTCTGAAAAGGTTAATAAATGTAGGTGTTTTTTCTGCTTTTGTGAGATAGTTGTGTCTGTTTTAACTCCCTAAACTTGTGATATTGTCAGAATATTAGAATCGTACAGAATGAAAGAGACAGTAGAACAATAACTTGGTAACTAAAGGACAGTTGTTATTGTAGATTTTTGATGATTAAATGATGTTTATTTATCAGATGTCTAGTTGGCCATTACTGTCCTGAGGGGTCCGAGTCAGCCATTCGCTGTGAGAACGGCACGTACCAAGACCAAGATTCACAGAGTACATGTAAACAGTGTCCGGCCGGATATTTCTGTGACAACACCATGGGGATCGTCGTCCTTGACAACAGCACTACCATCTGTCCCATGGGATACTACTGTCCAGCAGGAACACGCTACAACAATGAGTTCCCGTGTCCTATCGGCACTTTCAACAACCGGACAGGTCTGAGTGTGGTGACCGATTGTACACCATGTTTGGGCGGATACCACTGTCCCATGGTCGGCATGGTAACACCAGTGGACATGTGTGATGCAGGACATTTCTGTAAGCAGTATGCCAACATATCGGCTCCCGACCAAGGTCAGTTTAAATGAGATCTAGACCAACGTCACTTTACCTCAGATCTAGACCAAGGTCAGTTCATCTGAGATCTAGACTAAGGTCAGGTTACCTGAGATCTAGACCAAGGTGAGTTTAGCTGTGATCTAGACCAAGGTCAGTTTACCTGAGATCTAGACCAAGGTCAGTTTAAATGAGATCTAGACCAAGGTCAGTTTATCTGAGATCTAGACCAAGGTCAGTTTATCTGAGATCTAGACTAAGGTCAGTTTACCTGAGATCTAGACCAAGGTCAGTTTACACGAGATCTAGACTAAGGTCAGTTTACCTGAGATCTAGACCAAGGTCAGTTTACCTGAGATCTAGACTAAGGTCAGTTTACCCGAGATCTAGACTAAGGTCAGTTTACCTGAGATCTAGACCAAAGTCAGTTTACCTGAGATCAAGACCAAGGTCAGTTTACATGAGATCTAGAGTCAGGTAATCTTTGTTTATCTGGCTATCACTAATTGTGTTGTCTCGCTATCAAATCAGTGTTTAAGGAAACAAGTTTCCCTGTTTTCTAATCAGAGGAGGTGTCTTCATAATCAAAGCAGACCTGCAATAAATACTACAGGTTTGACATCATCCTTGAGACATGGCTTCGTATTTATCACAACCAATAATTACAGTCCAGCAGGTTCCTCATTCAAATGTTAACAATTATGGTAGTCATCCTGCTCATGTCAGTGAAAAAGTCACCAAATTACACTGGTTACCTTTGGTAGGAGCTGACGCCAACATCTGCCCAGAGGGTTCTTACTGTCTTGTCGGGACTTCGACTCCAATCCCCTGCCCCAAGGGAACGTACAGTAATGGTACCGGTCTACAGGCTGAGGCTGACTGTACCCAGTGTCCCGCGGGCTGGTACTGTGACCAGCCAGGCATGCTCAACGTCACTGGACCATGCGAGGCAGGGTAAGGTTACATCTGTTCTATATAATGCAAGTACAAATTTAGATGCAAATTCCAAGTTTTTACTTCATGTTTCTGAATTTCATATGTTATTTATTCCTCCATCCATCTGTCCATTAAGGATTCTTGACTGCGTAAATGTATAGCTATGCATTGGAAACTTTGTTTACCAGCCTGACTAGCTTTAAAAGATTATTTCAGAAAAAAAACATACCTTGCAGATGTTTTATGCATTAATAATAAAAAGGAAATAAACAAAAAAATAAAGAATCCTGTTCTGAGAGTAAAAGCATGAAAGGGTTGGACCAGCATTCAAACTCCCAAACCTCTGCTCAGTGCTGTGGTGTTTATCAACTGAGCTACCTGATCAATGTTAGTTCCCTGTCCCAACTCAACTACAGATATGTCCAAAACAAATTTAAGAGGATACCACTGTTTGTATGGAAGAACTACAGCGGAACTATCTAGTATTTTACCTGCAGTGGTATAGGATTCCTTAAACATGTCTTTCCTTGATTCTCAATAAACTTTCCAAATAGTATCATTCGTTTTCAATTGAATCGTTCTCTGGATTTCGTACTTATTATTCCTGTTAAACTCCCTCAGGTACTACTGTGAATTGTCCTCCAACCACTCAAGAAGGACCATCTGTCCAGCAGGCAGCTACTGTCCCGAGGGGTCGGGCTGGCCCTCGCCCTGTGACCTTGGGACTTACAGTAACACTGTGGGGCTTGTTAACTCCAGCCAGTGTACCGACTGTGACCCAGGCAGCTACTGTAATGATACAGGTAAAATAATCAAAATAATTCTCCCAATCAATTTTGATTTTAAAACTGCCAAATTTTGAATTAGAATGTTTCAAGGATTTTTTTTATTGAATTCATATTTGATTGGCATTGTAGGCTTGATCACACCCACTGGATCATGTGACGGTGGTTTCTACTGCCCTGGAAGAGACACTGTGCAGAACCCTGTAGCTACGCCTTGTCCAGTTGGCCTACACTGTCCTATAGGTAGTGGCTTACCAGTACCTTGTGAACCTGGAACATTCGCCAACTTTACGCAGGCGTCTATGTGTCTTACGTGTCCGGAAGGTTTCTATTGTGTACCTGAAGAAGTCATCCAAGGTAGATAACTCATTTGTCATTTATTTCCTTCACACACAAAATATTCTGAAATTTGTTTTATTGAGATAAGTAAAAGTATAGAAATTTACGTTAGATTTCACGGCAATACACATTTGTTTATGATTATCCATCAATTTTCCAGGTAATTCCACAACTGGTCATCGTTTATGTTCTCGTGGGTTTTACTGCACTGCCGGTACTGGTCGTAACGAGTCCGCATGTCCGGCTGGGACATACAGTAACCAGTTAGGCCTCGTCATGGAGTCAGAATGTCAGCAGTGTACTGGAGGCATGTACTGTGACGTTACTAACCTCACCGCCCCTGTCGCGGATTGTACTGCAGGGTACTACTGTGAGACTGGCGTGGACACACCCACCCCTACAGGGAACCACACAGGTACCGGCGGGATCTGTCCGATCGGTTACCAGTGTCCACGAGGCACTATCGTACCACAAGGATGTGACGCAGGATCTTACCAGGTAACTTTCGTTAAGTGATTCTGAGAAAAAAACCTTTGTCATGTCTAATTTTCATTTTGAGTTTTACATGGAAAGCTAGACCTCTAGCAGTATTTAGCTCACTTCCTTAAATGACCTCAGCTATTGATGGGATGGTAAACCCTGTGAAAGAACTATTTAGATCCTGTTTTACATGACATTGATACCAAAATTTACTATTGACTTAAAAATGTTTCTCTTGTCCTCATTTTCACCTAAATAACAAGTTAACAGTTGGAATGACCAAAATGTGTTTGTTTTCATGGGACTGATTGTAATTAGTTAGAAATATGTCCCAAGCTATGAGGAACTTTTGTGGAGCTAATGTTTCATTACTCCCATGTTCAGATTGTTAAACATAGCATGTATGATAAAGTAAACTTATATATCACAAGGTGACCTTGAACGTTTTGAAATGTTTACATCCTCATGACCTTGGCGTGATTTTGAAATGTTATCCAGGACGAGAGTAACCAGGCATCGTGTAAGTCGTGTCCAGCAGGTTACTACTGTATCGCCAACAGTACGACATACTCGGACAAACCGTGTCCATCCGGTCACTACTGTCCAGCCAAGACATCATACGACACCCAATTCCCGTGTTCTGCTGGAACATTCAACAATCTGACTGGTAAACTATCAAGATTTTCATTTTTGATGAAGTTATAAGGTCGCTGTGTGTCCCAGCTCTACAGATAGTGTCTGCCTTGTCATCCTTCATACTTGCAGACTCTAGTACATTTCCCTGTTCAGCTAATCTTACTGATGGTAAAATATAGAATAACTCTTTTAGAAAATAAATTTAAATTTGTTTAATACATTATACAGCAGATTCCATGATTTCATAGCCCTGTTGTTGGGAAATTTGTTTGCTAAACTGGATTATTGGAATAGCTGAAAACAGAAGTTCAGCTGATCCCCATCTTAGAACTTTGCATCACCACTAAACAGGATTATTCTATGTAGACAGAAAAACATTCTGTATTAGGGTATTTCATGTAAAGAGGCAAATGTGTTTGTCAGGTAAATTTTAACACCTTACCAGACAAAAATGGCTAGTCTAAGCACTGTTATTGTCACCTTCGTTTTTTTTTTGTTTTTTTCTAGGTAAATCTAATTCCAGCGCCTGTGAGCCATGTACCCCTGGATCTTACTGTGGTTCCCCAGGGATGAGCTCCCCCACAGGGCTTTGTGACCCTGGCTGGTACTGTACTCTGGGGTCTAGCCTCGCTCAAACTTTGACTGACGGTGGAAAATGTGTAGCAGGTATGTGAACGTAATACAGTGATCCTAGTGTGCCATAAAGTCAGAGTTTATGTCAGCTCATCAAGGTTTCCATAGCTTGAAGCGACTGGAAGCCCATGTCTCCCTTCTGGAGTATGCTAGTCTATTGCTAGTACACATTAACCCATTTACCTCTGAAGTTACATTTGAACCTTACCAAATCAAAGACTGGGCAAGTCCAGTATAAATATGAAGGGGTGAATGAATTAATACAGCTGTGTAGACTAGATCGCTCAGGACTAAAGGTGTCTTGATGGTTTCATATCAAAGACTACTTTGAATAAACAGTCCAAAAGTCTCAGTCAAGATGGATGCATAAGTGACTATTTATTGAGAACTTTTTTGTTTTTAATGCATTGTGTATGATGTTTGACGCAGAGAGTAATCTCCCTTACAGGAACTTACTGCCCCATGGGAAGCTCCGCCCCTGTGGGATGTGACCCGGGTATGTACTGCAACGTTGACATGATGAGTTTGCCCACGGGGAACTGTTCTGCCGGATATTATTGTGATACCAACTCCACCACAAGTCAACCGACGGGCACCGGAGGTAAGGACGTTATCTAAACAAACTAACCCACTGGTATAGGTTTTCTGTGCTCCTTTCTCTAACTCATTTACCCCTGAAGACACATTTCAACTCTTCCAACTCCAAAGGTTGGAATAGTCCATTATGAAATTTTAAGGGTGAATGAGTTAAACAACACTTTAAATACTGCTTAAGCACAATAATTTGTTTACTTGATATACCTCTCCAGCACTAAATGGATTTATGAAAAAAATGTGTTTTCGCCAAAAAGTAATACTTATCTACTTAATGCCAACTTTTATTTTACAGGTAACCAGTGTCCTTCGGGTCACTACTGTGTAGAGGGAAGCTCTGCCCCCGAACCTTGTACCCCAGGCTACTTCCAGCCCAGTATGGGTGCCCAGAATTCTACGTGGTGTCTAGCTTGCACAGCTGGATATTATTGTAACAGTAGTGGGCTGGCAGTGGAGGATGGCATGTGTGATGCAGGTAAATAAGCTGAAATGGGAAAATTTTCACCTCATTTTATTTTTGCTTTATTCACTCTGAAAGTAATTTGTAAATAGTTTTAGTCTAGTTAAATGACTTATACTGTTACTTATGCTGGATAAAACAGGAAATATTACATACAGTAATTCCCTATCTGTGTAAAGACAATATTGCAGATTGTTATCTCCCTTTGTTTCCTGTGCTAAAGGTTGTGCTCCCCTCCCTTGTATCTTAAAGGTTACTATTGCCCCGAGGGCCAGGTTGTGAGGAACCCGAGCGCGTATGAGTGCCCCGTTGGCTACAAATGTCCGACAGGTTCGAGTATCTATCAGTTGTGCCCGGCTGGATTCTACCAAGACGAGATGAGACAAGACACATGCAAGGAGTGTGTCGAGGGATTTTACTGTGACAACTCCGTCGGACCTATATCTAACTACACCGAGTACATCTGTCCCGAGGGGCACTACTGTCCTAATGGGACCAAGGTCGCTAATGAGTTCCCATGTCCAACAGGCACCTTCAACAACCAGACTGGCCTGAGATGGGACTCCGAGTGTATGGCCTGTACTGGTATGTACATTACCTGTTCAGCTTGTCAAACTTGTTCTAATATGTTTAGTATATTTTGGTAATTTATTCAAAAATTCATTTAAAAAATAAATTTTGATTTGTTTAATAATACAGCAGATTTCAAAATTTCATAGCTGATCTGTTGTTGGAAACTTGTTTGCTAAAACGGAGATACATTCTTTTTCAAAATAAAATTAGAATTTTCTTAATAACGTTTTGAAAGAAAAGTTATCTGTATTAAAAGCTGTGCTGTAAGATACTATGACTGAGGAACCATCTGATCATAACATAAAAGTGAAATTATATTGCATCACGATTTATCATGTTTGTCAGCCAATTAACACCATAAGAATTTATATTAATCATTCATGTTTTATTGTCTTGGTTAGGTGGACTGTACTGTACAGCGGGCACTGTCGTCCCGTCAATGCCATGTGCCGCAGGATACTACTGTCGCACGGCCGCCCAAACAGCCGCACCTTCTCAGGGGTCAAATGCTGATCCCTGTCCAGTCGGTCACTACTGTCCGGAGCAGACCACTGAACCCATCAAATGTCTACCAGGAACCTTCTCCAACAACACCAAGCTGATGAATGTCACAGACTGTAACTCATGTACCATAGGTCAGTAGGGGTCAAGGTCATAGGTCACTCTTATTTTGTAGGTTAAACATTAATTGTTTAACACTATGTGAAAAATCTTCTTTTAACTTCATAAATCACACTTGTTGGTCCAGCTGGTAGTGCAGAGGATCTGAATGTTCAGGGGGAAATAAGAACACCAATAGGAAAGCCACATAGTCGGGCAGGTGACCTGATACCTGTTCATGTCTTACTGGGGAGAAAGACAATACACAATCAACTGAGCCACCTGTCTACCTCAAATATAACCACCATCAGGGCCCAGTTGTTCAAAAGATGATTAGCTTAATCACTGTTTAGCGACATTTTTCAACCTGTAATGATTTCGTCAATACACAAGGTGAAAACTTGTTATTTTACACATAGATTTACTCTACTAAATACTTGATATCTGAAAATTTGCGCTAATCACTGATTAAGCTAATCACCCTTTGAACAACTGGGCCCAGGTCAAAAAGATACAGAGATCGGGTAAAACTAACTTGCTTCACAATTGTTTTGAAATAAATACAGCTTGACTTTCAATAGAGTGATCTGCCCTTGTACTGGGTTGCTGATACGTTTGTATGATGTAGCTGGTATCATGTTCCGTCCAAACACTTTGACGCTATTGCTATAAGGTAAATGTATGATCCACTATACATGTTTCATGTAGAGTTATCTGCCATTGTCCTTTTAGGTTCGTATTGTAATGATTCGGGACTGATTGAGCCGACGGGGCTGTGCGCACCAGGTTTCTTCTGTATCGAGGGATCCGACAACAGTTCACCACAGATCTGTACAGCAGGACGTTACTGTCCGGAGGGCACCCACACACCTGTTAGGTGTCCAGCTGGGACATTCTCTAACAGCACAGGACTGACCGCTTCGGGCGAATGTACAAACTGTACAGGAGGCAGCTACTGTACACAAACCGGGCTCACTGATGTTGAGGGCAACTGTACAGCTGGTTACTACTGCCCAGAAGGTCGGTATCAAAGTTACCTCACTATAATCTCTCCTTTAAAGCTACCGTTAGTAAAGTTATTCTAATGTATAAGGATGAGTGATTGGTCGATTTAAGAATATTTCTTTTGTACTTTTTCACCATGAACTCTGACCTCTTGAGTATCTTGGTTTAGTGACATGGTATTAGCTGTATCTGACCTCAAGTATTCAAACACAATTCACGATCCCAAAAGTTAACAGATTAATTTATTTTACAAACCTGACTAATCTGACATTGTGGTGCTTTCCAGGGTCAAGTACACATAATGCTATCATCTGTTCTATCGGCCTGCATTGTCCCGAGGGAAGTGACCAGCCCCTGGCCTGTGAAGCTGGAACCTTCACCAACAGTACAGGGATGTCTTCCTGTAACATCTGTCCTGACGGGTAAGTCTGTTTCATTTACATTACTGTAGAATTGTTGTTTTCTGCAGAAAGTGCTTTGTTTTAGCTGTGAATGTACAGTGTTTTGTTCACTATAGAAATTAGAGGGATAATCCCAGTTAGAGCTCATTGTAAATGGAAACAGCAGATAATGTTATCAATTCTTATGGATTCTCACACCCATTATTGTAACCTATTATACATTGCATACACACTGTCATATATCTTTCATTTTGACCGTTTTCATGGTGGAGCTGAATTGGAGGGTTATTTCGGGGTTTCAGTTAGCTTACAATTTCAGTTTTTGTTCAGATTGTGTCATGTGACAAAAAATATTGACGCAGGAAATCCTAATTATATGTATTTTCTTGGTCAGATTCTACTGTGTGGCTCAGAATGTCAGCGCTGGAATTCCAGAATCAGGATATTTTAATTGTCCGATGGGCTACTACTGTCCTGCTGGAACTGGACTTAATTGGCAGCCTTGCCCGAAGGGGACCTACAGCCAACAAACTAACCTCTATATGGTATGTACCTACAGCCACTAACCTATATAGGGTATGTACCTACAGCCAACAAACTAACCTATACAGGGTATGTACCTACACAAAATAACCTCTATAGGGTAAGTACCTACAGCCAACAAACTAGCCTGTACAGGGTATGTACCTACAGCCAACAAACTAACCTATATGGGGTATGTACCTACAGCCAACAAACTAACTTGTATAGGGTATGTACCTACAGCCAACAAACTAACCTATATAGGGTATGTACCTATGGCCAACAAACTAACCTATACAGGGTATGTACCTACACAAAATAACCTCTATAGGGTATGTACTTACGGCCAACAAACTAACCTCTATAGGGTATGTACCTACAGCCAACAAACTAACCTATACAGGGTATGTACCTAAAGCGAATAAACTAACCTGTATAGGGTATGTACCTACAGCCTACAAACTAACCTATATAGGGTATGTACCTACAGCCTACAAACTAACCTATATCGGGTATGTACCTACAGCCAATAACCTATATAGGGTATGTACTTACCCCAAACAAACTAACCTATAGAGGGTATGTACCTACGCAAAATAACCTCTATAGTGTATGTACCTACACCAAATAACCTCTATAATGTATGTACCAACAGCCAACAAACTAACCGATACCGGGTATGGACCTAAAGCGAATAAACTAGCCTGTATAGGGTATGTACCTTCACAAAATAACCTCTATAGCGTATGTTCCTACATGTACAGCCAACAAATTAACCTGTATAGGGTATGTGCCTACAGCCTACAAACTAACCGATATAGGGTATGTACCTCCAGCCAACAAACTACCCTATATAGGTTGGTTTGTAGGCTGTAGGCACATACCCTATATAGGATAGTTTGCTGGCTGTAGGTACATTCCTTATAGAGGTTAGTTTGTTTGCTGTAGTTACATACCCTATATAGGTTAGTTTCTTGACTGCAAGTACATACCCTATATAAGTTAGTTTGTTGGCCCTAGGTACATACCCTATATCGGTTAGTTTGTTGGCTGCAGGTACATACCCTGTAGAGGTTAGTTTGTGTAGGCACATACCCGGTTAGGTTAGTTTGTTGGGTGTAGGTACATACACCATATAGGTTAGTTTGTAGGCTGGAGGTACATACCCGTATAGGTGAGTTTGTTTGCTGTAGCTACATACACTATAGAGATTATTTTGTGTAGGTACATAACCGATATAGGTTAGTTTTTTGGCTGTACATGTAGGTAAATACCCTGTAAAGGTTGTTTTTTGTAGGTAATGCCCTATATAGGTTAGTTTATTGGCTGTAGGTACATACCATATATAGGTTAGTTCGTTTGCTGAAGGTACATACCCTATAGAGGGTAGTTTGTGTAGGTACATACCATATATAGGTTAGTTTATTCGCTTTAGGTCCATACCCTGTATAGGTCAGTTTGTTGGCTGTAAGAACATACCCTATACAAGTTAGTTTGTTGGCCGTAAGCCTATATAGGTTAGTTTATTCGCTTTAGGTCCATACCCTGTATAGGTCAGTTTGTTGGCTGTACGTGTAGGTACATACCGTTATTTTGTGTAGGTACCTACCCTATACAAGTTAGTTTGTTGGCCGTAAGCCTATATAGGTTAGTTTCTTGACTGCAAGTACATACCCTATAAAGGCTATTTTGTGTTGGTACATACCCTATATAAGTTAGTTTGTTGGCCATGGGGACATACCCTATACAGGGTAGTTTATTCGCTTTAGGTACATTCCCTGTAAAGGTTATTTTTTGTAGGTACATACCCTGGATAGGTTAGTTTTTTGGCTGTAGGTACATTCCTTATAGAGGTTAGTTTGTGTAGGCACATACCCTATACAGGTTAATTTGTTGGCTGTACAGGGTATGTACCTCCAGCCTACAAACTAACCTATACAGGGTATGTACCTACACAAAATAACCTCTATAATGTATGTACCTACAGCCAACAAACTAACCTATATAGGGTATTACCTACAAAAAATAACCTTTACAGGGTATGTACCTACATGTACAGCCAACAAACTAACCTGTATAGGGTATGTACCTACAGCCAATAACCTATATAGGGTATGTACCTACAGCCAATAAACTAACCTATATATGGTATGTACCTACAGCCAACAAACTAACCTATATAGGGTATGTACCTACACAAAATAACCTATACAGGGTATGTACCTACAGCCAGCAAACTAACCTATATAGGGTATGTACCTACACAAAATAACCTATATAGGGTATGTATGAAGCAGACCCTAATAAATTCAAAGTCACTTACTTTGCATACTAATACCTAAACTGTCATTGAAAATACAAAATCAAAAATAATGAAATTATTTCTGTTCATCAGGTGAACCAGTGTAAGGACTGCGATGGCGGTTATTATTGTTCAGAAGAGGCTGCCACCAATACGACAGGACTGTGCCAGGCTGGTTATTACTGTCAATCAGGTGTCGACCGTGCCAACCCCGACAACGCAGCCGTAAACAGCACATACCCTCCATCATGTCCTCTGATTGGTGGCCACACAGGTCTGGAAATATTTGCTTGATAATTTTATTCTTTGATTAGCTAGCATACAGATCAGTATTGTCATTTATATAATAATTTATGTTGTCTGCTTGGTGGAAAACAGGTCGGTGAGGTAATTCATAATGATATCCCCGCAACGAAGTTAGGGGGGGTGTACTGGAATCACCCTGTCTGGATGTCTGTCTGTCTGTCTGTCTGTCTGTCGTCTGCAGTAACTTGTCCGGAAAACTCTAACTTAACTAACAGGTGGATTTCATTGAAACTTTGCATAAATGATCAGTATCTTATGTAGTTGTGCACTGGCATTTTAATTTGGGATTTCGACCCTTTTTGATGGAGTTATGCCCCTTTTTGCGAAATGCTTGTCCGGAAAACTCCTCCTTAATTAACAGGTGGATTTCATTGAAACTTTGCATGAATGATCAGTATCTTATGTAGTTGTGCATCAGCAATTTAATTTGGGATTTCGACCCTTTTTGCTGGAGTTATACCCCTTTGTGCGAAATACTTGTTTATTTTTTTGTTATTTTATTTTTTTGTTTTTAATGAAATAGTGATTACCATAACTCAATACTGGTGGGAGACTATATTGATTTGCATAAGTAAGCCTTTAGCGTACAGTTCTAGTTTAAATAGGAGCGGGGATATTAGTTAGCCTTTGGCTGACAGTTATAGTTATTTCTGTCCTCTGATCGGTGAATACAAATGTGGTTAGATCATGTATAGAATGGGTCTGTTCTCTGATTGGTTGATGTCATATTGCTAGATTATTTACAGCTATTTTGCTTCTAGTGTTATGGAAGTTATGCCCCGTTTTGCGAAATCCTCAATTGTCTCCTTCATTCTGGTTGTCCAGAATAATGCTCATAAAAATTCAACACATTGCCATCACTTTATTTTTCTGTACATTGCAATTATGGAGAGGGTGTTAGTTTTAATTTGAGTGGAGGAGGGGTTGTGACTTAACCCATGGCTTACAGTTATTGTTGTAGGCATTTTATATGTGAAATATGACACTCCAAGTATGCTTAAAGTATACATTTTTAGCCATTTGACCTCAATTATCTGGAAGGCAGATAGAGGGATTTCATACAAAACACATAAATTGAGTCAAAATATTTTGAAAAAGAAAGATTTTAATAGAATAACAATATTAGTTAGTTAACTTATTTAAAATTTAAAAAAATCATGGTCTCTATTGGGAGTTACTGGTTCATAAATTGCAGTATTAATATTTCATATTTCCACAATTAAATAAATGTAAAGTTTTTTTCAAAATTTCTTTATTATTGTTTTAGGCTATGGGGATATCTGTCCCCTTGGTTACAAGTGTCCTGAAGGAAGTGACGCCCCTATTGGTTGTCCCGCTGGGGAGTACCAGGATGAGACGACTCAGAGCACATGTAAAGCATGCCCAGCAGGTGAGATTCCCTTATAATAACTTATCCGAATTAAAATTATGAACATTGATAGTGTGTGAAATACGATACTTATTATAGTTAATATCAACATCAATATTTTTTTCAAATTTGAAATTTTATTGTGATGAAAAAGTAATTTGATTAATATAGAGTAACATTTAATCTTGTAAATCCTTTGTCAACAGGATACTACTGTCTGGCTAACTCGACTGACTACACAGACAAGTCCTGTAACAGTGGATACTATTGTCCTGAAAACACCACACAGAAGTATGCTAATCCCTGCTCCGCTGGAACATTCAACCCCGCCACAAACCAGGTCAACTCCTCAGCTTGTGTGACATGTACACCGGGGAAATACTGTCAGACCACAGGGTTGTCTGCCCCTACTGGAAACTGCAGGTATGTAATATAGGAGTTGTCTCCCCCTACTGTAAACTGCCACTACATGTACATAACTAACTCTTGTGAAATATATATTTTTTGTTAATATTGTGTTATATTATTGAATGATAAGTGCTGTAGAGAATCATGAAATATTTTGATAAAAAAGTAATGCACACAAAGTTAATACTTAAACCAAAATGCCTGTCTATCTGCATACACATGATTGTATATTTTACTTCACCATTGTCCTGACAAGGTAGCAGAGGCAAATGTGTAATCCTTTAAATCTTGTAGTGTTAGCTTGCTTACTGTCAGCTTTGTTTATATGAATTTGATCTTCGTCTCCTCTGAAAGTCACAAATAAGAAATGTATGTGCTAACAGAATTGAATAACTGTTGATACAGGCCCATTGAGCCTTTTGTTCATTGTCCATCATATCAGTTTGTCTAACATAGCCAGAAGGTGATCTTAAGGAGTTGTTGGGGTATTAGGTTGCAGTTCACAGTGTAAAAATCTTTTAAGTAATAATGTTTAATGAGTTATTTCCCTTACAGTGGAGGGTACTACTGTTCAGGTGGAGCCACCAGTCCCAGCCCTACCGATCCAAGCATGGGAGGAACCTGTTCGTTAGGCCAGTATTGTCCGGAGGGAAGTGAGGCCGCTATTGAGTGTACACCGGGAATGTACTGTCAGGGTATCCGGCTCACAGAACCCACTGGAAACTGTTCTCAGGGTAAGATTTAGCTCTGATATTTTGTAATGTATATTGAAGACCAGAATGATGATATCTAAATTTTGAAATGTTCCCTTTTTTCCATACTTTATTTGCTAATCAATGAGCTTCAAATAAAAAAAATCAAATTAAAAGGAATTTTAATAGAAAATATGTACTACATGTGACTTACTTGGTGTCATCTGACAGGTTACTACTGTAATGGCAGCACCGCATTTAGCATGCCCCCAGATGGTACCACTGGTGGAAACTGTCCTACAGGCTATTATTGTCCTGAGGGAAGTGCTTATCCTACGCCTTGTCCGATTGGTTACTATCGAGGGTCTATCCGTGGAACCAATCCCTCATCCTGTACCATCTGTACCAAAGGTAACTTAGATAGAGGATAGCCGGAGCATGATCAAGGCATATTCGCACTTTGCCCGTAAAATCAATTTTGGCCTAGTATTAATTTTTAACTTCACATTTGAATAGTGTGTTCATTATACTGTTTACTGATACTTGCTGTAATGATACATTCACGCTCATTACAGAGGGCGAAAAAAGCCAAATCAAAATGCAGCTAATTCTCTGTATACAGTAACCATTCCTATTATGTTAATCTTCTATTTTCTTCTTCAGTTAGTTTCCAATCATCTCTACTTTACTGTAAGAACATTAGTTGTGAATAGAAGACAAAATATATGTACAAAGTTAATAAAATACAGATAATTGTCAATCGACTATTGTAAGAGTGAATGGGATGAAAACCTCAGGTGATGACACAGCTTTTAAAGCACCGGGTACCAGAGCTCCTTAACTTTGGCAGTATAGCTATAAATATTTGTTCTGAAGAAGTAAAACATCTATTTACCTTAAAAATATTATTTTAGAGGATAAACTGAGTGAGTAGAATGTGCTTGAGAATAAACTGTCAATATGAATTTCAATTTACATAATATGAAATTAGATCATTAATTATCACATTCATGAAGTTGTAATAAATAATCTTAAATATGATGTAAGATAATTTATTGATCCAAAACCTTCCAGGAAAGCATTGTGACTCGGAGGGCCTAGGAGCGCCAGCCGGAGACTGCGCCCCGGGATACTACTGCCCTGCCGGTCAGACTTCAGTCACACCTGCCAACTTTAGCTGTGACCCAGGCTACTTCTGTGTGGGGGGCAAAGAGGCACAAGAGGCCTGCCCCTCGGGCACCTACCAGGTAAATACTCGTTATGTGAGGTGAATACAAGTTGAGTTGAACTGCTACTATTAGAATGTCTGGGTAAATTTTCAGATTACTTCAAATAACTTTACCACAGCAAAGGCACTTGGAATACATACAAAAAGAAGGTTTGTTTGGTAGATATGAATTTTAATTTGATTTCAAATTAAGAATGTTTTGATATAATAGATCTTTATGTGATGGAGTATAAATACTTGTTTAGTCAGGTAAAAATATGTCAATACTTGCTGGGTTAGGAAAAGATAGGCAAAAATTCATTTTGCTGGATAAAAATATGCAAATACTTAGTAAAAACAGGTAAATAATCGTTTTGCTGGATATATATATATATACTGTATTTTACCAGTGATAAGCCCAGGGGGCCTGTGCATGAAAACAAGTCAAAAGTAGGGGGTGGTGTAAGGAAACTATTCCTTACGTAGAGTCAGTAACAAATACTTGTTGTTCTAGGTAGGATAGGTAAAATATTTGTTAAGCTAGGTAAATAAAGCTTATTACCTTGTTAAGGTAACACAAGAAAATTTCATTTTATAGATAAATAGTTTTAATACAGGTTATTTTTGTAAGTTCATGTAGATAATAGTTACTGTAAATGTACACATTTTAGCGATAGTCTTATTTTAGCGCTCTAGCACTTTAAATATTACACTAAGTTATCATTGCACCAATAGAAGTTCATGTACATTGTTCTCTATGGAGTATTGGGTGGATGCACCAATTCATCAAAGTGCTGATCTGTTCAAATCTGATGATGTGCTAAAACTCAAGTAAGCCAAAATAAGTATTATGTACTTGTCCACCTGACAGTTACTCATCAGGTACAAATTGTTACCTCACCTGGCTTTTTACACAGGTAAATCGTTTGCACCGACAACTTTTGAAATGTTTGTACATATTTGTTCATGGAACCCTGATCCTGACCTTTGTTTACAGGACAACCCTGGTCAGTCTGAATGTCTGACCTGTCCACAGGGCTACTACTGTAATGCTACATTTGGACCTGTGGTCAACTACGCAGCCACGGTGTGTCCTGAGGGATACTACTGTCCGAACGGCACAGAGCATGCTGACCAGTATCCATGTCCTAAAGGAACATTCAACAACAGGACAGGTATGTAGGACCAGAGTCACAATGGATAGGGATTCATCTTCTACTGTGCTTCATTGTAGTTGTCGCATTAAAGCTGCCTGATAAGAATTTTTTGATAATGAATTCTTTCGCATTCTGTAGTAGTATAATAAAATGTCTCCCTGTTATAGTATTGTAATAAAATGTCAACCTGTTATAGTATTGTAATAAAATGTCTCCCTGTTATAGTATTGTAATAAAATGTCTCCCCCTTATAGTATTGTAATAAAATGTCTCCCCCTTATAGTATTGTAATAAAATGTCACCCCGTTATAGTATTGTAATAAAATGTCACCCCGTTATAGTATTGTAATAAAATGTCTCCCTGTTATAGTATTGTAATAAAATGTCTCCCCGTTATAGTATTGTAATAAAATGTCTCCCCCTTATAGTATTGTAATAAAATGTCACCCTGTTATAGTATTGTACTAAAATGTCACCCTGATGATGCAGTGAATCCCCATCCACATTATAATCCAGAAAATAATTTAAAAAATAATAATTTCTGAGTAAGTAATGATGATACGTGTTTATATGAATTCTTGGCAGACTCATAAATTAGCATAAAAATAAATACTTTAAACAATATCAAACATTTACAGTTAGTTGTTTTGCTATGTAGGTTTGACCAACTCGTCTGATTGTTCGCCCTGCACTGGGAGGTGGGCTTGTGATCAGGTCGGACTGACGTACCCCTTACAGCTGTGTTCAGCGGGCTACTTCTGTCGAGAGGGTGCTGATTCTACAACACCTAACTGTAAGTCACATTGTTACAAATGGTTAAAAATTGTTAAACAAGCCACCTACCTTATTTAGCACATACTAGTGGACATTTCTACTCAACTTTATAATCAGATTTCAAATACATTTTATTGCATGTTTATCGCAAGACCAGAAAGTGTTTTGTAATGTAATCAGATTTTAGGTCACCTGAGCCTGCCTCCTCCTTGTCATTAATCATTGTAAATAATTCACATTTTATACATCTTCTTAAGAACCATAAGGATTACCATATTGGTTTTGGACCAGCATATAGCTGTGATGTAGGACTAGGAAAGTTGTTAAAATTGAGTGAGCCTGACCTATGTTTAAGGTCACAAGGTTCAAATATGTTAAAATCTTCAAATGGCATTAGCTCATATTGCAGACTATGTAGGATCTATTAGCAGTACTTTCAGCTATAAGCTAACATTTTCTATGGTGCGCGCTAGCGCTTCGTAAATAATATGTTCTTTAGCTAAGTTTACTAAGCTGAAGAAGGGATTGATGTAAATACTTATATTTATCATGTCATTACATTGCTGAGACCATTGTAACGCCTCCATTTGTAGCAATATCACTTTATTTATTTTTACCCCTACAGTGGTTACTGCCGATGACTGTCCTGCGGGATCTTACTGCCCCGAGGGTACGGACGAGCCTATCCCCTGCCCCGAGGGCACGTACAGCAATGCAATGAACCTTCATATGGAAAGTCAGTGTGTCAACTGTACTGGTGGCTATCACTGTAACGAGACCGGTCTGACTGCCCCCGCCGGACAGTGTCAAGAAAGATACTACTGTCCCTCTGGTTCAAGGTCGGTGACGGAGGCCCTCTGTCCAATTGGTCACTTCTGTGGTGTTGGTACTGAGTATCCAGACCAGTGCACAAACGGAACATTCTCAGACGCGACTGGACTGGCATACAACTACGAGTGTGCAAATTGTACATCTGGATACTACTGTAACGGAAATGGACTTACGAATGTCACAGGGCCTTGTAAAGCTGGTAAGTGTGAAACGAATGTCACAGGGCCTTGTAAAGCTGGTAAGTGTGAAACGAATGTCACAGGGCCTTGTAAAGCTGGTAAGTATTTAACGAATGTCACAGGGCCTTGTAAATCTGGTAAGTATGAAAAAGACTTGCTTGCATCACTTACAACTCACAATATCATAAGTGTATAAATTATAATTTGTTTTAGTTGAACTATATTGCTATAATCACAGTTACTACAATATACCTGCACATAATTTTTTCAAGTCTCATGAATGGTTCAATAGTTGTTATACTTATGCAACTACAAAAAACCTTCCTAGTACCGTAATGTGTCGGATCTACCTAAAAGTACCTTGTTCATGTTGTCTCCAGTGACTTAAACACAACTTTTCAGCTGTAATTTCTACCAAAATAATACATACCAATGGTCTTCAACATACACGATAATACTCCACAATCTCAACTGTAAGAACTGTTATTCTTTCATATATTTGTGAAATATTTATCACATCACAAAGAAAACCTCGTCTTCTTTTCATTACGCCTCTAATGACTGATCATCTGTTGACAGACAGGTAATACAGCAGAAATATTAAATCCACTTGGTATTACTAGATGCACCTCATTATAATCATCATTGGAGGCACGGTAGTCCAGTGGTAGGACGCCGGGCTCGTGACCGAAGGGTTGCGGGTTCGCGCCACAGCACGGCAATGTGTTGTATCTTTGAGCAAGATACTTTACTCCGCTTGTTCCTGTCTACTCAGCTGTAAATGAGTACGTGGTTGGGCAGTGCTAGAATTGTTGAATGTAGCTGTTAGCGCCAAAATGGCAGCTCCGGCTCCAGGGAGTTGAGAAATGTATTGGCTGGTTGCAAAGGCCCTATAACCAAGGATAATAATTTGTGAACCGCTTTGAGACGACCTACGAACTAGGTTGTGATAAAGCGGTATATAAGAACCTCCAATTATTATCATTATTATTATCCTTGTTTGTTTTAGGTTACTACTGTCCGTCAGGATCCAGCGTGGAGACTCAGATCATCTGTCCGGCGGCCACGCATTGTCCCGAGGGTACCGGAACTCCTCAGTACTGTCCAGACGGCTCGTTTACGGACTACGACGGAGCCTTCGTCTGCGATGTGTGTCCTGAAGGTTTGTCCTAGTCCTCCGCGTTACTTTTTTATGGATTATGCATCAACAAATATTTTTTAATAGAAATATTCTTGACCCAAAAACCTAGAAAAATAAACATATTTTTAAAAAAAAAAGCAATACAACCAGTACAGAATTTGCAAATGTTTCTAGACATTGGTAATGCACTTTGATATTATTGTGTTTGTAAAAAGTAATTATTTTGACATGTAAAAGACAGTGTTTATGCAGTACTTCATGTTTGACATAAACACCAATTTGTGACATGGTAATTAAAATAGGAGATGTCACAATGTAACCATGTAACCTACCTAACTGCCTCTGAGTATTGACTGTAACTACGAACACTTGTTATAGTCACAGTTGTAAACTCCCTTGAATCAGAACCTCCCCGAACTGTGTGTTATGTAATTAGAAATTCCAACCTTTTTGTAAATACTTCACTTTACACCTATAAAAGGGTTTCATATATTTAGAAAGCATTGTATCAATGGCAATTATGTGAACAAGTCTTAATTGATGAGTGTTGTTCGATATAAAGGCAAATTCATTATTCTGATTGAGGTAAAAGATGCTTGCAATGAAAGTCTCCCTACTAAAAATGCAGTCTTCCTACGAACAGGAGTGAAGTCTCCCTGCTATATGATCTGAAATAATCACGTATATGAAAATATGGAGGGGAATACGACAGGAGGATTCCCATACAAATACATAGATATCGGCCTGTTAGATAATTGTATCACCAATATTCTTATAAGAATTGTATTTTGTTGCAGGTTACTACTGTATCCCTGAGTTAGTGACTCCTGGTGTAGCATCTACTGCCAAGACTCTGTGTCCCGAGGGATTCTTCTGTCCTAACGGAACAGGACACAACTTTCAGCCCTGTCCAGCTGGAACCTTCAACAACGTTACCGGGCTACAGAAGGCAGAGGATTGTATGCCATGTACGGAGGGAAAATTCTGTCAAGGTTGGCGACAAATGTCTTTTAATCCTGAAATACTGAAGTACAGTTCAAATTTAGAAAAAATATTGTTACTTTAAAATGAAAAACGTTAATTTCATTAAACTAATTAGGAACTTAAAATCTGGTTGACTTGAACTTGTTGTGTCCATGAGTGTTTCAAATATTGTGAGGAAACATTTTGGATTATTTACATTGATCTGGTTACAGGGCAGTGAGAGATATTTTAATAAGGATTATGGAAGAAGGCAATAGTTGGGTTAGGATCTAGAGGTAGCTACTGTCCCAACCAAATTTTAAGCAGGTTCTTTTGAAAATCTCATTGTCCAAACTGATTATTGAAAATCCATTGTTTTCTCCTTAGGAACAAAAAAAGGAACATTATCCTTTGTCCTTAGGAAGAATAAAAATAAAATTGTTATGTGATTATTGAAATACCTGTTGTTTTGTTCTTAGGAACAAACTTGACCGCCCCCTCAGGCCTCTGTATGGGCGGTTACTACTGTGTGTCTGGGGTTGATCGTGCCAACCCACTTATGCTGAACGACACCCAATGTCCGACTGGCACTGTTCACCCAATCATCGGTCATGAATGTCCAGCTGGTCACTACTGTCCCGAGGGATCAGACAATCCCATTGGCTGCCCAGCAGGCTCCTACCAAGACCTAACCAATCAGATCAATTGTAAGAGCTGTCCAGAAGGCCATTATTGCTATGCCAACACGTCAGACTACACTCCTAACGTGTGTCCAGGCGGCTACTACTGCGGCCTAAATACAACTGACCCCTACATGTTACCATGTCCACCTGGTAGCTATAACAATCTGACCACGCAGCAGACCATTGGCTCCTGTGTGCCCTGTACTCCAGGCATGTACTGCCAAGGCGACGGGAACGCCTACCCCACAGGGAACTGTTCGGCGGGCTGGTACTGCACTAACGGGTCTTACGAGGCTCAGGTAAGGGAGATAACTGCGATTTTGTAACTTAATGATTGCATAAATCATTTATCCAACTGTTTGTTTTCTAAATTTATACAAAGGATGACTTAAATGTCCAATAAAGTATGTGATTCTTTAATAAAAAGTTTCAGTTTCATTTAAGATTTTTTTGATCACAAAAGTCTATTTAATAAGTTGGCTATTCAGTAAATTCATTTCATCTAGTCACATACCTATATATAGATGTCCTACATATAAAATTGATTTGCAGATGAACAAAATTGGTTTTCATATTTCAAAACTGATCAGCTTGTCAAAAATATAAATGACATGTTTTCTTGTGTTTTTAGCCGTCCTCCAACGGTGGGGAATGCCAGGTTGGATTCTTCTGTCCAGAGGGGTCGTATGCCATGCAGAATTGTACGCCTGGGAAACACTGTCAGACTACCGGCCTTCCTCTGCCTACCAATGACTGTGATGCTGGATACTACTGTCCAGGGGGCGCCACCTCGGCCAGAGAAATCATCTGTCCTGTCGGCCACTACTGTCCAATTGGAACTGATCTCCCAAACGCCTGTAGGAATGGAACGTACGCCTCCACAGTAGGTCTACAGAGTGAAGGAGAGTGTACGGAGTGTGACCCTGGCTACTACTGTAATGGGACCGGTCTCAGTGCCACCACCGCACAATGTGATGCTGGTAAGGAGATATTTCACCATTCAAATTTCTGACAAATTAAAGCATAACGAAACCTCTTCTTATTAAATTGTTCCTATTATATACAGTTTAACAGGGTGTTTCATAATTTCTGGCAAAATTAACTGAGTTAAATGGTTTAGAAAAAAAATAAGAATTAACATTAATATTGACTAAAGTAACCTTCCTTTTATAAAAAAAAGAAATGTCAACATCACAGATAGTATGTGACCTTAGTGGCAAGGTCATTGGAAGTAATGTTTAACATCCACCTGGTACCTGATTACGGTTGACCTTCATATTTCACCTGATGAGGAATTTTGACCTTCACCAGTTACTTGATTGAAATGTTAGACTTTTACCTGTTGCCAGGTGACCATTTATAAAATAAGAGTTTCACCTGTCGCCTGGTTACTTTGTGACCTTTGATCTTATTGTTTGTAACCTTTGACCTTTCTCTGTGTCCAGGTTACTACTGCCCTGGGGGACAGAGTGTACCGGATCCCTCTGACTACCGCTGTACTCCTGGCCACTACTGTACCGTGGGTACAGGTACACCGTACCGCTGTGCCAGCGGCGAGTACCAGAACGAGTACCAACAGTCCACCTGTAAACCGTGTCCAGCAGGTATGTACAGTCAGAAAGACACGATAAAAAGATGTGTTTGTCATGTCTTTAACCCTTACTGGTGTGATATGTGGATGTAAATAGAATTTCTTATGTGCACTTGTGAAAGACTAAATGATTTATTTAGCTCACCTAGGCCAAACTAGCTCACGAGATAATGCAGCCTCTATATCATCTGTCCTGTGTCAATATTTTACTTACAGCAGCTTGAAAATTTATTAAAACCTTTTAACTTTTGAATGACCAACCATAATTAATCTATCTTTATATATGATTTCAGCTACTGGAATTTTAATCTTTTGTATATAGTATATTTCTGTTATAACCCCTCTGACATCGTTTGAAGGTTACTTCTGCGACAGCAGTGTAGAGGCAGTTGGAGAACTGACCAATAACAGCTGTCCACAGGGTTTCTACTGTCCAGCAATGACCAATCTGTCCAGCCAGTTTCCATGTCCAGCTGGTACCTATAACAATCGTACTGGACTGACCGTTGAGGTAGATTGTCAGGTTTGTCCTCCTGGCAAGTACTGTCAGGCCACAGGGTTACCAGAGCCGGAAGGTGACTGTTTCGCAGGGTAAGTAAAAAGTGCCTACTGCTTTGTAATATAGATAAAGAAGTAGGTCACTGTGACTTACTTTCCACTTTACTTCGGTTAGCTTCAATTCCATCAAAGTGGGGTGGGGGGCATGCATGTTTTACAAGCATTTATAGTTGTATTAGACTCCTATAAATATGATACCATTATGACTATAAATCTTTCGCAGATAGATCATCCTCAGTACTGATATGGTGTGTTAAGAAACATCATCTGGCTTCCTCAACAGTTATTTTTTTTGCAACAAAACATCCCTGGGTGACATGATCAATAAAATTGATCCTTCGTTTCTACAAAATATTTTATTGGTGTAAACATTCCATTACAGATATTACTGTAACGGAAGTACGACCGAGCCGACACCCACTGAAGGTCGTTGCCCTATAGGAAGCTACTGTCCCCTTGGGAGCTACCAGCCCATTCCCTGTCCAGACGGGACCATTGCATCCATCGCGGGCAACACGCAACTCAGTGACTGTGAGCCTTGTAAACCTGGCAACTACTGCACACCTGACAGCTCCAGAAACGGTACGCTGACTATATCTAATGGTCATCAACTTCTGGTTGATTTAAACATTTCATTTGTCATCCAACAAAAAGGATTAGGCACAAGTTGTCTCAACTTAAAAACGCCCTCTCCTTCTGGTGTGAGTTGGGAGGATAAAGTTCAACTTTTTGTTTTTAATTTTCCTATATAATGTTAGCAGTGGATAATGATATGTTATTTAACTGCAAAATGTTATAATTGAAAAAATAATCTAGTTGCAAGAAATACACTGTATTACAAATTGAGTATAAAACACTTCTTACTCTCTTCAGTTGACGTGTAAAAGAAAAGGGAATCTAAACTGTTTTTATGACACAATTTTGTGTTCTTGTTTGGTGAAGAGATTATTTGTTTAAGAAATTTTAAAATGACAAAAACATTCCAAGTAGATAAATGCTATCTCAAGTACAGTTAATATAGTGGAAGTGAATGAATCACAAACCAGTGTAACAGACCCCATGGGCCTTTTGTAGAAAATATTCGTATTTCAATCCGAGGTTTTTATTACAGGTCGTGTGACAACCGGTAGGTGGTGCTGCATCCCCACAATATATCACGCATTGTTGTTATTGACGAAGTTTTATTATAAAATGTCCATTGTGTCTGTGTACTGCTTTCAGTTCATGTGGTGGTGATTTTTTTTAATTGTTTTCCCCCGTTGTTGTTTGTATACATGAAGTGTTGAATTTGTGGGTTCTAGATTGTTATATAAATCAGTGATCTTGAGAGTGAATTCATAACCACATAAAGAAACTTTATCCTAGGTAAATTTAACTCTTGTAGTAATTGTTATATTCGTTGGAAAAAGTATGAAAAGTATATAATGCCACATAAAGGCATTTTATCTTTGAGAATTTTAATCTGATTGTTGTAATGTTGTGAGGGTGCAGGAGTGTGCTTAACTCTTTTACCACTGCAGACTATAATGGACTCATCCATATCAATGCATGGTAGAGTTTACTGAAGTTACCTAGGGGTGAAAGGGTTAAGAAAATAACATACCTGGGGTAGTATATGAAGTTTTGTTGAGAATGACATTTCGGATCCCTAATGTATATGTGAGGTATTAGTTTGAATTGATGGTGGGTGGATGTGATGGTGCTTTTTAACTTCAAAAGTCTGTGCAGGTTTTCGTGATGATTTTAAACTGCTATGTACAGTATTTTTCTTAATACTGATTGACAAATAATTTATTGAAGTTAGATTAATTTGGATACCTGTTTAAGTGTGAAGTTAATTCAGGTGTTGTTGATATTATTTTGTTAATTTTGTGCTTCAGTCAAGGTTTGTTTACAACAGTGATGAGTTGGCTTTCAACGTTTGTTATTTAATTGTATGTGTTTGTCATATAACTGTGAAAGTTTGTGATTTAAGTGACAGTGTTTAATGTTATTTGTTCTGTGACTTTGTTTCTGTTAGATAGTACAGTGTACAGTGTCTGAACTGTGATAACCGACGTTTATCACATTCATTTAACTCTCATTAATTAATTTTAAAATTGAAAAAAAACACATATATTTACAGGTCTGACTGAATTTTCTTATATAATACTTTAAATATTTTAGTCTTGTTTGATTTAAAATGAATTTCATTTTATAATATTTTAGTATTGTTGGATTTCAATCAATTTTGAATATTTCTAAAGCTTAATTAATACTGGTAGCATCCATCAAACAGTGGTAAAAGTGGAAATTATTCATTTCAAATATTTTTGGCGACTTCAAGCTGATGGATATGTTCAAACTCTTTATTATTCATCACATTGTTAAAATGACTTCGCCAAGTCCCGTGTTGATGTATGGAATTTGTAAAGAACACAAACTGAATTATTCATTGATCAGGTTTTCACAATGTCTGTTGTGTTAATCCATTCTGTTGCTTCAATCACACACCTTAGTCACATACATGGTAATGATATGCATGCTGCACCTAGGTCAAAGTTCACAGTCACAGGCTTGTTATACTGTAGGTATAGTGCATTAGGGTTCATAAACTATACCAGGTTACAATTGTAAACGGCATGCAAAGGGATACATACTGTATAGGGTTTCTGAAGTGAATAAGGAATACATTTCACAAAAAAATCACAAACAGAACCAAAAATTGTTAAATAATGTGAACGAACATTCATGTAAAAGGGAGATAATTATATATGTACTCGCTCAAATGAAAATTTGCGACAACGGAAATCACACCCCGCATGTTCATTCAGCTTCTTTCCAGAAACATTGTTTTCACAATCAGTCCCAGTTTGATACAGGAATAATGTTCAGTGTGCAACTTATTGTTTTTTTCTGTAATTCCTGTTAGATTTATCATATGGCAAGATGTCTATTTCAAATTAGAACAGAACTAAATTATTGAATGGTTATCAACGACACCTGAAGCCTGAACTAGCTGGTAACCCTATAAAACATGAAATTGTGCCAACAATTAATGTTCCATCATTTGGCAAAAACATATGGCTTTATATTCATCAACAGGACCAAAAGAAACCACCTGATGCATTCAAATATTTTTCATGATACATGATCTTGAAATATATTTCATTTATCTGTGAAAGCCATAATCTCTTTCAACTGTCTTGTTCACATATAATCTATTTCATTTACATATGTAAGCTATAGTCTTTTTCAACTTTCTACGTAGGTTATATTCGTTTTTTCCAATTTACTTTGTACAACATATTTTGTATACTATAGTCTGTTTCAACTATCTTTGTAGGTTATCTATTTAATTTATATCTGTAAGTTAAAAACCTTATCTTTTTATGTAAGTGATATATAGTGTTTCTCAACAATTCATGTAAGCTATGTTCCACTCATTTCTGCAGGCTATAGTTTACCATGTGACGCTGGCTACATTTGCCTGAATGGATCAAACGTGCCCACTCCTACCGACGGAATCATCGGTTACGAGTGCCCAGCGGGACACTACTGCCAGTCGGGAGACGTTAAGGAAACCTTGTGTGAGGTTGGAACGTATGCACCTAGCACTAAACACGGTAGGTATCATCTCCCTACTCCGATCATCGTCCTCCTCCGATCATCGTCCACATTTTAGAGGGGCTGATTTCTACTCTATTACCATAGCATGAATCTCTGAATTGACAGGAACTACTTTTTTCACTTTTTTTAGTTGAGAAAATTTTCACATAAATAATTAACATACTGTACTCTGATTGATAAACAGTGTCCACACAATACCTTAGTCAAATATAACTGAAATCTAATGATATTTGGTGAACACAAAGGCTGTAAGTTAATGGAAGCTGATGGTAATAATTAATCAGCATATTGTGCTCTGATGTGTCAAGGTTTTTTTGCAAAATAATTTAATCAAATAGGATTAATTTGGATGAAACTTGATCAATGTTTATAGCAAAATTACAATTCTTAATATGTATGTTCCATCTCCTTAGCCAACTGCAGGCAGATGATATTATATAATGCGATTAAACTATATATACTTGGAAAGCACATTTCATTTCATGTTTAGTTAAGATTTTATACCTTTGAGAAAGAAGTTCTATGATTTTCTCAAATCTTTGATGAAACAAAATAAGTTATTTTCTTGTTTGACACTTTTGTGACTTAATGAGATCACCAAGGTTCAATGTTTCTGTTTTTCAGCGGAGTGTCGTGAATGTCCTGAGGGTCGGACATGTCCCTACCAGGGTATGAACTACACAGATATATGTCCGGCTGGCTACTTCTGTGCTAATGGAACGTCCGACAATGGTCAACCATGTCTCATAGGTAATGTCTGTGTTTCTTAAAATCATTGATATGAATTACAGATAATGAACTCAAGTTTATTTCAATAATTCAGTCACATTTATACAACAGATGATGTTGTTTCTGACTCCCATTAACATCATAATGCTATAAGCATGCATTCATACACAAAAGACATCGGTGACATTAGTGGTTGCCATAAACGACAGCAATATTATCTTCACTATATTTGACCTTGACCCCAAACAGTGACTTTACTGTATGTCCTTGACTAGCTATTTTCTGTCAACAAAGTTATTTTCATGCCACCCAAAAAAGTTTGAGCTTTGGGGCGCTTGAATGGCAACAACAATAAATGTAGAGATAATCAAGTCAGAGTGAAGCTTGAATCAAGGTGAAATTTACTTATCCATGAAAAGTTCGTCACACAAAAGAAAATGTAATCTAAGACCAGTCAATAGGGTTAATAAGGATGCATCACAAGTTTACTTTGCATATTACTTTAGTTAAAATCTACATAATTGAATAATTATTTTCAAAATGTAGAAGTATATGTATTAATGAATAATAATACTGTATTTCACTTCCTACAGAGAAGACAGGGGTACATGGCATTAATGTCAGTTTGACATATGTCTAATTTATTTATGACCTTCAACCACAGTTCAGCTTTGACTAAATATTTGACCTTGACCTCTGCAGGTTCCTACAGTTCGCTGACAGGCCTAATTAACTCCTGGGACTGTCAGGGCTGCCCACCCGGGAAGTTCTGTAACGCCACAGGTCTGGGAAGCCCTGCTGGAGATTGTATGGCCGGATATCTGTGTATTGAAAACGCCACACAAGCGGCACCTAATGATGCACTCAATAAGGCATGGCCAGCTGGTCATTATTGCTTAGAAGGTGAGTTATCAATTCTCTCCAGGTTTTAGTTTGTAGAGACTGCATTGTCTTGTTATGTATACGTTTCTTAGTCCTGTTAAGATTTTATTCTATGGTGAGGATTCCATGTTTCTCTGGGAAAAAAATAGTTGAGATTCAGAAGATAAATTGTTACGTGCGCACTGTTGTAAATTAATTAGTATGACTAGTTACTTGTAGGGAAGCTCATTCTTCACTATAAACTAATTAGCTTTTAATTAGTATTTTAGTAAAATCAACAACTTCTTCACAACTACAGGTATGTGGAACTTTGGTAACAATACAACATTTAGTTTTCGACTTTTTGTGTAGGCGGTGTAACAGCTGAGCCGTGTCCACGAGGAACTTTCCGTAACCAATCTGGTGGTGGTGTTCTCGCTGACTGCTGGATGTGTTCCGGAGGTTACTACTGCCAGAACGAGGCTCTGACCACTCCCACCGGTCTTTGTGCAGAGAGGTACTACTGTCCCGAGTCGGCCAACATCAGCACGGCCACACCCACAGATTACATCTGTCCGACAGGAAACTATTGTCCTGCGGGCACAGCTGATCCAGAACCTTGTGGAGTTGGTACGTACCAGCCTCTTTCTGGCCAGCTTGACTGTATATCCTGCCCCAGTGGCTTCAGCTGTATGGTCAACACTAGCACCCCAGAGCCGTGTCCAGCCTATTCCTACTGCCCTAACGGAACTTCTGACCCCTTCCTGTGTCATAACGGAACTTACACCCTCGCCACTGACACCGGACTGGAGAAAGCAGAGGACTGCAAGGAATGTGAAGCAGGTAAGTTTTGAGGGACACAGCCTGGTAAATGTTGTCATATAAAACTGTTTCCCTGTCTGTTTACAGATATATAAGGTGTGGTTTTAAATTGGGTTTTATTGAGGAAATGATGAATGGGTGTAAGAAATAGTGTTTCTCTTGTAATGCCCAGGGAAGTATCGTATAATTGTATAAGATCCTGTTTCTATTGGGATTCCCAGGAAAGTACTCTACGGTCTCCTGTGATTCTCAAAGAAGTTCTGTACAGTTGTTAGATTCTTTTTCTCCTGTGATTTCAAGGGAAGTATTTAGAGTTGTATAAGATCCTGTTTCTCCTGCTATTCTTGGGGAAGTACTTTACAGTTGTATAAGATTCTATTTCTCTTGTGATTCACAGGAAAGTACTGTGTTGGTGGCCGTATTGCCGGGGACTGCTCTGCCGGATATCTGTGTCTGAAAGGTCAAAGTGTTCCAACTCCTCCAGATGAAAACCGCCCTAGTGGTGGAAACTGTACCTACGGATTCTACTGCCCCGCAGGTATGTACTAGATTTCATTTCTAAACCTGATACTTTGGATTTAAAAGTTCATTGTTTATTTTTATGTAAAGTGACAAAGCAATAAAAGGTCCGATGTTACCATTGTTGTTGTAGGAACCACCTCTGTACAGGCTTGTCCCTCTCTGCGGTTTATAAACTGGGAGGGAGCGGCATCAGCTGCTGAGTGTGACGTCTGCCCGGGCGGCTTTATCTGTCCCGATAATTCAACTGTGTCCGAACCATGTCCAGCTGGATTTTACTGTGAGGTCAGCAAGGCTGTAGCCGCCTGTCCTGAAACGACCTACAACCCGGTGCAAGGGGCAGATGACTCTAGCTACTGTCTGCCGTGTCCTGCTGGGTACTTCTGTAACACCACAGGGATGGCCAACTACACTGTGAGCCCCTGTCCTACAGGATGGTACTGTACCAACGCTACTACTGCACCCCAGCCCTGCCCCCCGGGCACATACAGGTGAGTTCCTATTACTGCACCCCAGCCCTGCCCCCTGGGCACATACAGGTGAGTTCCTACTTATGCTTTAACCACCAATCATTTCACGCCCTGTCTGAACAGATTTTCTTAAACTACATTACCAATTACAATGAAAGATCTTGTTAGTAACATATTGGGAATATATTCAACAGCTTAGGCACAATCTTTTAATAGTGGAATTCAAGATGGCCACCATGGCCTATGATTGGTTGAGACAATTATAGTTATAACTTTAATTCTATTTGACTAAATGTTTTTCGATACTTTGTTGGAATGATGTATAGGGAATCAATTTTATATTGGAAGTCCGATTTTTAAATATTGGGATTCAAGGTGGCCACTATGGCCTCTGATTGACCGACACATTAAAAAGTTCCAAGGTCAAGCAGGGGGTATTAGTATGTAACTTACAGTTCTAGTTTTCCCAGAGATGTGATAACAGAAGCAAAGATTCAGATATTTTTATGTGCCTTACCTTTATTCTGCAGAGATGCGATAGCGGCAGGAAGTGATGCCGACTGTGCTCGATGTCCAGCAGGCTTCATGTGTTCCAACTTCAGCATGTCGTACGGAGGAGACCAATGTACCACCGGCTATTACTGTCCAGAGGGGTCCCACAACGAGACCATCTGTCAGGCCGGTAAGTACCAATAAACAACATTATCATAATCTTCCCTAAACTACAGAACTTGGAGCCTATATGTTTACTTTTTTTTTCTTTTAAATGTCTGAAATGAACATTGTTGATGTGATGTATTATGGTATGGACATCGCAGATAACTTGCTTATATAATATACCTGTGTTTGATTTTATACAAAATATCTATATTCAGGGAGAAACAGTTCCGATGGAAGGTTAATCAGCTATATTTATTATAGTTTACCTGTTTCGACACACTCTTGTATTCAACGAGGAAAACCACCAAACATTTGGGAGATTAGGATACGGACATTGGATTTCGCTTGCTTAGTACCATATATATATATGTAGACCTGTCTCATCGATTATTAAATTATCCAGTAATACAAGTTTGTAGAAAACAAAAATACCAAGGAAACGTTGCTAATTAATAGGTCTTCATCGATTGAATCAATGTCGTACAGACATCATGTTTAACATATAAATTTGGTTTGTGTTTCTAGGGTATTACTGTAACAGATCCATGTCCCAGGTCCCCTGTCCCCCGGGCTACTACTGCCCAGAGGGATCAGCCACGCCCATGCCCTGCCCCCAGGGTCATTACTGTGAGAAACTAGACGACTGTAATATGACAGATGCAGGTAAGTACTATAGATAACAAAGAAACTTGATATCAAATCAGCATCACATTGCGTAGTAACATCGGAGATGAAGTAACATGATATAAATGTATAGGAACACAGTAATGTAAAAGTGGGTATTTTTGTTTGTGGAATTTTTCACATTGTGACCCGTTGAACTGATTGTGGTGTTGAGAAATTTTCACTGTTTCGTGTTGAGTAAGTTAGTGCAAAAATATCAACACTGAAATATCTATTCATTGTTTATGTTTGAGAAAAACATAGATATCAGAACTATTGCAAATGCAAATATATTTATACTGCAAACAGTTCAAAGTGTCACAACATGAACATATTCACACATGAATATTTTCACTTTTACAGTCCATTTAAGTACATTCATCCTTGATACTCTAGGGGGTATGCTCACTTACCCTCTCTGAACAGAGTGTAAGTGAGCGTAGCCCCATCCTTGATACTATAGAGAGTATGCTCACTTAACCTCTCTGTACAGAGCGTAAGTGAGCGTAGCCCCATCCTTGATACTATAGAGGGTATGCTCACTTACCCTCTCTGTACAGAGTGTAAGTGAGCGTAGCCCCATCCTTGATACTCTAGAGGGTATGCTCACTTACCCTCTCTGTACAGAGCGCAAGTGAGCGTAGCCCCATCCTTGATACTCTAGGGGTTATGCTCACTTACCCTCACTGTACTCTCTGTACAGAGCGTAAGTGAGCGTAGCCCCTGGAGTATCAAGGATGAAGTACATAGTAATCCACAAAAGGCTTTGGTTCTAATTTTCCTGAGATTTTAGTTATAGATTTGCTAAGAGTTTAATATAGATTTACTGAAAGTTTAGTTAAAGATTGTTTGAAATTTTAGACATAGATTTACTGAGGGTTTAATAGTTATATTTTTACATGTACTTAGAATTCAAGTATTGATTTATTAAGAATTTTTTAGATATAGTTCAGTTGAGTTTAGTTCTAAATTTACTTAGATTTAAGTTACAGATTCACTAAGAGTTAGTTACTGATTAAATAATGTGTTAGTTGTAGATTTCCTTAGAAATGAGTTGTTGATTTATTCAAAGTTCAAAGTGTTTTGTTTAGATTTCTTGCATATCATGACAATTAACTGTTTTGTTTTCCAGGTGCCATAGAGCCAATCAAGTGCCCCTTGGGTTACAAAGAAAAAGATGCAGCTCCGCGTGAATCATTCGCAGATACATGTGAAGCGTGTAAACCAGGAACATTCGGTGCTGACCCTAATCGTGCTGTGTGTGCTGCCTGTCGTGCAGGCGTCGTCTGTTTGACACTTGCCATTACAGATGAACCAGGAGACAACTCCAGTGCTTACTATGGGGTCAACGCAACCAATTCCTACCCCTGTCCAGAAGGTAGGGGTCGCCTGTAGACTCATTCACCCCTACATATTTAAACTGGACTTGCCTAGTCCTTGATTTGGTAAGGTTCAAATGTGACTTTAGGGGTGAATAGGTTAAGCTTAAGCCAATGCTACTCAGACCTGTGATTTGTGTTACAGTTATTTCCCTTGAGAATACATTCAACCTCAGGGCCGTTTTTGTTTAAGCGGCTGAACCAGTGGGACCACAGTTGTTTGTTTATTATCCCATGCCGCAGCACCCAATAGGGGAAATAAAGAAAAATATTTTCCCTTCTGTACAAATAAAGGGATTTAAACCAAATGTGGTCTGAAGAAAAAAACTCAATTTGTTTAATTTGTATAAAAAGGTGAATGTAAGGCCCAATAGGGGAAATAGAAAATAGCGGAAAATTGGGACATAACATGGAAACTCATTTTCTTGGTGTCTTTCCCACCAATTCGATTTTTATGTAGTTCTTCTTGCAACTTTGTTTCTTGTACTCCTTTGATAAACCTGAATGGTACTCAGCAGGTTTTAAGATAAAAAATAAAATACCAGGTGAGCTATTAAGGCCCCTGGGCCTCTTGTTAAATAAGGTCTGACCTAGTAATCTGATGCTGCTTTCAGACGAGCCTTGACAAAGCCTTGCAAGACCTGCATAAACATTTGCAGGCCCGACAGGATTTATACCCGAAATTGTTACATTTAAAAGCGGACAAACCGGTTGTTCCGCAAAAACGAACAGACCCATGGTTTTCCATTTTCGATTATCTCCCTTTCCCATATGTTCCTAAACTCCCCTGCAGTGAATCAAGTGCATGTGTGTGTGTGTGTGTGTGTGTGTGTGTGTGTGTGTGGAGGGGGGGGGGATCAACCAATCAGTTTCTTTGTCACTCCTTTGAAAAAGTTTCCCCATGGTTGTTGATGAAAATATTCTTTTTTTGACTCTCTTTCCACATAGAATGTCTTCCTCGTCATATGTGATTATCTCCCATTTCTATAAGATTACCTCCCTTTGCAGGTTACTACTGCCCAGAGGGAAGTGCAGAACCGACAGCTTGTCCAGCAGGGCGATTCCGTTCCTCACAATACGGAGGAAGTGTTGCTAACTGTGAACAGTGTCCTGTAGACCACTTCAATCATCTAACAGGACAGAAAGCCTGCTTTGTGTGTGGTAGTAAGGCTAGCCAGTCTCTCACCGGACAGCCCACGTGTACATGTTTAGGATCAGGGCGGGACTTCCAGGTAAGAATCAGATTGATGTAGCTAGGATACTGCAGACTTCTGTTTATTTACTTTGATTATTTCATAGATGAAATGAACCTTTTTTACCTCCCTGACAGGAAATCATGTTGCTTGTACAGAAGATTCTATTAGATTTCTTTATCTATATCATATATTTATGCTGAAAACATGTCTGAGATTTGCTGTAATCTTTTTATCCTTTTATCTGTATGAAGTAGCCAGAACAAATTCTATATTTTTGCTATAGCCTGCTGGCTTACTGATCAGGTTTAAACAAATGAAAATTTGTATAGTAGCCAGAATAAAATCTGTATTTCTCTGCAAAAAAACAGGCTTACCATAAAAGTATGTAAAACACAAAACATTAAACTTTGCTGCTCTTTACTAAAGAAAATTTTTAACTCTCATCTTTTTTCCAGAAGCAAAACTCACTTAGATTTATCTCCATGAAATATAAGTGACTACCTTAAAATTTGTTATAGATTATGTGTCGTAAACTTTGTTAAAGATTATGTGACGTAAACTTTGTTATAGACTATGTGACGTAAACTTTGTTATAGATTATGTGTCGTAAACTTTGTTAAAGATTATGTGTCGTAAACTTTGTTAAAGATTATGTGACGTAAACTTTGTTATAGATTATGTGACGTAAACTTTGTTATAGATTATGAGACGTAAACTTTGTTATAGATTATGTGACGTAAACTTTGTTATAGCATGTGATGTAAACTTGTTTTTTCTCCTCAACAGGAAAGTGATCGTGAATGTGTATGTGCTGCTGGGTTCCTTGAGGTGACCAGCTCTACAACATCTTCCGACTGCTACAAACAAGTGTATGACCTCTGTACATCTGGAGCTACTAGAACTCAGCACGGCCGATGTTTTACACCTGACCAATGGCAGACATACTGTATGAACGAGGTAAATTTGAGAGACTGACCGATTGTCAGTGTTCATATATGACCACCCATTGAATCTTTTACTGACTTTTAAATATTTTTTTATATCTCCAACAACAAAGCTAGGAGGTATAAATAGAAAAAGGTTGTCTTGTCTGTCCCCACTGACTGTTGTTATCAAATCACTCTGAAGTATTGCACCTTTTGTTTAACCACTTTTTTATAAAAGTGAATGCCCCTTTTGCGAAATCCTTATCCAAATCTTATTCATTCCGGGTTTCATAAAAATTCTTTTCAGAATAATGCTCATTAAACTTTTTAACAGGTTAGCAATTTTGCTATACGATATCATCATTTCATATACCTACACATTGCTATTGACTACATTTTGACATTTGTTTATGGGAGAGTGGGGGGTATTAACTAGCCTGTGGCTTACTGTTCTTGTTCAAGCAGTTGGCCTCTTGCATCCAGCCTAACCTATAAGTTATGTTGTGTACATTTGTGGTGCCTACCTTGTGGCTTTCTATAACTTATCTCACCTTTGCCCTCTCAGTATTTCTGTAATAGACCCTTTACCTTTGACCTTTCACATGTACTGTCTGTTTGTGACAAAGCTTCCTCTAGATAATACATGTTTAATTTATTATTCAGGGTATAAGACATCAAATGATTATTTATGAATGTTTTCCATACAAGGTTTGCCCTACTAATGAGTATGTGGGTTACGATCGTCTGCTGGGGATGTGTCTGTGTAAGACCGATGACCTTGAGGAGGTGTGTGACCTTGAGTGTCGCTTAGCCCAGAAGCAAACTATCGTATTAGCCTGTGCTGCAGAGCCACTGAATGTACATGTTATTGTCCGTGATTCGAATAACAATATTTTGGTGAGTATTCATTACAGCTAAGGCTCTTGTAAGGTCTCCTGAGCCACAGTTTTGAATAAATTACGCTAGCCTTCACTGAAGGTCATAGGGGTCAAATATTCTGAACCTTTAAATGCCTTATAAAGATCCAGAAGACCTAAAATGTTGAAATTTGACAAGATGTTAGAACAGAGAGCTATCAAAAGTAAATGACATTGATCTTTATTCAAGGTCACATGGACTCTTAATGAATTCTTCTGAATCTGAAGTTAAAGAAGACCTAGGGTCATGATACTTGTATGATTAATTTCCCCCCAGAATTTTATGCAACATGTCTGTGAATCCCTAAAGCACTTGTTACTTAATGTTGAAAATGAACACAAAGCTAAAATAAGTCTTGTTTATGTTTTTCCAGACTGAAATTGATACACAGTACCTCACAAAGATTATCAACTCTCGGAACGCACTTTCCTCGGATCAGTGTACCGCTAGAGATGACTCGGAAATGCAAATCAATGTTTGTCAGTTAAGTAGCCGGGGATTCCTTGGTGTGTACGCTCCTGACCCAACAGAGTTGATAGGAATGTTGACTGCCAACAGCAAGGGAAACTACACCGGAAATATTACTGTGGACAGCGGTGTATATGGTCGCCGTCGGTTACTGGCATCTTCCAGCGTGGCCGGATCCCTCTTCACTGGAATTGAGAACCCTGTTGTCTGTCTGGCAAACGGAGAGATCATGTTATTTAGTGTTACCAACACTTACTACCCCATCTATGACAAGTAAGGAAACACAATACACTTGATGTCTGCAGAAGCTTCTTTCTCACTTTATGTTGATAATCATTTTCATTGTAACAGTGGTTAGCATAACATCCAATTTTTCTTTAGCCCACCATCATTTGATCTTTCTCAAATTCGTTCTGTTGGTTTTCCTAAGTCCTTAATTGTGCATTTTTACTTTTGAGATTTGATGGAATAAACAAAATAGTTTCCTCATTTTGCATTTACTGTTCAGATGACTCAATCAAACAAATAAGAGAAAAGAAGAGAAAAGATCGATCTGACATAGAACTAATGAAGATGGCAAAATGGTGGGCACCAAGATTCCTCTGGGGGGATCCCTTGTTTAATTATACACTAAATATGTATTTTAACTCTCTAAAATAGTACTGATGAGTTCATTGTTTTGAAAGGAACAACCTTTTCAACACAAACGGAGCGTTTGACTATGGCGGATTCCGTACAATGGTGGAAGCTGCAGCAGTCACCGCTACGTCGGCAACATTGTTCTCCTACCAGTTCAACGACCCAGGCGTATACGTGTTCTACCTGAGCACCGACTCCACGAAGAAAATGGTGAGAACTCTTTTAGAGTGTGGTATCACGATGGTTGAAAAAACGGATTGGGGAGGTAAGGGGGGGAGTTTGTGTTTATATCTAGGCACTTATATAATATACATAAAACATTGACATCTAGTCGAAAATCTTAACAAATGATAGTGTATAGCAGGATAGTTCCACAGGGACGATATTTTTGCGATTTTGTGGGTCAATAACATGGTTGCAAAGATACGCTCCACAGAATAATTACATTTTCTAATTTTGGGTCAAAACTGCAAAAAATGTAATCCCATGTAAATAACTCGCTATATATATATATACAGTACATCGTATAAAGGTAATGTGCCAACAACTACTTCTGTTACCAGATTCAAACTTTAAGAGACCATCCTTGTGAAGTCCAAAAAGTAGTCTCTTGACAGTGGTGGTTTCTTAACCCATTCACCCCTAAAGTTACATTTGAACCTGACCAAATTAAATACTGGACAAGTCCAGTTTAGATTTGAAGGGGTGAATGTGTTAATGAATATTCCGTTCACAATGAAATCACTACATTAGGGTAATTGAAATTGGTCCCTTAACACAGGTGGTCTCTAATAATAGAGGTGGTCATATGAGCAGGTTTAACACTTTCACCACTGTAGACAATAATGGACTCATCCAGATCAATGCATGGTCATGTTTACTAAAGTTATATAGGGCTGAAAGGGTTAACTGTATGAAAATCAAATCACTTGCCGTTTTTCAGTATATCCGAGTGATGCAGACTAGTGCCCAGTGCTCACAGACTGGTCCCTACTTCCCTGCGACGTCCTCAAGTATCATTGCTAATGGTATCGCCACGGCATCTGACATCCTACAGGCTCCAGACTGGCAGGTCATCTTCATCATCTTTGGAGTCGCACTTCTGGCTATGGTCATCATGATGCTAGCACTGGTCAGTATCTCAGCATTAAGTGGTCAATTTCCTTATGGAAGAACAGTTCAGCTAGCTCTGAAAAGATCTTTCTTGAGAGAAGATCAAACAAGAAATGCAAAAAGGACTGCAGACCTAGAAATATTTGTTAAAACCTTAAAACATTTTATCTTGCTACCGGTAATGTTTGATAAAAGAAACAAAGATATGGGATGTGCACAATCCCTGCTTCTGTTGAAAACGCTGCACCAGGCTTGGTTTGTTTTTATTTTATCACTAGATCTGTCCCTATTTGGTAAAGAAATTTTCCTCATTTCATTTAAAATCTTAATTCTGCTGTGACTGGTGTTAACACTGTGTGCAGTGTGACTATATCATTGTAAAACAATACACTGTCTTAGTGAGGGGATTGTCTTAGTGAGGGGATTATCTTAGTGAGGGGATTATCTTAGTGAGGGGATTATCTTCTTTGTACAGGGTTACCCAGATGTTTTGCCTCAAATACAAAAACAATGTATTTGTTGCTGAAATGCTAGTAAAATCAGTATCCTAAAAGAACAAATAATTTATAGAAAGATTGATAAAAATTACAGTCAATGAATTGTCATAGTTATTAACTGATATTTCTAGCCTAGCAAAAGAAAACAATTTTGAACAGAAAATTTGAAGACTTTTATTCAAACTAATATATACAGCTGTAGTATAGCTAAAATATTTTGTTTCTAGTTGCTGTTCCGCAAATATGGGTGGTCAAAGGCCTCCTATCTATTCCCCTTCTACCGTAAGGTGACGAGGAAATACAACTTTGACGACTACGCCAGTAAGGGATCCACGGTCCATCCGGTCCGTAAATACCACCGTAACATGCATGCCATCACCCGCGGCAACGGACCACCTGACAATGACACCTTGGCAGTTCTTGATGGTCAGTGTTACTAAGAAATAATATGTCCATGGACGCTTTCATTTTTCGCGGTCCAAAGGGTTGAACCAGTTGGACCAGAGTTGTCCGTTTATGAAATAAGGTCAGACCTAGTTATCTGATGCTGCTTTCAGACGAGTCTTGACAAAGCCTTGTATTAGTAAGGCCTGCATGAACATTTGCAAGTCTGCCTGGATTTATACTGAAGATGTTACATTTAAAAACAAACAAACCGGTTGAACCAGGTACACGAGAGGGGCCCAGGTGTAGGGGACTATGGATTACTAGCAGTATTTTGCTTTGTTCGTGTGGGAGAAACTGCATGGCAAAATCTAAAGATGTCTGAAAAGTCTTACAATGACCTTTATTTGACAAAATGTAGTACTGTACAAGCTATAGTTTCAGCTGTTCTGTGCAGTAAATTAATTGCACTGGGAAAACACCCCATAAAATTTGAGGAATTCTGCTGATGTAAAATTAAAACATTAGTGCGAAAATTAAGGTTAGAATATAGATAAATCACTGGTAAGTTATGGTAAAGGTTTAAAGAAATTAGAAGGTATTATCAACACTAATGGAGCCATTCTATTTGTTCCCAAATTATTACATTTTCTCTCTTTTTCTTACAGCGACTAACATTGACGTGAAGGATGATGACTTCTGGGATTACGACAGACAAGTCGACCTGGAGGCGTTTAACACCCGTACTCTGTACGACACGCTCTCCAAACAGTCTCGAGGAGTAACCACGACGATCAGTAAACACAAGGATGAGGTAAGTCAGAAAATAAACAATTGTCTATAGCAACCAGTCAGAGAAAATATTGTTCTGTATTAGTGAGGGGTGCTGGGCAAATATATTAAAAGTTATATGAGAACAATCTGCTCTTGCCTCGAAAAAGGCCTCTTGTTCTAAATGTTTCTAAATAAATGTTCTGGATATATTTTAGAAAGTAGAACTATTCAATAACATGAAAGTATCCAATCTTTATCAATGTAAGCGTTCTTGTGCACCTTTCAAGTAATATGAGTTACCAATTAATCAACTCACTCAAAACTGTCATTCATAAAAGAAATCTGATTTCTTAGTGTGGAAACCTTTTGTTAAGGAGGTAAATGTTATTATTAAATCAGCTTGTATCTTTGAATCATTGTAATATTAAACTACAGATGAAGCAAATGTATGGTAGAATGGCCAATCAAAATGAGTCTCTCAAAGGCTTATGGGCTGCCAAGATGAATTTGAAAGGCAAAGCAGCATTGGCTAGTGATGAAGACCTGGCATCTTATGACACCAAGTTACACATGCTGGAGATTGAACTGGAGAGACGGAAGGATGTTGGTCAGAAGTTTGAACTGATACTTAGAAGGCAGAACCTTCTAATGGAGGACGATGAGAAAGCCAGGGAGGATCACCAGGTATATACATACAGCCAGAAAACTTGACAAATAGTCAATCTGTTGTCGAATGTTTAAATAGGTGTATATAGCCATCCATTAAGTATTGTGCAGTAAAATAGAATTTTTGTTGTCAGGTGAATTTGTTTGGGGTTTTTATATTTCCGCAGCAGCTTTAGGGGTTGGGTGGCGCAGTGGATAATGCACTTTAACCAAGGCAGCTGGGGTTTGATTCCCTGATCTGACATGAAAAGGTATGGGGTCATCTGCCGACAACAAAGGTTTTCTGCGGATACTCCGGTTTCCTCCCACATGAAGACCCTGTGCGCTAACAACCGGGCCAGCAAGAGTGATTACCTGGGTAGTTTAAATTGAAAAGCTTGTTTCATAATTGTTCGAAAATAAATAAAGTTTACGTTTTTAAATGAGTTATATAGTGTTCATTGATGGCCTTTATAAAAGTGCAGCCACCACTGTGAAATGTTATAGCAAGTACCGAGTGACTTACCCCTCACCAGGTCATGTCGCCATGACAGAGGACCAACACACTATCGATATATAATAGGATGTTCCCCAAGACTAGAAGAAAACAAAGACAATGATCGAATGTTTTGTATGTGGGGAAGCATACCAGTTTTAGATTATTATTTGTTCAATGTACCAAAGAAAAAACCCGACTCTACAGGAGCCTCGGCGTATGTCACCTACCGTCGTATAGTGGGAAACAGATGCCATTTCTCTGAACCTAAGCATTCCTTCGAACATGGATGGGATTTCTGTCGACTATTAACAATAAAGTAATCTAAAAATCCAGGGATCATTAAATTTTAGCAATGCAGATTTTTTTTGTTTTTGTATCATTCACTTTTGTATAACAAGCCTCAGACAAGTGTTTCAATTGCTTCTGCAGGTGATGTTCCAGGCAAGTCTACGAGAAAGTGTACGGACACTGAAAGAGTATGCCATCCAACTCCAGCAGAGCGCGACCAGCGATGGAGAACTGAACCGTGAAGCCCAGCTTACCCTTAACACAAGAATCGAAATGCTGCTCCACAAAATGTCTGATGAAAACAGAAAAGAATGCCAGAGGACAAGTGCCTGGGGCGTGCTTGGTCAGGGCACCGGAGGACAGCTACTGAAACCTGGCAAGAGCTCTCCTATGAGGAGGGAGGAATTGATAGGTAAGACTTCCATGGTTTGAAGAGTTGTCTAACCTGTGCAGAGTTCTCCTAAAAAGAGGATGAAACTGTAAAATGGGCTGTTTTCAATTTGTTTTTCGCTCTTGAAGGCAAAAAATGTTGCTTATATATAAAGTTAACATATAAAAACGGTGAATTAAATACTGCACATTTGTTTTAAAAAGCCAGAATACAAAAAAAGTGTTAAGACAAACCTAATTATTATATTTGAAATGTCGGGTATTTGAGACGTTAACAAGTAAATTTTGTTTTAGCAGAAAATAGGTTGTGAATTCTTTTATTTTATTACATTTAACTGCAATGTATTAAAATAAATTGATGAATGTTTTTTATTTATCATTTTGTTTTCTGTGTTGTACAGGGTCTGATATGAGCATCAAAGCCGGTGATCTAATCACCATGGACAAAACAACAGGATTACTCCGACCCAAATCAGGAACAAAGATGGTCCTTGGCGACGGAAGCATCGTCGAGGTGCCCTCTGACTATTTTGTCCACCCCCAGACAGGCCATGTGCTTCCTATACAAGGAAATGTGGCTTTTGACCCCGTGACCTCTAGACTTGTGTTTGTCGTAGATGCAGCTACAGGTAAGAAATCTTGTATAAATTTTGACAAAATATTGCTGTACATGTATATCAACGTACAGTGCTTTTTCTGGGTAAAAAAGTCTGATCTATTTAAAAAAATCATTGGTATATTGGCACGGTGTGTGTAAAAGCCAACATGCATTACTGGTGTACTACTTCATTAAAGCTTAATTCATATTCAAGGAGGCAGTTTTCTAGCCTTCTTAAAATCAATTCTTTACAACATATCACCTAAAAGACTAAAACATCCTTATTGGTTGAAGGTTATATACAATATTCAAAGTTTCAGTCCCAAAATTGCCCCCCAAAAAAACTATTGACTTCATTCAAATTATTCCAAAAAATGTTAACATTACTTTTCTTACCTGTGAGGGTCTCCCATGAATTTTAGATTTTATGGATCTTTTTAAGATTCTGTATCCCATGTTCTTACGATAGTTACATCGCACAGATTTTCAAAACTTTTGAGTGAGAAAAAAAATTCATTAGGTACTTCAGGGAACACTGCTTGTACATGAATTAAATTCAGCAAAAAATGTTTGGATATAATTTGTCAATGAACCTGGAAATAAAATTCTTTTCTCTTATTAACATTCACCTGAGAAATTTCTTATTCCTTACAAACAAGGTCTTGTATACTTAACGTATTGATTTCAACAGGTGAGGCTGCTAGATCCGAGGAACCGTTCATCCCATACGTACCCTACCCAGTGAGTCGTAAATCTGGACAACCTGTTGCCACGCCCCTCAAACCTATTGAACACAAAAGTGACCTCAAGTACGGGTCACCAATGTTTGACCCCGTGACCGGACTACATGTGCCCATCATGTCTATGACCATACATCCCCAGACCGGGGCTGTCTTACCTATCGGCAGTACCCACATTGATCCTGTCACCGGCATGCCTACCCCAATGGAGGTCGGCTCCCTCATGGTGGATCCCAACTCTGGACAACCCGTACCCATTCTGGCCGTCTCCCTCGACACGGAGTCAGGTAAGAGTTATCTCCCTTTTACATGACATTGACACACTAGAATAACCCAACTTCATTACAAATTCTGGTTGTCCCCTCGACACGGAGTCAGGTAATGGTTATCTCCCTTCTATATGACATTGACACACCAGAATATCCCAACTTCATTACAAATTCTGGTTGTCCCCTCGACACGGAGTCAGGTAATGGTTATCTCCCTTCTATATGACATTGACACACCAGAATATCCCACCTTCATTACAAATTCTGGCCGTCCCCCTCGACACGGAGTCAGGTAAGGGGTATCTCCCTTCTACATGACATTGACACACTAGAATATCCCAACTTCATTACAAAATCTGGCTGTCCCCCTCGACACAGAGTCAGTTTAAGGGTTATCTCCCTTCTACATGACATTGACACACTAGAATATCCCAACTTCGTTACAAATTCTAAGCACAATCAAGCTGGAGGCAGAGTCAAGTAAGATTTCTATCCCTTTTATCTGACCTCTTCTGTCCATAATCTTTGTTGGATAATTGTTTTAAGGATGGAAAGAATGTACTCTCTTAAAACTACTTGGTATAGGTACTGAGGAGGGTAAGAATTTCCTTCTGTTAATGTTATCATGGCAGAAAGAATCCTGATTGTGAATCAAGTACCATTTTCTCTTGTTAGTAAGAAACTCTGCTGTTGAGCCACACACTTACAATGCCAGATTGATCCTGTTGTTTTGATAGATGTTCTCATTTCCTGGACACATGAGTGTTATATTTGCTTTAGTTTATATAATTACTTCTTAAATAAACAATTTGAATTTCATATACAATATTGTTATGAAGGTAAGTAGGAAATCTGTTATTTAACTTAATGTTAGCGTTCTTTAACCCTTTCACAACTGTAGACCATAATAGACCCATCCAGATCAATGTATGGTAGAGTCTACTAAAGTTTCCTAGGGGTGAAAGGGTTAAACACATGAGCATGTTGGAAACAGCACTAAATGTTTTCTATTGATATATAACCCTTACAGGAGACATAGTCCCTGTCGGAGGAACCAAACCTGGAGATCGCGATGGCCTTCCCATAATTCCAGGAGACTCTTTCGTTGAATCCCTCAGTGGGAAGCTGGTGCGCATTCATGGCGGCTATCTCAAGGACACAGCAGTGCTGCCATCTGGTGGAGGTTACCAGGCCCTGCTCGACTCCAGTGTACTGGCATGTGAGGCTCGAGCAAATGATGCTGTGAGGCAACACAAGGACGCTCTAATGGGTATGTTTTATGTTTGCTGGGTATGTCTTTGTAAAAGAATTAAGAAATACAGTTTAATGGGCATGTTTTATGTTTGTAGGGTACCTATGTCTTTATAAAAATTGTGAGATATGTTGCTAAAGGGTGTACTACAAGTATGTTTTTCCTGGTAATAGCAAAGATTTCAATAATTGTTTTCTCAGTGAAGTCTCACCCGTTGCATATAGTATTATTCAAATCCAATTCTCATTCACTATGTTAGTTATAATTTTTTCCGGCAATAAGTGTATAATTATTCTTTATTATGTGTTCAGCGGCCAATGGTCCCAATGTAAACATACGCCATGAAGAATCAATGCTGGACGCAGCTCTCAAAGAACTAGAGAAGGCTCGGGGAAGGTCCAGGGCTTACTTGCTTCGCAGCCAACATGACATCCAGCGACGTCTCGATCGCGCCTCCATTCTGGCTGCCACTGGTGGATGTCCAGGTGAGAGAAATGTTTTTAATGTTTTTAACTCATTTACCCCTAAAGACACATTCAAACTCTTCCAATTCAAGGGTCAGGATAGTGCATTATGAAATTTCAGGGGTGAATGAGTTATTTAACTTGATACAAGAAACCTTAACTAATAAACCTTGTAGTTTGGTTTTAAATTATGTGTAAAGAGTCTTAGTGCAGAAGACATGATTTGATTTGTTACGGTCCTAAATCAATATTTTCCAGGAATGTATGAATTTTCGAAGACTGGACAGCTACTTCCTATCCTGGTGGGAACGATGATGCAGGATCCCGCTGGCTCAGGACAGGAAGTGCCGATTTTGGGGGCGGAGAAAGAGAAGAAGACAAATAATATTATCCCTGTAGGAGGCACTATGGAGGATCCTGAGGGAGGAGGTAAGGATCCACAGGATATCTTAGAGTGATCAGATTCATATCTGAGCCCAGTGTGTTAAGACCCTCGCATCATTTAGACAGACTTGCTCTGATATTATGTGTGTGTAAAGTTAGTGTTAACTACAGCAAAACAAGTACAATATATTTTTGGGACATATTGTGTACTAGGAAAATTTTCATCTTATTCGCTCTATGTAATGAGGGATACTTAATCATTACAGCGAATATACGTGAACAAATAACAAACATAGTAATTGATTATGAAGATCAAAATCAACAGCGATGATAATTGATTTTATGGGCGAAGGATGAAAGTTTGACAGGGCGAAAGATGCCTGGTATACAGTACAATCAGGTTAGATTTTACTGGATGTTGTTATAGCCACGTGACATTAAAGTAAAATTTCACTTTATAGGACAGTTAAATTTGAAAATTCCTACATCATTTTAAGAATTTAAATATGATAGAATACATTTTACCATACATGATATATTTTTGAATCTCATTAAGAATAAATTGAACATGAAATTCAAGAAATAGAAAACTTGAACAATTTGTCTTTGTACAGGTCTGGTTCCGATTGCCATTAGCAGAAAGGCTGTTGATCCTGTAACAGGGGAGATAAGTCCAGTTATAGGGGTCCGGCTGAATCCTGAAAACAGTTTAGCGATTCCGATCACACTATCCACCGGTGGACCACGCAAACGCAAACCTCCACCTGGAGCTCTCGCAATGCTTGAGGAAGAATTGGTAGCTCGGCGCGGATTCTGGCGACGCCAGCGACAGATGGAACGAGAGTTGACCACCAAGGAACATCTCTTGGCCCAACAGCTGCTTTTCGATATAGACTCAGTGACGACAAAAACTCTCGAACGATTCTTGGAGGAGATTGATAATGGAACCCATCAGTTGTTGGAGGCTGAGAAGCGAGAGGTACAGCGCAGAGGGGGTGCTGAACAGGAGTACGCCACCATTATACCACCAGAGGTCATAGCAGTCCTGTTACAAGGAGATCCCATGGAACATCAGATGGAGGAAGGACACGTCGCTGCTCATGTGAAATTCTGTGACATGCTGCGACGATTTTTTGGCAAACTTCAGAGTGAAGAGAGGAATTATCGGGACAGGATTAATGAATTGGAAGGGGCTTTGAACCCTGACGCAGAGAACACAGTGTTACAGCGATATCGCCAGGCTAAAACTCGACTCCAGGCCGAGCTCCACGACCATCTCACCAATAAAATGGAGGCTTTGGATGAAGCTCACTCAGCCCTTGAGTATGCAAGGGAGAGATCAGAACTATGTGCAATAGAGGCCAAGATTGTCCTGACACACGCTGGACTACTGGCCGGGGACTATGATTGTCAGTTGTCGGGTGTCTATGGCGATGTGTACTCGCAAGGCGGCAATGACTCAGAACTTGTACCATTACTGAAACAGTTGATAGCTATGCTGGAATCGGGTGGGCCTTTCGTCCTGTCACCAGAACTCCTCAACCTCATCAACATGGGAACAGGGGGAACTGGAGGTATGACCAACAATGTAACAAACATGAAAATAGACGGAGGTCACATGGCAGGAGGGTCATCAGGAGACCAGTCAAGGTCGGGAGATCAAAGGTCACAAGGTCAAAAGTCAGGAGGTCAAGGACAAGGTGGAGTACAACACGTGTCACATGTCAAATCTGGAGGAGATCACAAGACCATCATACATGGTGACACAACTGTTTTCGGATCAAAGGGCAAAGATCAAAGTGATCAGTCTGCCCTTGACAAGTCAAGGGCAGCTTTTGAGAAACAGGCGTATGAGGCAGCAAAGCTAGAGAATGACTTAAAGAGGACAGAGATGGATGGAATCAATGGTACTTTGGAGGAGTTTGAGAAGAAGAAGGAGAATTCTACTGATCGGGCTAAGAGAGAGCTGGAGAAGATGTTGCTGAAGGCTCGGTCTGAGGAGGAGAAAGAAAAGTTGATGATGCAGCATGCTGAAGACATCCAAAAGCTCAATGAAGCTTTTGAGAAACAGAAACTCAAACAACTTAAGAACTTACGCAAACGTCTTATGGAGGAACGTCGTCAGAAAAAGAAAGACTTACACAAAAAGCACTTAGGTGAGGCAGAGTCGCAGGATCTTCCAGCGGCGGCAGTTCCAAACATTCACATGCCATCTTATGAGGAGCTGAAACAGGAGTTGCTACGGTTACAACAGCTCCAGGAACAGATGTGGGCAGACATGAGGAAGGGAGGCATGGAAGCGGCTGGCAACGTACCAGCGGTCGACATTGACCCAGAGTTTGAACGACAGATCCATGCCATGGATCTTACTAAAGCACAGAAAGAGGAATTGATCAATTCTACACGAACACGGAACAACAAGCTCCACAAACAAATTGAGGATATGAAACAGAAGTTACAGGACAGAAAGAACAGGAAGGCTGGCATGAGGCTACTGGAGGATGAGGACTTGGAGGGAGTGAGTGAGGAAGAGAAGAGGAAGTTACTGGAGGCAAGAGGTACAGAGGAGGATGCTGACAGACTCATGGAAGACGTGGCCATCCTAGATTCCCTCGTCGCCATGGAGAAGGTGAGTAGTTTTTGTAGCCATGTTTATAGAGTTATGAATTCCATTACAGTAAATTAAGGATATATTCTACCTTATTTTCCAAAGAGTTCCAATATAGGCAATTGGAGGCTTGTTCGACTATGCAGAAAAACTAGTTTCTTTATCTCTAAATGTAACATTTCCAGATATAAAGACTGGCAGACCACTAAATGTTGAAGAAGGTGTTGAAAGATTTGTCAAGGCTGACCATCAGTATTATTAAAGCAAAAATCAGATCATAGTGTCTGTCCCTATCTTATAAACAAACTACTGGTAGAACACAATTGGTTTTTCAGATGACTATATGTTGTTATTTTACACAGGAGCAACAGAGACGAAATGAAGAGAAGGCAATGCAGGACATGCTGAAAAATGTGAATGCAGAGGATCGCGACCGTATCATGACAGAGTTCAACGAACACATGAGACAGCTAAACAGTCGCCGTGACGACAACAGGTCTGAGGCTCACGACAAGATGAAGGCTAAGCTGGCAGCCAAAAAACGCATGAGGGAAGAACTGGACAAAGAAAGGGCAGTCAACAAAGAGCTTGACCATATCACCAAGACACATGTAAGTCAGAGTCATTAAAGAGCTTTCACATCTCAGTAAGACACATGTTAGTCAGGGTCAGTAGAGAGCTTGACCATATAACTTAGACACTTGTAAATCAGAGACATTAACCAGACCAAGTGGTTTGGTGGTCAGTCAGAGGTCAAGGCCACTGTTATCTAAAACAGAAATTCACCATAGATCTAGTCGAGGGGAAGTCCTGTATTGTTAGACATGCTCACTTTCTCTTCTTTACTTACTAGTAGTTCTCCATGTTATTATACACAACAAAAACAGGTTTAAAATTTAGGTGACATTTCATTTGCTTCACAAAACATTTAGGTAAATTTCTAATAACGCTGCCCAGCTGTAAAGATTGGTACAAGCATCCCGGAAAGTAGTACTGTAAATGCTGGTATACTTCTAGGAGGGAGTCATCGCTGTATTGGCCATTAGGCTTGGAAATAGACTTAATTGTTTGATTGCAACTCCTTTTAGCAGTTTTAATCAGCCGAAAGTCATACTTGCCGATCTTTCCAGTTATTTTTTATGTAGGAAATACCATGTGACAAAATCTAAAAATGTCAAAACTATTTTACTAAAATTACCTGATTTCTAATAGTATTAGTATAGAGTGCCAAAGGTTTAGCTGTTATTTATAATGAATTAATGACATTTAAGCAAAAAGGATGATTTTTGAATTCTGCTTATCTCAAAAGCCAAAAATTATGGTGATTTGACAAGTTAGTAAAATTCAGCCGCAAAACAGATATTTGAATTTGAGGATTTATTTATAGGCTGCCCAGGGTGACACGGAAACGGCAAATGTGATGATGCAGATCAACAGCAAGGTGAACAACGACAAACTGACTGCGGAACAACAGAAGCTCGTCGACCAGCAGCTCCGAGAACAGGAGGAGATGGAGCGAAGACAGAAGGACGAACTGAGGAAAGAGAAACGAACCATTGACGACAACGCAGCTCAGGAGGAACAGAATATAGAACATCAGATCAAACAACAGAAACAACTGGTAAGACTCAGAATATAGAACATCAGATCAAACAACAGAAACATCTGGTAAGACTCAGAATATAGAACATCAGATCAAACAACAGAAACAACTGGTAAGACTCAGATTATAGAACATCAGATCAAACAACAGAAACATCTGGTAAGACTCAGAATATAGAACATCAGATCAAACAACAGAAACATCTGGTAAGACTCAGAATATAGAACTTCAGATCAAACAACAGAAACAACTGGTAAGACTCCAAAAATCTTAATCTGTGAATGTTTATTTTCATGATTTAGTTTCAAATGGAGTATTCAGAAAGATTGGAATTTATTAAATGAAATGTAAAATTGATTCGGGAATAAGTGTTTACAAGGTTATTTAGTTTGAGAATGATTCACATACAGAATAGACATGATAATGTGTGTTTTATGATATACATGGATGTGTGATTGTCATAATCTTTTATAGCTGGCCCTTTATATAATTTAAAGATATTAAATGAAATGTTGATAGTTTGTTCCCTCTTTTAAAAGTGCTGGCATTAAGGATATACTTCTCTTCAGGTATTTGAAACAATTCTAGAAAAAAATGTGTTAAAATACAAATGAACTATTGTATTTTAAATCTGAATTTTTGTACAAATAGATGTTCATGTTTTCTTTTGAATTCAGAATTTGTGAAATGTTTAGTTACATTAATTAAACGCATTAATAATTATGCAGGCTTTAGCCGCTCACAAGAACAAGTTTGACCGTGACGTGACGTTGCATCACAAGAATTTGAACGAGGCAGAGTATGAGAAATTGTTGACAGCTCATAAGAAGGAAATGGACGCTCTGGGCGAGAATCTGGACAAAGAGAAAGATCGACAGAAGAATGCGCTGGCAGACAGAGTAAGTTATACCACAGCAGCCTCAGCGACAGGGGAAAGGATTTCCTGTTGTTATCTAATCTGACACACATTTAAACAAATAAAAGGTTTCTTGCCAATACTTATTATACATTTACCATGATTTTAACCATTGAAAATAATTTGAAGTTAGGAGTATCAGATATAAGAATAAGTGATCTAATTTCTGTAAAAAAAAATGTTAGTGCATTTTTGTAATTTTAGTACGATTCATTCAAGAAAATTTTAACCAGTCTTGCTATACCATGGTTTACCCACAGTGAGGAGAAACATTAAATAGGATTGTATGTTACTACAGCTTCTCAGCACAAACATATAATATAGAACATTGTATATAGGTCATATAGCACAACCAGTGAAATGTTTGTGTGACGATTTGATGACTAGCTAGGACGGTATGTACTCTGTCACCCTCGTCAGACAGTTGACTGGTAAAATGTATTTACAAAAGTGTACCATGAGATGGCGATAAAATGGCTGTCGATTTAGCTACGCTGTAAGTGTATGTACACTTTGTTTTTATGAATACACAATATGACAATCAAATTGATTTTGCTACGAAGAGTTTGTTCAAATTGAATATATTTATTCACTGAAAATTTACAGATCGAGAAGAGGAAGAGATTGAGGACTGAACAGCTGCAACAGACACACGACATTGAGATGACGAGGGAGATGTCACGACAACAACAGGAACGCGACAAGGTCAACGAAAAAATTGCACGCAACGTGGAAAACTCAACTCTGGTGGAAAGTGTCAAGGTATGACAGACGATCTTAATCTCGAATTAGTTCCTACTTCGTCAGTTACTTACTGATCTGGGAGTGTTATCTCCCCTTGTTACATCCTGTGTGAAACAGATGTTCCCTTTGGGGGAAAAAAGGAAAAAAGTTTTCTTATAATAGTGTTTCATTACACCCCCTTCCATTAATTTTCATAGTTTGTGACATATTTTCCCTAAAAGATCATTCCAAAAAAAGGATTTAGTGCTTTGCCCAATCCTTCTCATCGACGAGAGTGATCTCCCCTTCCTGTTATGCTTTACCTTGGACTGTTATTTGCTTTTTCCCAAACTAATTTGGTGTGCTCTCGGAGCTTGAAATGTATGACTGTATGGAAATTGAAGACAAGAGTCATTAAGAACTATACACAGAACTATAACCATCTTTGTATAACTCAATGATGTGATGATTTTCAGGTCTTGAACAAGGGGAGGAAGGGAAAGGTAACCATGGCACCATGTTGCACGAACTATTGTTTATCTTTTTTTAATTTTTGACAGTTAATACATATTTACATATTGTAACTTAAGCATGATTGATATGTGTAATGGACTGTGGTGTTGTAATTGATAATTCTAACAATAAACCATCAATAACCTGATGAAGAGGAATGGTATGCAGTGTAACCATACAGGAATTTTTCTGTGATGTCTACCTCATAAAATGTATCAGTATAAAGTACCCTACCCCTCATAGTGTTTTAAAGACTTTGTCGATGACATTTACCCGAGGTCGCTAGAATTTGAACCCAGAAGTCTGGTTTACTAGTCTCATGCTCTACCGACGGACCTAAAGAGAAAATCTCTCTAGGTGAGTCAGTAGCAGATAGCTAGTATTTTACCAGAGTGATATGTATGTATGTTGGGACTGGTATATTTCATTTTCTTTTTCAAAAACACTTGCAGAATTCAGAGGAACAATATATAACCTGTACTGAAAAACCTATATTTGAGAACAAAATTCCTTTATACTACAAAATATCAGCTAGCTCTGGTGCCAAAGAACTTACCATAGGTCTTGTGTTGTTTTGCATGAATCTTGAATAAGAATTTAATTCCCATCGCTATTTTTAAAACACAGTCTTGTAATGATGCTTTATATATTGACCGAACTTTGTTTTATTTGGACTTGAAATGTTCCCACATTTATGTGTTATGATTGGTTACAATTCACACTAAACATAATTGACCTTCACTATACACTAAGGCCACACTTGTTGAATCAAATATGGGAAATGAACAGCTTCCGTCATTCTATATTTAACCTGAATTACGGTAGTGTTGTATCATGGGCATAATACACTAGTCAGTAATGGTAAATTATATTTAACCTGAATTACGGGAGTGTTGTATCATAGGTATAATACACTAGTCAGTTATTGTAAGTTATATATATATTTAACCTGAATTACGGGAGTGTTGTATCATAGGTATAATACACTAGTCAGTTATTGTAAGTTATATATATATTTAACCTGAATTACGGGAGTGTTGTATCATGGGTATCATTCACTAGTCAGTAATTGTAAATTATATCTACCCTGAATTACGGTAGTGTTGTATCATGTGTATAATACACTAGTCAGTGATTATAAATTATATATAACCTGAATTACGGGAGTGTTGTATCATAGGTATAATGCACTAGTCAGTAATTATAAATTATATATAACCTGAATTACGGGAGTGTTGTATCATGGGTATTATACCCTAGTCAGTAATTGTAAATTATATTTAACCTGAATTACGATAGTATTGTTTCATGGGTATAATACACTAGTCAGTAATTATAAATTATATATAACCTGAATTACGGTAGTGTTGTATCATAGGTATAATACACTAGTCAGTAATTATAAATTATATTTAACCTGAATTACGGTAGTGTTGTTGCATGGGTATAATACACTATTCAGTAATTGTAAATTATATTGAACCTGAATTACGGTAGTGTTGTTTCATGGGAATAATACACTAGTCAGTAATTGTAAATTATATTTAACCTGAATTACGATAGTATTGTTTCATGGGTATAATACACTAGTCGGTAATTATAAATTATATTTAACCTGAATTACGGTAGTGTTGTATCATGGGTATAATACACTGGTCAATAATTGTAAGTTATATATATATTTAACCTGAATTACCATAGTGTTGTATCATGGGTATAATACACTAGTCAGTAATTGTAAGTTATATATATATTTAACCTGAATTACAGTAGTGTTGTATCATGGGTATAATACACTAGTCAGTAATTGTAAATTACTGTTAAGAAAATATTTAATAATGCTGAATGGTGTGGTATCTATTTTTGTTTTTATAGGATTTTGTGTAATATTAACAAGCTCAATCAGAAAAGAACTTTATGACTTTATTTTACTGGTCATGGACGTTATAATAAAAGTCTTAGTTTTAATACAGTGTGCAATGACTTTGAATTCACCTGGTAATTGGTTTGATTTTCAATAATTGTGTGTTAATTGTCTATGATAATCTAAAACACAATGTGACCACAATATCAGTTTGAATTGTATATGAACCTTAAACTTTTAACTCATGACTTTACTCCAGTGATATATTGAAAATTTGTGTCTTTTCAAAAATAGGAATATTTTAATACTGAATTTAACTTTAATTTATGGGAAATATATTCCATTTTTTAAGAAGCTTCATATTTTTTGTGTGAAATACATTTTGTAAGAAATATTATATATTTTGTAGGTGATACTACATTTTGTTAGAGATATTATATTTTGTAGGAGATTTTTATCAAACTATTTTGCATTGAATCAACAAGTATTTTTTGTAAGTCAGCTTATACAGTGACATCATCAGCATTCTTGAAATCAGGTAGATCTCTCAGTATTTCATTCTCACAATTTATCCAGTAGTAAAAACATGTTCATGACAAACCCCAGGAGACATTAGTTCACCATAGTGAGTACCAGGTACCTGTATCTCTACTGTGTAGAGTTAAGTACAACTATCTGTATACAGTATACATGATAATGTAAGTTTTATGATTCATAATGTAAAATGGAATTCTAATCTTGGCTGTGTATTACTTTGTAGAATAAGAACAGCGAGCAGGCAGAGAACATGGTCTACTCCGTGTTACGACAGCGCCACCTGAAGGAGGCTATCCATCTGGAGGATCAACTCGCTCGTGAGCTAGAAGCCATGAGGAAGAAGGCCTGTATCGAAATTGATGAAAGACGCCAGAAAGAGAGAGATGGTTTATTGGGAACATTTGAACAGGTATGTCTAGAGTTACCTGCCCTTATTAAAAAAAAATGTGTAGAATTATCTGCCCCATTAAATTGACATTATCATGAATACCATAGATGTTCAAATTAAAAAAAAAACTGTATTCTATGGATCAGATGAAGATGATTTTTTTTTAAACATACATGATGTAAAAAGTGATAATTTTGTTGACAAGAGTGTAAATGTTATTTTAGGAAATGCGTGATCTGATAGCTAGTGCTGGGGACATGTCACCGGAGGAGTTAGCTAGGAGGAAAGAACAGCTGAAGAAACAGCAGGAGGTAAGTCACCGGAGAATTCAGTGTACTTTGTCGGAGACAACCTGAAACATTACCAGCCATTGCTATATAGTGGGTATCTCGTTAGATTGTATGAATCTTGTGATGGCAAATATATTCCCCCCTCAGAAAATGGAACATGATTTTTTCGGGTACTCAAATATTCATGTTTCCCTCATAAAATGAATGTAAAAAATATACATGAAGCATTGAAATGAGGTATTTAAGGTTTATATGCTCAAATCAAAAAGAAATGACAAGTATCAAAATGTATGTATGTATGTCTTTTGACTTGGCTTTGTTATTTTGAAGACAAGATCTAGTGTTAATTGTCTGTGAAAATACACTACATCAAAACTTAAAACAATGAAACGTTAAAACTCTATATTTCCATCCATCATTCAGAAAACATTGAAGGACTTCGACAACTTGACAACACAGCTGATCACACAGGCAGAGAAGGAGACGACGCCCCAACAGGAAGTACAACAGATGTACGCCCGCCTGGAACTCAAGGAAAAGCAGCTACAGGAGCTAGCGGACGCCATGAAGCGGTACTCGCCCAGCGAGGAACTGTACAAACAATACCAGGAGGAGGCTCGTCTGGCCATGGAGGAAGCCAAACACTACAAGAACGAGATTATGAGGCGGATGCAGGAGGAACTCGAGAGACGTAAGGCGGAGGAGAAACAACGAGAGGAGGAGAGGAAGAGGGCCCTGCTGGAAAAACTAAGGTAATCAGGATTTGAGAATAAACGATTAGGTTAGAAATTATTTGACAAGATGGTAACTGTTTATAAGTTACTTCCAGTAGTCCTGTCAGCAGTACCACTGGGATTACACTGTTCTATCAGGTAGTGACTTTGTCCGGGGGGTGTCTCATAACATCTATTATCTTCAATTATCCTGTTTTGTATGTGCGTACCTATTGGAATGGCCAAGTGTCCCGTACTGTTATCAGGTCTAGTGCCCCACTGTATACAGAGTTATGGTGTGTTGTTAATGTTTAAAACCAAAGTTTGTTTGGAGATGGTTAACTATGGATTGCTTATTAAACTTCGCCTCACCCATACAGATTTTTCTGTCTCAACCAGAATTCTACATCGTCCAGCCTGACAACAAGGTCCCACAGTATACATATTTTATGTAAACTGAAGCTGTGTAGGCTGACAGCCTGACAACAAGCTCCCACTGTATACATATTTTATGTAAGCTGAAGCTGTGTAGTCTGACAACTTTGTGTCTGTGTTCATTTTAACAGGTCTGTAGTTTTGATTTGATGTTGTAATTACAGACAAATGGAGAAAGATTTGGAGAAGGAGGAAGAATTAGAAGCTCAGCGAGCTCGTGAGCGTGAGGCAGAGAAAGAAAGGCTGAGAAAACAACAACTGGAAGAACGTGATCGAAGACAGAAGGATGACATCAAGAAATCTAACATAAGTGAAGATGAAAAGACACGCCTACTTCGGGAGCACGAAGAGAACATGGCAAGACTGAAAGAAATGATGCAGAAGGATCACTCCAAGAGCAAAGACACACTAAAGGCACGTCTGAACGCCAGGAAACAACGACGACTCGCCGGAGAACGAGCTAAGCTTGAGAAAGAGAGTTTGATGGACAGTAACCGGGATCAACAAGCGAATCTTATCAGGAGACAACAGGAAGGTATGCTGCAGAGCAGTCTGCCAAAGACGGCTGACAAAGACCAGTTTGGATTGGCTGCTGTACCGACTCCAGCCTCCTCATCAACACCGGGTGGATTTACTTCAACAGGCAACGCGGAGCAGGATTGGGTGAACATGTTGATGATGTCACCACTGTTTAAACAAATCAACGACTTGGCCGACATGTTGAATGACAGTGACAGTGGATCAGGATCATTAGACAGAGTCCTTGGTAGGTCTGATTCTTTATCTGGCATTATCGTCCATAAGGACCTAAACATTAGACAGAGTCCTTGGTAGGTCTGATTATTCATCTGGCATTATCGTCCATAACGACCTAAAATGAAAAGTGGATTTAATTTGAGATCTCTTCACATTGCTGTCAATGTCTTTATTTGGAACAATGCACTTTATAAAATGCCTGTAAAGGTATATATCTGAAATCAGGTTTGATTTGCGATATCTTCACCTTGTCTTCCTTTGTAATATTACACTTTCATTAACAGTGACCTATCAATTGAATTTTGTTATCTTGCTAATACTTATTCAGACCCATGATAAACAGAAAATGAATAGTTCATATAATTTTGTATTCAAATTTTAAAAATCTGTATAATAAAGTTGTTGAAGTAGCATCACTGAAAACGTAGAGATTGCTATGACTGATTATTTACTGTGTAGTTGTCTCCCCTGACCAACATGTTTGATTCGCTTACAGGTGCGGATTACTCCCGGTCATACATTGACGTAAAGGATGCCCAGTGGGAATCTAAGGGTGACCTTGCCCCCGTGAACATAAACAGTATTTCCCCTAGTCAGTTTGTTGTGTACCGCTTCGGTGTGTTCATGATCCGAATGCTTCATCAAACAATCGGAACACCGGAGGTCAGTCTACTTTTGGCATCAAATCTTCCGAAAAACAATTACGACCGCAACGCCTTCAGAAATTCAGTTCACTTTGAACATGCTCGTAAGATCTTGTTTGTGCGTCGTGAGAGGATGGAGTCCATTGGTGAATTTGTTGTAGTGATTTTACATTCCCTGGCTCATATCAAATCTGGAGACATGACGGACGACAGCAACACGCTGTTCATGAGGGAATTCTACAAGGTGAGATATTACTGATAGAGGTGTATCATATATACCACCATTGTAATCTTTTAACATATTAAAAATAAATGTTATCCTATTGTGCCCAAAAAATTACGATATTCCCTTTGACAATTCCAATCTCAAATTATGTACACATGCTTATCAGTATTATTCAACCAGTGTATACTAAATAATTCATAGTAATTTTTTTTGCCTTCCCCCCCATTATTCTACAGTAATATTTAAATAAACTCTATTTCAGGGATTGAGAGTTATCTGCCAGGATATGTTCTTCTCAAGGGCCAGAAACACACCAGCAACACAGGGTCTGATTGGCTCAACATCCACCAATAGCAGAGTGGCTCTCGAACAGGCTTTGGGAAGTGTCAAAAACCAAGATGAAAAGATTCTTATGATTGATGAGTTAGTTGACATGAAAATTGAAGGACCAACAAGACTTGACTTCTCAGATCAGGTAAAGGTCAACTTTAATTTCATTGATACGCTCCCCCCAGCGTGTGTTGTCTGTCCTAGCACATCATGTCACCCTTGTATGTCCCAGCACATCCTGTTACACTTGTCTGTTACAGACAGGTTTTAGGTTTCCTAAAACTTTGGTCTGGACAAGTGCTAGAAAAGTGTCAGAGAAGTTGAACTTTGACTCGTAAAGTCTTGTATTGACCATGTTTTCAGAGACCAAACTCCTTGAAAATTTAAGCAAAATAAATGTTTATATATTTATACCCTTCCTTTCAATTTACAGCAAATGTCCCAGAGATTGTACGGATCAGAGACATTGGCCAGTAATGCACGTCTACGACAGTATCTGTCATCGAAGGGAGGAGTCCTAGCGTCCAGCGACTTTGTCAGCTCTCGGATGGCAGAACTTAAAGGGATAACAAGTCCAACGCCATCTCCAAGACCAAGGTGAGATAACTCTTAAAATATTTAAAAAATCCTTTCAAAAGTAATCGAAAATAAAGGTAATCAGGAGGGATCTTGAGGAAGGTTTGAGATCTCATGCCTTGTCCCTTTCATGGATATTAATCAATAAAATGTTTGAATGAACGGGAGATAATCTCAAAATCGACTAATAACTTTTACAGTTGACCAATACTGGTGACCTTTGTTAAGTTATTACATCAGATTACTAGTCCGAGAAAGAACAATAAAATATTAAATAAAATATGGAAATTATATGACTGTTTTAGTATATATATAATAACCATTGTAATATATCTTGATCGCTACAGCCCATTAAGACGACAGCGGATTGTGGCCCCCATGAAGTCGCCTAGGGACGTCCTTGACACTCAGCTGGTTGACATGGAGACACGGAATGATGCAATGAACAAAGATCTGGCAGAGGTATGGACGTCTAATATATCAGCTTTAGGGTTTAAACCTTTCACCACTGTATATCATAATGGACTCGACCAGATCTAAGCATGGAATTGTTTACTAAAGTTACATAGGGGTGAAAGGGTTATACAGATCTTGTAAATTGGTTACATTTGGAACCTTTTAAAATTCTTTATTTTATATTTTGGCTTAGTGAAATGCTTTGATTTATGATGTTGCCCTATAAAATCATGCCAACAATTATGATGGAGTCTGGTAAATGATGGGGTTTTGAAAAGTGCATTTTGCATACATGTATAGAAAAGCACCTCAACAAAAATATGAGAGGGATTTCACTTAAGACTTGTACAGGTAGAGTTAGATAAAATAAAATATCTCTAAAAAATGCCAGTCGACATTGCACAATGGATATAATTTCAGTTAGATGTGTTTGAAAAACAAGAAAACAATGTAAGGTATGAAGGTTTCCTGCAATTGTGGAGCCAAGTGGGAAATATTAGATTGTCCTTTGCTAATTGTTAATTTGTGCTAAATTTCTTCACAGAACTTGTTTTTTCAAAAACGAATCTTGTTACTGTATTTAACATAATAAGCCCCCTGGATGCTTAACAATTAGGATATATGAACTTTATTGAAGAACTTCCAAAACTTCTCTAAAAATAGCTACAATAGACCTTTTTCAAGTCAGTAAATCATGGTGAAGGAACGGAACATTCGGACCAGAAAAAGGATAAAAAACATAGAATGGATGAGGTGGGGGCTTATTAGGTTGATAACGGTAACTTAGTTTTTTTCCTGAAATCTGAAAATGTTTGAGACATGGAACTTTATTAGTTTGGTTTTAATACTGGGAATACTCCCATTCCTCTCGGTTTTGATTAGGAGGTAATTAACAGTTCATGCCATACGTTATACTAACATAATTAACAGTTCCTGCCATACATATTACTGAGGTAATTAACAGTTCCTACCATACATATTAATGAGGTAATTAACAGTTCCTGCCATACATATTAACGAGGTAATTAACAGTTCCTGCCATACATATAAACGAGGTAATTAACAGTCCCTGCCATATGTTATACTGAGGTAATTAACAGTTCCTGCCATACATATAAACGAGGTAATAAACAGTTCCTGCCATATGTTATACTGAGATAATTAACAGTTCCTGCCATACGTTATAATGAGGAGATTTACAGTTCCTGCCATACATATTAATGAGGTAATTAACAGTTCCTGCCATACATATTAATGAGGTAATTAACAGTTCCTGCAATATGTTATACTGAGGTAATTAACAGTTCCTGCCATACGTTATACTGAGATAATTAACCGTTCCTATCATACATATTAATGAGGTAATTAACAGTTCCTGCCATACATATTAATGAGGTAATTAACAGTTCATGCCATACATAATAATGAGGTAATTAACAGGTCCTGCCATACATTATACTGAGGTAATTAACAGTTCATGCCATACATATTAATGAGGTAATTCCTGCCATACGTTATACGGAGGTAATTAACAGTTCCTGCCATATGTTATACTGAGGTAATTAACATTCCCTGCCATATGTTATACTGAGGTAATTACCAGTCCCTGCCATATGTTATACTGAGGTAATTAACAGTTCCTGCCATATGTTATAATGAGTTAATTAACAGTTCCTGCCATACGTTATACTGAGGTAATTAACTGTTCCTGCCATACGTTATAATGAGGTAATTAACAGTTCCTGCCATACGTTATAATGAGGTAATTAACAGTCCCTGCCATACATATAAACGAGTTAATTAACAGTTCCTGCCATATGTTATACTGAGGTAATTAACAGTTCTTGCCATACGTTATACTGAGGTTATTAATAGTTCCTGCCATACATTATAAGGAGTTAATTAACAGTTCCTGCCATACATATTAATGAGGTAATTAACAGTTCATGCCATACATAATAATGAGGTAATTAACAGGTCCTGCCATACATTATACTGAGGTAATTAACAGTTCCTGCCATACGTTATAATGAGGTAATGAACAGTTCATGCCATACATATTAATGAGGTAATTAACAGTTCATGCCATACATATTAATGAGTTAATTCCTGCCATACGTTATACTGAGGTAATTAACAGTTCCTGCCATACGTTATAATGAGGTAATGAACAGTTCATGCCATACATATTAATGAGGTAATTCCTGCCATACGTTATACTGAGGTAATTAACAGTCCCTGCCATACATTATACTGAGGTAATTAACATTTCATGCCATACATATTATTGGGGAAATTCCTGCCATACGTTATACTGAGGTAATAAACATTCCCTGCCATATGTTATACTGAGGTAATTAACAGTTCCTGCCATACATTATACTGAGGTAATTAACATTTCATGCCATACATATTAATGAGGTAATTCCTGCCATACGTTATACTGAGGTAATTAACATTTCCTGCCATACATTATACTGAGGTAATTAACATTTCATTCCATACATATTAATGAGGTAATTCCTGCCATACGTTATCCTGAGGTAATTAACAGTTCCTGCCATACATTATCAGGAGTTAATTAACAGTTCCTGCCATACATATTAATGAGGTAATTAACAGTTCATGCCATACATATTAATGAGGTAATTAACAGGTCCTGCCATACGTTATACTAACGTAATTAACAGTTCCTGCCATACATTATACTGAGGTTTACTGTACTTTTAATCAATTACACAAAACATACATTTTATTAGGTCACCTGAGACAAAGTTTCAAGTGACCTATTGCGATCGCCTTTTGTCCGCCGCCTGCCGTCCTCCGTCATGCGTCCGTAAACAATTTACTTTTTCGTCTTCTTCTCCAAAACCCTGAACCAATTTCAATGAAATTTTGCAGAAACCTTCCATGGTCAAAGGTCAACCAAATTTGTGAATTATATGGTCCCCAGCCCCCAGGGGTCTGATGTGTGGGGCCAAAAAGGGTCAAATTGACTAAAATTTGGTAGAATCAAATACTCTTCATAGATGGAAGGGTCTTAAGGTCCCTTACCAAACTAGTGAATTTCATGACCCTGTGGTCTCACGTTTCCCCCTGGGGAGGGGGTAAACTTTACTATAGTTTATATAGGGAAATCACATTTTGGACCAGCATTTGTTTCATTTCCATTGGAATTAATACAAACTTAGTTAGCATTATCAGTATTGGATAGCAGTTTAATGCTATGCACAAATCAGCCCTGACTGACCCCCAGGGGCTGATTGGTGGGACCAAAAAGTGTCAAATTGACTAAAATTTCAAAAATCTTCTTCTCAAGATCCAGATATGTTAGAATCAAATACTCTTCATAGATGGAAGGGTCTTTAGGTACTTTACCAAAATACAGCTGACTGACAGAACCACTATTTGTACATAGTACATATACATGTACTACCCAGATCTTTCACACTACTTTTGCATTACTTGTAGTTCAAGTTACCTTTGTTACAAAATGAGTTCTTTTTCATTTGGCAACATAGATAACATCAGTTTTTACATAAATCATGTGACCGTTAAGGCCCATGGGCCTCTTGTATTAAAACATTACCAGAAAAAACTTGAATGATTCCATGACAATAAACGTTTACTAAAATATTTTTGATGACACTGTACCAAATATTATTTATCTGGATTTACTTTTTCAAGGAATTAAACAAAAACTGGGAATTGAAAGAATTCTAATGTGAATAAACATTTTGTTTCGCAAACAGGCCATGGTATCTGAAGCCGACTTGAGGCAGGGAATCAAAGAGCTGGAACAGGATCCGTCCGCAGGTGACCGGCTAGGTCAAGCTCGTGACCAGCTAGTGACCGTACTTGCCAAGAAAAATGATCTGCTGAAGCGGGTATCGTGCCTTGAAGCTGACATTGCAAAGAAAGAAAAAGAGCTCAAATCTAAGAGGAGATAAATGTGATTTGAACTAAAGACTTCGGCCCAAAAATGTTGAGATCTATTTGAGGATGTATTGAGTTTTCTCTGTCAACAATTCTGTTTTAAAGAATGTATCTCCATTCATTGGTGAACTACGTTATAAAACAGGTGTGAAAACTTCGACAATTTAGGGATATTTTTTCTTTTAAATTGACACTCATGTATGCATTAGTTTGATAAGTGTTAAACACTTGTGGATGAAGGTGTGAATTATTACATTTAAATGCAAACAGAGCCGTTATTTTATAGGTACTTTATGCAAAACAAAATTTTGAAAATCTCCACATCACAAGTTGACTTACAAAAAAGAACCGTCCCAAATATAATCACTATCATATTCAAATATATTTCAACTTATTTTAGATACTTTTTACAAAGTATTCTTTTGAAATGTTCTGCATTAGAAATTGTTCTAAGAACTTTACCGTCCCAAAGAAGAAGACCTGTGATAGAATTTGTACTATATTTTCATGTGTACATAGCTTGACTAATATTTGTAGTATTGTATTAACACCAGTTTTTCATCTAATATTTCTTTACATAAATGGAACTTGTATTTGATTTTCTTGGATTCTTGAATTATTATGTAAAACATTCTAATTTTCAGAATACGCAAGTTTAAGTTTAAGATTGGAATTGAAGAAAATTATATGTATTTTGGATTAATATAACATTTTGAAAAATAGTTTTTTGAATTTTTTGTATCATTTGTTAAATTTTGAAAATAATCTACAGCAAAATTTGCCGCTTAAGAACTGATGACTATAAAGAAAAGGTACAGTCAGATTATATTTTGACGTTTTGATAGAATTATTTAAAATTTAGCAAACAGTAAAAGATACATTCTGCCAGTTCCAGCAGTGTTAGTGAATTTTCTATTCTATATTAGTTTTATCTAGCTTTTAAATATTTAATGTTGAAATTTAAAGTTTGGGATTGAAAATTAAAATGTGGGATTGAAAATTGATGTTACGAAAAGATATTTCTGTACTAAACTGTACTTAGTGTCATAATGATGGAACTGCCTTAAACAACACGGAAAATTTATTTGAATCAGAATGTAAATATTTGTCTTTTTTTATTTAGTAATTTGAAAGAAGAAGAAAAACTAAGTCTTGGTGTGGATTTTAGATAATTTCAATGTTTAAAGGTATTGAAAGAAGCATATATATAGAGGTATTTAGAGGAGCAGAGTATTATATTTCATATTTTCTATTTCAATGTCTGATAGGTTAAAACTTATATAGCAACAATCTTCATTTGACGATATATACAGCGTTGTTTGTTATCACAGGATTTACAATTATAATCAAAATATTTTGGCAGGCCCAGAATAGAAATATTTCGAATTTCAAAAACACTTTCTGTCAAATAAGTATTGTTGCACTGATCCTACCTATATAAACCTGTAGATTTTAGATTTGATTTTTGTTAATTTATTTCACTACAGTTTTTCCATTTGACGAATAGCACGATTTGGTGTTGAAATAATTTATATGAGATAATTATTATGGATTAACCCTTTCACCCCTATGTAACTTTAGTAAACTCTACCATGCATTGATCTGGATGAGTCCATTATGGTCTACTGTGGTGAAAGGGTTACGTTTTCAAATTATTCATTTACATTCCATAACAAATCTATAATAATCAGAGCTATTACCTGTTGTCTCCGTCCAATTAAATGTTAATGTGACCTGTGCTTTATGTCGCCTTTGATGAGGGGGGCGGGGTTCACACCGTATGCAATGTATCTATGGTAACATTTTCTACTCAGAATGTTTTATATATGATGAAGTTGGTTGCCATGGGTTTTTTTACTCATATATATATATGTATATTTGTGGCTGGTCCATGTATTTTGTAACAATTAATATAAACATTTTAATAAGCATGGAAACTTTATGAAAAACTGATCAACCTATTAAACTACGTTTTGCTGTGTTATAAAGTTTAATCAAATTCAAATAAATTGATAAAAGGGTAATTAATTTGGATGTGACATTTAAGTAATGAAAGAAAATTAAAATTGGGATAAAAAAGAAAGATATAACAATGAAAATTCTGTGTCATAATTTAATTGTTCCAATCATTCAATGGTGTTTTTAAAATGGAGAAGTATCTCGGTACTCAATTCAAATATTACATTTACAATTGTTTATATTTCTGCATACAAAACTATTACATAAAAAAAAAAAAAAAAATATATAAAAAATAAATATTAAAATGATGTGTTTGTTGTTTATTCTGTGAAATGGAACTCATAATAAGCAAATCTATTCCAATTAATCTTACAGTAGACCTGCAACAGGATCCCCAGAATACATAGTCAACGTCAGGCAGTTAATTTAGAGTCTAAGCCGTGCTGTTAATATGGAGTCTAAGTCAGGCAAGTTAATATGGAGTTCAAGTCAGGCAGTTAATATGGAGTTTAAGTCAGGCAGTTAATATGGAGTCTAAGTCAGGCAAGTTAATATGGAGTTCAAGTCAGGCAGTTAATTTAGAGTCAAAGTCAGGCAGTTAATATGGAGTCTAAGTCGGGCAGTTAATTTAGAGTCAAAGTCAGGCAGTTAATTATAGTCAAAGTCAGGCAGGTGATATACAGTCTTAAGTCGGGCAGTTAATATGGAGTCTAAGTCGGGCAGTTAATTATAGTCAAAGTCAGGCAAGTAATATACAGTCTTAAGTAAGGCAGTTAATATGGAGTACAAATCAGGCAGTTAATATGGAGTACAAGTCAGGCAGTTAATTTGGAGTCTAAGTCAGGCAGTTAATTAGAGTCAAAGTCAGGCAGGTACTATACAGTTTTAAGTCGGGCAGTTAATATACTAAGTCAGGCAGTTAATATACTGTCTAAGTCGGGCAGTTAATATACTGTCTAAGTCGGGCAGTTAATTTAGAGTCAAAGTCAGGCAGTTAATATGGAGTCTAAGTCAGGCAAGTTAATATGGAGTTCAAGTCAGGCAGTTAATATGGAGTCTAAGTCAGGCAGTTCATTTAGAGTCAAAGTCAGGCAGTTTATTGGAGTCTAAGTCAGGCAGGTAATATACAGTCTTAAGTTGGGCAGTTAATATGGAGTCTAAGTCAGGCAGTTAATTATAGTCAAAGTCAGGCAAGTAATATACAGTCTTAAGTAAGGCAATTAATATGGAGTACAAGTCAGGCTGTTAATATGGAATACAAGTCAGGCAGTTAATTAGAGTCAAAGTCAGGCAGGTAATGTACAGTTTTAAGTCGGGCAGTTATATATTTAATATGGAGTACAAGTCAGGCAGTTAATATAAAGTAAGAGTCGGGCAGTTAATATACTGTCTAAGTCAGGCAGTTAATATACTAAGTCAGGCAGTTAATATACTAAGTCAGGCAGTTAATATACTGTCTAAGTCGGGCAGTTAATATACTGTCTAAGTCAGGCAGTTAATATGGAGTCAAAGTCGGGCAGTACAGGGTTTACACATATCTCTGACTTTGATTTAAACTACTCTTACTTTAAACTTAAATGTCTTTGATAAATCACAAATTCTGTTTTTTTTTTAAAGCAGGCTTTTGCTAAAACTAGGAGGGAAATTGCAGTTTTAATAGAAAAAAAAATGTGTGTTTACCTATTCAGACTGACCAGAAGGTTACCATAATTCACATATTTGCTGCCTAACAAGATTTCTATCTTTGTCAACCACTTTTGGGAAAGTTTCTTGATTCAGTATAAATAATTCTAGAATACTAGAGATAACCCATCATAATTAAATAATTTCAGAATCCAGGTTTTTTGGCAAATATGGCATCAAAACTGGCACCAGAACTTTCATGTTTAAGTGTTTTTAACTGCACACCACAGAACCCACTTGATTGTAATGCCTTTATATAGGGTCGCTGGTCTGGGTTTCCATATTTAAAGAATCCCCGAGACTGGGAGATCTTCAGACGCTCAGGATTCATGGTTGTTACCATCGTAGCACCTGGTTTCATTACACGATGGAGTTCGTTTGTAGCCTTGGTCATGTCTGGCCAGAAATAGTAACAGTTACAATGGAAAACTCGGTCAAAGGTATTGGACTGGAAACAAGACAAATCTGCTGCCTCAGCATTGATCAGGGACACCTTTCCTTCACCAATACCTTTTCTCAAAAGTCTTGTCGCAGAAAGCACCATTTCTTCTGAGAAGTCAATACCATAAACTTCGCCGTTACCATCTGAGGAAAAATACCAAATACTTCAATAGCAGTGGTTATATTATATTCCCAATAATCCACAATGCATCACTACCGATCAAAGTTGCGAGTTGAAATGCAAATTAGTTCTGAAGATTTGGCACCATTCATCCCAAAGTCAAGAGTTCATTGCCATATGAATTCATTCATTTGCTTGGGAAATAAAGCTAATAATGTTTAACCATCATATGATCTGTTGCTGTCATACCTTTGACGATGTGATAAGTGGCCTGGATCCCGATACCTGGTCCAAAGCCGACCTCCAATACTTGGTGATCTGGCTGTATGTCACATAGACGCACAGCTTCTAGTTCTAAAAAGCAATTCATCTTTTCCAATGCAATTTTCTGAAATGGACGATGGCGTTACATTTAAAATAAAAGTAACTTGATCCGCATCAACTACTACAAATTGATGTCATGACCTTTGTCAACTACTGCACATAAAGGTCATGACCTTTGTCAACTACTGCAAATCAAGGTCATGACCTTTGTCAACTACTGCAAATCAAGGTCACTACCTTTGCATATTAAGGTCATGACCTTTGTCAACAACTGAAAATCAAGGTCAGTACCTTTGTCAACAACTACAAATCAAGGTCACTACCTTTGTCAACAACTACAAATCAAGGTCAGTACCTTTGTCAACAACTACAAATAAAGGTCACTACCTTTGTCAACAACTACAAATCAAGGTCACTACCTTGGTCAACTACTACAAATCAAGCTCACAAACATCAAGTACAAATCCACAGTCACTAACTTCAACACCTATATACTAAGGTAAACAAGTGCAAATTAAGGTCACCATCATCAACTACAAAATGGAAGTCACAAACTTCAAATATTATTTGTAAATTTCAATGCATTAACCAATCATTTCATTCTTTGATATAATTGTTTTGGTAATTAACACAAAATGTACAAGATTTCTGTATCTAGTGATGACTGACCTTCACTAGTCGTCCAATAATCGTGGCCTCGGGCTTCCGTAAGTTACGAGCAATCGCTTCTCTCAATCTGGACCCCATCTTCTAACAGCACATCAGACAACACATCAAACAACACATCAAACAACACATCAAACAACATAATGTCACGCTTGATGGTCATTAAGCTGCATTTTGAAATATTTTACTTCTATACATAATTCAATATTCCTTTTAAGCTTTTGAATCTAGTCTACTTCCCTCCCTGTAAAAACACTTAGATGTGATTAACAGAGATGAAGGGGTGGGGCTAGAGAAACATTGATTGACAGCTGTACCACAATCGAGATCCCCACTATATAAGCATATACTTACCATCGTATGGCATTGCCACGATGTAAACATATATTTACCATCGTATGGCATTGCCACTATGTAAACATATATTTACCATCGTATGGCATTGCCACTATATAACCATATACTTACCATCGTATGGCATTGCCACTATGTAAACATATATTTACCATCGTATGGCATTGCCACTATGTAAACCCAACATTCAGTTGGCATTCATATATGCTATGAATGCCATGGACTGATTGTTGACGTCAACATCATTAAGATGTCATAATTGTTACATTGGATACCACTGACCCTCCCTGGGCATTGGCTGTTCAATTCATGGAAAAAACATACATTATTTGATTTAAATGCTGAATAATAATAAGTGTAATTGAATTTTCTATGAGAGCAACAGATTCCAAAAATGGTAAATATAAGTATTGAACTGCTTTTAGTTTGCATTCATAGGCAATATGAAGTCATAACATGCAAACAGTTGTGTGAGATCCCCTCTCCAAAAGATAGGAACAATTACTAGGCATGAAGAGATGAACAGAATCATGCCAACAGGATTGGTCCCAGAGTTCAGCCCCGACCCAGGGGACTTAGTCCCTGGGTCATAACATTGTGACAGAGTTGTAATCCATACCCTATAACCATGTATATAAAATCTAGTCATGAAGAGATAAATACCCCCATGCTTACGGGATTGGCTCAGAGTTCTGGGCTTTCTACCGTGTCCCTGGGTCATATCATAAATAAGTTGAGATTCCAACCCCATTATCATGTATACAATTGTTTAGCATGGCAAGACAAATACAATCATGGTAACAGGGTTGGGCCAAGTGTACTGTCCTTGTTTTAGGTCAACAACACTTCTTTTCACATTTATGCAAAATAATTTGAAATAAAATTAACTGCATGTATAAGCAAAAAAGGTTTATTTATGGGCCACAACTTCCATTTATACCAGTGCGGGCATACCCTTTTATTCATACAGTGTTCGTTCACCTTGACCTAAGGATATTTGAGGCCAAATGAGGTTAAAATCCATGGAACTGTACTCAAGGAGTTGGATTTTAAAGATATACCTTTTTTTCCCTAAAGGGCACTCCCTCCATTTATACACCATTTTGTCTCCTTAGCCCAAGGATGTTTTGGATCAAATTTGATTAAGATTTCTTTAATGGTACCGCAGGTGAAGGATTTTAAAGATTTGCCTCTTCCCTTAGGGCCCCACCCCTCTGCTCCTATGGTGTAGGAAACACTTTTATATAATTTATACAACACTGAGTCTCAAAGAATGCTCCAGATCATACTTGTGAAATCCCTTTATAGACATTCAGAAGTAGTACCTCCAACACTTCTACGGTATAAGCTCATTTGGCTGCGCTGATACTGATATAATTTTTGTGATACATGATGTATAATTAAATGGTTACTTTTTTCAAATCAGGCAAGTAAATATATGTAAACTTCATTTATTTTACAACAATTATGAAACAAGTTATTTCAACTTATATTAATAACTTTTGTTAGCCTGGATGTAAGGCGCGGAGGGTCTAAATGTGGGAGGAAACCGGAAACAGGATATTACAAATAACAAACACTTACCTGCTTTATAGCCTGCAGGTACAAAGCTGGACTGTTAAAGATGTGCATGAAAGATTTATCATCTTGCCATCCTAGGGGTACACCCTCAACCCCAATCAAATAGTGAAAAAAAAAAGGTAACTGTGGTTTTGGGAGCAAAATACTTTGATTTTATCCTTTTTAATTTTTGTTTCAGATTATCTACTGGTTTTGTTTATTTGTTTTTTACCCAGAGTAACCGGCGAAAACCACCGACCTGCGGCTAGTACCTGGCGGCTGCCCCACGTCGATCTCAAACCCGCAACCAAGTGGTGGAGAGCTAGTGACTGTAGATGGTCAGATGTCTTGACCACTCGGCCACCGCGGCCCCTACTGTACAAACATTTAATCACTATTTCGGACCACACACAATAAATAGAAATTAAATGAAAGTACATTTGAGGATTTTTCATGTGCATGCAACTGCATTTTGTTTACATGGTAGCTACGCACCTGGCCTGTGTTCAAACCTACAGGTGATCAATATGTAAAAGCTACACCTTTCAAGGCAGTGCACAAAGGTACCTAATGAAGATATTCCGATGTTCAGACATGTTTCAATATGTAGAACACAGATCAGCTCTCTCAGGAGTAAGCAGTGCTGATAATAAACATTATCAATGGTGCGATGGTCCGTTCTGTAAGTTACTGGTTAGTAAAAAGATCATAGATATTCAAGTTCTGTCCAAGATATAAGACATACAATTGTAACAGGAAAGAGAATAGTGTGCTTTCATCGGGGATTGAAAACGCGATCCCTAGGTTCCTATTTGGACGCTTTACCACTGAGCTAAAGGGAAATTCTCTGTAGCACGAAGCTAGAAGGCGACCATACTCCTATGTACATTTAAAATCTGCCACACATTAATATAAATCTGATGTTATCACAGCACTGGTACAGTAAAGATTGCACCACAATATCAACAAAATCCAAGGGTTTCACTCAATATACTCATCTTCCCTTAACCCTTGGAATATGTCATGACACATGAACTGGTACTGACACACGCTTTGCACGAAAAAGAGAAATGTGTTATCCCTGCTGTCAACTTGTGTACTGTTTCTATATATATATATATGGGGCAAAGAAGTAATTCCAACAGTGTGGACAAGTTTAGGTTGTCAAATTTTCGGAGCAATCCGCTCCTTTTTCGAGACGCAGTGAAACAGAACAGTTACATGTAGGAGGCAGTGTTATATGGGATTTTACCGTCTATATTACTTCTTTGACCCATATATATATATATATATATATATACTTCAATGCTGTCAACATGTTACACAAATTTAGATTCACGTTATATATATATTTAGGAAAATGTTTAACAAATTGTTAGATCTTACCTCTATGTTGTTTACCTGTATATAGGTCTACATTCATGTATGTAGTCTCGGGCAGGACTCAGCAATAGCATCTTTGTTAAGTACTGCAACAGATCAATCCCGTGTGACTGTGCATAAACTGTTTCCCCTTTCAACCTGTCCTCTGTCATAATCTAGTGTATTGCATAAGATTTCAGATAATCTTGTCAACAGTCCAATATATACCCAGCAAAATTTCAGACACTACATACCAAAGTATAGTTTGAATTGTACTTATAGATTCTGAATGTGGCTTATATCATTAAGGGGAGAGCACAAATCACAGGTATAATGTGCAATGCAGTATTATCTTAGGGGAGACGACTCGTACACAAACCAAAGGTATAATGTGTAAGGCAGTATTATCTCAGGGGAGACGACTCGTACACAAACCAAAGGTATGATGTGTAAGGCAGTATTATATTAGGGGAGACGACTCGTACACAAACCACTGGTATAATGTGTAAGGCAGTATTATCTCAGGGGAGACGACTCGTACACAAACCAAAGGTATGATGTGTAAGGCAGTATTATCTTAGGGGAGACGACTCATACACAAACCAAAGGTATGATGTGCAAGGCAGTATTATCTCAGGGGAGACGACTCGTACACAAACCACTGGTATAATGTGTAAGGTAGTGTGTATCATTAAGGGAGATAACTCTAACACAAATCACAGGTATAATGTGTAAGGTAGTGTATATCATTAAGGGAGATAACTCTAACACAAATCACAGGTATAATGTGTAAGGTAGTGTGTATCATTAAGGGAGATAACTCTAACACAAATCACAGGTTTAATGTGTAAAGTAGTGTATATCATTAAGGGGGATAACTATAACACAACACACAGGTATAATGTGTAAGGCAGTGTGTATCCTTAAGGGAGATAACTCTAACACAAACCACAGGTATAATGTGTAAGGTAGTGTATATCATTAAGGGAGATAACTCTATCACAAACCACTGGTATAATGTGTAAAGTAGTATGTATCCTTAAGGGAGATAACTCTAACACAAACCACAGGTATATTGTGTAAGGTAGTATGTATCCTTAAGGGAGATAACTCTAGACAAACACAAATCACAGATATATTGTGTAAAGGGGACAGCTCTAACACATAACCTAAGGTATTATGTGTAACAAACATAAGCTCTGCAGATCTTTTAATACGATGCAGCTAAGGGAAAAAATGTTTTCGTGGTGTAGGAAAACCACCATGCCATCTGAGGGATAACAACTAACCCTATCAGACATCACTCTTTCTTTCGCCACCGCTGGGGATCGAACGGAAATTCTTTGGAATTTCATCTGAAGCTCAGGCATGATTGCACACAGTAGAAATGGCTGTGCATTAGCGATCATGGATAATACCAAGACACCCTATAAAAGTCAATAATGGAGATAATTCCCACACAAATCATGGGAATAATGTGTAAAGTGGTATACATCCTGTAGGGTGATAACGCCCAGATTACAGGTATGATGTGTAAAGTGGTATACATCCTGTAGGGTGATAACGCCCAGATTACAGGCATGATGTGTTAAGTGGTATACATCCTGAAGGGTGATAATGCCCAGATTACATGTATGATGTGTAAAGTGGTATACATCCTGAAGGGAGATAACGCCCAGATTACAGGCATGATGTGTTAAGTGGTACACATCCTGAAGGGTGATAACGCCCAGATTACGGGTATGATGTGTAAAGTGGTATACATCCTGAAGGGTGATAATGCCCAGATTACAGGCATGATGTGTAAAGTGGTATACATCCTGAAGGGTGATACACCCAGATTATAGGTATGATGTGTAAAGTGGTATACATCCTGAAGGGTGATAATGCCCAGATTACAGGTATGATGTGTAAAGTGGTATACACCCTGAAGGGTGATAACGCCCAGATTACGGGTATGATGTGTAAAGTGGTATACATCCTGAAGGGCGATAACGCCCAGATTACAGGTATGATGTGTAAAGTGGTATACATCCTGGAGGGTGATAACGCCCACATTACAGGTATGATGTGTAAAGTGGTATACATCCTGAAGGGTGATAATGCCCTGATTACAGGTATGATGTGTAAAGTGGTATATATCCTGAAGGGTGATAACGCCCAGATTACAGGTATAATGTGTAAAGTGGTATACATCCTGAAGGGTGATAACGCCCAGATTACGGGTATGATGTGTAAAGTGGTATACATCCTGAAGGGTGATAACACCCAGATTACAGGTATGATGTGTAAAGTGGTATACATCCTGAAGGGTGATAACGCCAAGATTACAGGTATGATGTGTAAAGTGGTATACATCCTGAAGGGTGATAATGCCCAGATTACAGGTATTATGTGTAAAGTGGTATACATCCTTAAGGGTGATAACACCCAGATTACAGGTATAATGTGTAAAGTGGTATACATCCTGAAGGGTGATAACGCCCAGATTACAGGTATGATGTGTAAAGTGGTATACATCCTGAAGGGTGATAACGCCCAGATTACAGGTATTATGCGTAAAGTGGTATACATCCTGAAGGGTGATAACGCCCAGATTACAGGTATGATGTGTAAAGTGGTATACATCCTGAAGGGTGATAA